AGGAACTCTCAGACCAATCGCGTCAATACCACAATTTCTCTCTTATTCTACCTTATTGCACGTAGAATTGAAACGTGTCCTCAAACCTTCTTCTGGCTACTGTGGCAAAGTTACAATGAGCTTAGGTATACCATTTACGCTGTTGTAGATGTCTCAGCTTGGGGATTGATGACTTCCTAAGTTTTTGCAGAAATGTAAAATAGGGACAGAAGGGAGAGAGAGTGGAGATTTAGAGTCACAGAGTGTGAAAATGGGAAAGATCGTCTGGTGCGCGGACCCCTCTGAGTTCGACTGGGTAAAAACCTTTTTTTAAGCTATCATAGCTGCGATGGCATACGTCAGACCTATTCTGTTTTTTCCTTTAAACTTCGTTATGAAGCCCTTGTTTCAGGACAGAGTTGACTGTGAGCGTTAAGCTCTCGCAATTGATCTCTGAGGGCTTGGATCCGTCTGCCGTTCACCACGTCATGGACCTTTGACAGCGTGCACGAAACCTCTTTTAAACACTCGAAGGCAGAGTTACTACCAGAACAAGGGACTGCATCTGAGGTTACTAAAAGTGGTCTGCCGATCAAATGGGTGCATTCGCATGATGCGGCTTTTGCTCTCTACTCCTCTGCTGCGAGTGATGTGATTCTAAGAGCAGTTGACGCCCATGGAAACGATTATCAATGTAGGATGAGACTGCATTGTATCGCTCGTAGGTCTGTTCATCCCTCGAATTATTAACTCGTGCTAGTTAAATAAGAAGTAGCCAAACCTCAGGCTCTGTCTGATAGCGATGTCTTCCGGAATATACGTCACTACATGGTAGAGTGCCGATATATACCAGCCGATTCGTGGCTTAATAGCATCTCTCCATGAAATTAAAGAATACTACAGCACAGTATACGGAGACAGCCCATCATGGATGCCATGGAGAGTATGCTTCCCTTCATAGGCCTCTGGAAGGGGCTCGAGATAGGCAACTGGGCGAAGCACATTGAAGCCCATGCCGACGACCCTATTTTCAACTATTGGAAGCATATAAAGTCTCAACAGTTCTGCATAATGGCAGGCCTTGGGAGTTCGTGCCACTTGATCGACTATCCAAGTGTGCAACGCGTTGTGCGTCGTGTGCCAGCACTTTCAATCAGGCACAGAGGCCAAATTAGGAAAGATATTGAAAAGAAAGAGAACCCTGTATTTCTTTTAATAGCTCGTACGCAGAGGCGGGCGTGAGGCTCGTTAAGCTGCGCCGTGTTCTCCTTAGCGTGGATGAATTCGCGAATTGAACCGGGAACATGCTGGTGTATATCCGATATATTTCCCTCTTCGGCGAAGCGCACGATCTTAGTCATATCTTTAGTATCAAATGCGAAGTTCTGCTTGCTATCAGGATCCCGCCAGCAATAACCTACCCAATTCTTGCATAAATACTCTAGGCATCTCATGAGCTGGTACACGGCTCCCCAGACCGCGGGCTATCCAGGAGCCTGCTGCCCTTTGATGATACAATCTCTTTCATTTAGCTATACGCCTTTCTTTACTTATCTGCTTCGTATTCTCATGGACATATGGACATCTTCTTTATAGATTACCGATATCTCAACGCGCAGCTTTATCCGGCTCGGAATAGATAGGTCAAATCCTATCGCTGTTTCTCGATGATTTGCCGGTTTATGTCCACTTCATCAAATCGCTTGCTAAAATGACAAACAAGTTCCACTCCACGGCATAGTGGATGTATGTAGCAGCCTAGCAGGTGATCCGTTGCAGGGCAGGTCAAAAGTCCCGCGTATTCAGCTGCAGCAATTGAGGGACAGGTTCGTCGGCAAATTTCTCGCTCTGGTCGTTGGATAACTGGGGTCCTAGGGATCCCGAACTTGAGTTCGTCTTCGTTCACATATCTGTCAAAATCGGCAAAGGTTTTTTCATGGCGCGGTGGTTAGGTTGGAGGAGAGAAATAGGGATGAAGAGTCAACCGGCGGGCGGTACGAAGGCAGAGAGGGTGTCGCGGAGACCACCCACACAAGGCTAGTGGTGTATTACCTAGTGGTGGTACGAGGAAACACCGTGTCTATGAGGGCACCCATTTTGCGGTCACAATACATACATGTTCCCGGACCCGTAGGCACACATAGTCTCTTTTGTAGCTACACATACCACTCCCTTCGAGACCTACTGCGTGTAGTGACAAAGGGATTACAAGGGCGTCTACCCGTGCTGAAACACATGAATGCCAAGTTGCATGCTTACTTAAATAACCCCCACCGCATGGTGACATCGTCCGCTAGACGAAGGCTATTCACTCAGCTGAAGAGTCTTCACGAGAACAAACACTCGAAGGCATATAAATGTGAGGGGTAGAGTGTCGTTCATCTGTGGAATAGGGTGGGTAGGTGTTGTAGTGTCACGAGAAAGGGGTCCGCAAAAGCTGGAAGCAGGCAGGTATTTTAGGTAAAAATAGCGTGATGGTTTCGAAAATCTCCAATCCACTGGTAGTCAGCCGCACCTGGAAGTGTAAGAGCCAAAACAGGCCTAGCTGGGACACTTTTTCTGGGTCTGAAGGTCGAAACTTTAATCGGTCGGGACGGTAGGGCAGCATTAATGAGGAAAGTTCTGGCGATCATTCCAAAACGATGGTACGGCCCTCATTGAATTAGACCTGTTTTCACTACCATTTTCGTAAACAAGAACCCAGAAATCTTGATTAAGTTTGGCAGCAATCTTTAAGATCGCATACATCGTAGCAATAGTGCACAATATCTCCTCCGGATGAAATTGGACACATACATCTGACACCAAAACAACAGATTACCAATTATTGACGTCGGAATAGGAGTAAACCTCGCCTAGCGGTTATTTTCTACCATGGTACACCGTATTCATGCATTCGGCAGAACTTATAACAGGCACAGGAAGTTCTGAATCTGTTCCAAAGTATCGTTATCCCGCAATCGTCTCAATATTGTCTTTATCATGGAAGAAAAAAAAGCACTTTGCCAGTGCTTTTGCTCATTTGCGCCATCACTAGCCAGTTCGGTGAGTGACTTAGATAAGACTCACTTGTGCAAACGGATGCACCAACTTGAGGAATATGTCGAAGAACATCTCAAGCGAAACAGAGAGCTCGATAAGATGTTGGCCGATTTACGTGAACAGCTTGATGGAGAGCGTTTCAGACGGGAAATCTTGGAGGAAGACCTCTACCAGCACAAAGAGGCTCTGTTAGAAAAGACACGCGAGCTTCAAGAGCGAGACCAAACAATTGACACCCATAACTGTTTGTTGGGCTTCGCTTGGACGGAGACACAACACATGGCACCAGCTCAACTTGAAAAGAATAGAGCGATAGAGCAGTGGAGAGATTGCATGGAACTATCTATGTCCCGTAGAACGCCGAGCAGCTATCTTGGTGACAGATAGAGTGATAGAGTAGGGAGGACACTTAGCAGTACACTCAGTTGATGATCAAATAGCTCTCTAGTAGCCTAGGGAAAGATAAGATAATAGTGAATTCGCATTCTTTTTCGTCTCTTCTTGCTGGTTCCAACAGCTACTTTTATAATCCGCAAATCAGGTTCTCTTCATCTAAGTCTCCCAGCCTCTTTCCTGCAGCTTATACTACATTCCCCTCGTCAATTTTGATTCGGGAGCCCTGTACGCCATAGAGACGTATTTCTCGAGATCTACGAATTTAGGCTCCGCTTCGCGACAACTATGGCCACGAGTAGGTAGCTGCAGTGTCCTGGCTACGCTCAACCCGAGAACGTGACTTGCCGACCAGATTCGCCCTTTTGTGACGAAGACGAGCCCCTACCTTCTATTTGCATGGTCTCTGCCTGCGACAGCCACCTCCTATCAACCTTCAATATACGCAAAGAAAAAACTCAAGCAAGACAACTCCTATGTCAGCTTCAAGGTGCTAAATGAGGCCGACGAAACCTCCTATCAAGATAATCGACCCGCCTCGATTCGAGGCCATTCGACCCAGAGCGGGTGGCCCAGACTTGTCACATGCCGCTAATCATCTATGGAGGAGGCTCTACATTCGCGGACTGAACACGACCGGGAAACTCTTCACGAGTACCGCCCTGGCGGACAACATCCTATTCGTATGCAAGAAAAGCTTCACTATGGCTAGCGTCGCATCATTCATAAGCTCGGCCGCGGCGGGTGCGCGACCGTATGGCTCTGCCGAGACTAGCACGCAACGCGCCTTCAGCCGTTGCTATCAAGACCCTTGTCGCCAGCCAGACGGGAACGAATAGCCAGGAGCTCCTGTGTTCTGCGAACCGAAAGAGACAAGACAAAGACAAGGTTCCCTTTGGACAGCACCTTTGTCTCTCTTTGAAGCTATTCGTGAGCCAAAGCCCAACGGAACACATATCTGCCTGGTTTTACCTTTGCTCGGGCCGGCGATAAGTGACGCCGCAAACATCTTTGCCGAAAACAGTGCGATGCAAATTGCCAAAGAGGTGTCACGAACGACGGTCGGGACTTTGGCTGCACTGTATAGCCGAGGCATTTGCCACGGAGATTCGTTCGGCTAGACGCTCGTACAGTAGAGGATAGTCCAGCATATTTACCTGACAACAAAGGTAATAATGTAGCTGAGGAAGGTTTACTCGCACCAAGTACCTACGATCATATTGTGCCATTGGTTTCACAGCGAATTGCGTGCATTGACCTATAGTAACTGAGTTGTCCGCCGCTCCCACCACAGAGGCATCATTCGACAGGGAAAGGTCGAGTGACCCGATCGCAAAAACCGCGGGGCTTACCCCTAGACATTCCCACTGCTTCCTAATGGTCGTCGTGTCTGGACAATCTGCGCATGGTTCTGGACCGCCGCCACTCACGGTTGCGGCGCTTAGAGGCGTTGAGTCTCCGGCATCTTCAGGGTAAAACTTCGCAAGTCGCGCGATGGAGCACCATGCGTCGCGAAAGTGCTTCGTGCATATGTTAGAGGAATTCGCCCGTCGGGCAACGGGTGACAAGTCTAAGGAAGGAGTGTATTATTCCAAGCTTTCCGACTCCGGACCGCTGTTATTCATCCATCCAATCTCGCGAACCACTGTTGTGCCTGCCTCCTTGATGGAAAAGAATGGGTGACTCTCTTTCAATGGTCGACCCTGACAGATGTACCCCATTGGAGTGTGCATAATGTCCTGTCCTTTACGGCGAACGGTCAACCACTCCAGCAGAAAGGCGTTTATGTCTCCAGCCGGAACGCTTCTGGAAGCTTCACCAGAGGTAGCTACGATAGATTTTATGCCGCCAACCTTGACCACTAAGCGCAGGTGCTCCAGGAGAATCGAATACTCTTCGAAGTCAAAGTACAGTCTAGCACCGAGCAGCCCCAGCTCAATCGAAAGCCACGAAGGCAAAGGGCTGCTCAGTAGAGGAGAGGGTGTTATATAGCCGGCCAATCCATTGGAATGGGCCATGTTCTTAGTTGTCGACGCAGCGTAGGGCATCAAGTGTACCGGCGCATGGTCCAGGGCCCTGATGACCGGTATCAAACGCTCTGCCTCCTCCGGGATGATCACCAAGGCTGTTTCGTGAATGGGACCCCACAGAATCCACTCGATCGGTCTCTGTTCGGCTTGATTAGCTATCGCTCTGGGAATTGACAAAATGACTTCATTGGAGCTTACCAAGAAGTCATCGTTAGGACCTTCCGACCCATTCTCAATCGTGCGAGTGAACTCATCGGACACAAAAAGCCGCGATTCTGGAGCGCGAAAATTGTACTTCTTCCCCAGGCATGTATTTGCAATAAAAGTAGACGCCAGCTCGAATCCCGAATCTCCGCCAAGTAACCCGGTCTGGGCAAACGAGAAGATGGCCGGATGCAGACCGGAGAAGCTGAGGCTCTTGCAGTGACGGGGTTTCTGTACTTGGCGCACTTGCTCGACCTGGAACTCTACTTCTCGTTCCTGTTCTACCTCCTCCATGAGCGAACGGTGAGCAAGAGACGAGCTGTCTTCACAGCTGGCTCTATATCGCTCCAGTTGTCTTGCAATCTCGCGAAGGCTAGTGTGGAAGCTCTCCGGTGCACTGTTCCTCGGGGTCTGTGTGGCTCTCCCGTATAGTTCATCAAGCGTAATCTGTTCGGGAGATTTCATAACTTCTAAGAGGGCCGACTTGTGTGTTTCTTCCGACAGAAACTTTGGGTATTGCAGGGCGGCACTCGTCCGGCGACAGAAGTCGATGCCTTGAGCAATGAAGAGGCTATGCAGCTGCTCGTTGTTTCGACACGTCTGTTCAAGCAACCAATAGACGACATCGAATGAGTTTATTCGCATCCCGTCTTCCTTGCTGCGCAGATCCAAAATACTGCGGTAAACCTCTGGTGGAGCGTAGAAAGTGACGGACTGTGTCGTGGTTAGTTGCCGAAGCCTCATGGCAGCTACGCAGTAATCGTTAGCTTTCGAGGTTTGAGGTTTAAGAAACAAGTAAATCCGGCACAAACCTTGTACTGTGTGATCTTTGGTCTGACCAAGAGCCAAGGTGAGAGCCCCACGAGCATATGGTGGGAATTTGAGGTCAGTGCCACGAGTATGGGCTTCGTCCAAGTAAACGAGGCATTCCTGCAGGCTGTCGGCAAACGGCGTGGCTAGAAGAGGGATTTCCTTTCCATCTCGGTATCGAACCCAGGCTCGGTTATCGTGCGCGCCGAAGAAACTCCTGCCTTTGCGTCCGTGTCTATCTCTAACCATTTCTTAACAAGGCATCGGTTGTCCATCTCTAGAATGTACGCCCCAGCGTCGATCAACAGCCGAATTTTTGCGTTGGACAAGTGCTTAAGTAGTCCCCCCTCGGTAAGCCGCGCTCCATGCTTCGTTGCGACTATGCAATCCCGGTTCCTGTCTTGGAGAAGGCAGGTGAGCACCTGGGCACTGGTGTGTTCTAGGCTCGGAAGGTCATCTTGTCTGATGGTCAGTGGCAGCATTCTTCGATTGTCGTTGGTCCCGCTGAACCCGGTTGTCTTTGCACCGAGCTGCTCTTCGTCTGAAAATGAAGATAAGAGAGGCAAGTCCCATCCCGAAGACTGCAATTTAACGGCAAACTGCTTTGCGTAGCGTGGGAAAACGAAGGTGTTAAGATAATAGTCGAGTACTCCGCGACTCAGTCGCAAATGATCCCAGAGTTTTATGACTTGTCCGGAATCATCAATGTTGACGAGGTTCCAATGGGAGAGGGCCTCAGGGAGGGAGTCGCATCCCGCAGTCCAGCCATCGTACACGAAGGCTGGGTCATCAGACTTGAGCAATCTTCCCAATCCTTCCTGGAACTGATGGATTGTGAGACCCGCGTAGTAAAAGGACAAGCAGGTAAAGATTATAGCCACATCAGGATGACCAAACTCGGCTTGCTCGGACGGCACTCCTTTCGCCTCAAAGGGGACTGCAAGAGGATCCCTGTTCGGGTGCAGCCCGTACTGTACGTTCCATCTCTTCCTGAAGCAGAGGAAAAGAATTCCCTTCAATAAGAGGCCTCGCATGATCAGAGCGTTCTTGAATAGCGATGGCTTTGCGGCGAACTCATTTGACAATCTTGCAAAGTCTTCAGGCGCCGGACTGTCCTCGGTCAAAACACGCCTCAAACACGCCCTGCAAGCATCGGTAGAAGAACTGGGCAGGCGAAGAATCGAAGTATGTCCGTCGCAAACTGTGTCGATAAGTCTGATACGTATCGTATCCTCAACCTCGCTTTGCACAATGTAAATCATAGGAAAACCTCGCGCTCGTTCAACCACCTCGATCCCCTGGGGAAACAATTCGCGGAGGTGAGTCAGACTGTCGTGCACGAGTACCAAAAGGCCTTGGACTACCTTCCAGCGATCGGGATGCCCATCTACGGGCACGAGCTGTCCGCTTGGGTAAACTAATTGCGTCTTGACAGCCAACGTGAAGTCTGATTCATCGAGCACATCACGACACGACTCGGTTAACCAGGATTGAATTGCCATCATCTCGCGAGCTTCCCTGAGCTCAGAGTCAGCAAGCTTGTGAAACCCACTTAGCTTGTATGAAAGTATGTGCTCTGGAATGGCCAAAATGACTCCGGAGCGGCCAAGAATTTCTCGATGAAGGTCCACGTAGAGCTTGTGCATGTCCGAGCTCGAGGGGGTGCGTCGAGAAAATGGAATGTGGCTCATCTCACGTCCAAGCAAGCCTCCGATCTTGGACTGCAAAGTCTGGGCAGTCTGGAGCAGCAAGGCTTTTGGCACGATGAGTCGGCAAAGTTGCTTCGAATCTGCAAGAACGGCAATGACCATTGGAACAATGCAAGATGTCTTCCCTGTAGATATGTGAGTTCTTGATAGATACGCGAGGATTGGGATGTCTCCTTCGAAGCGGCTGGGCTTGGATACCTCTTCCCATGTTGAGCTGCAACACAGAATTTGCAGACGAAGGCGGAGAGATGATCGCGTTGGCGACCTCAACCTGCTCACGACGAATGAGGATATTGCTTTCAATCTCCAGAAGCAGCCAGTCGGGAAATTCAATGGGCTTCCAGTTAATATGCCCTCTGTCCGAACAATGTTCAAAAAGCTTCTGACGATCCCCTCTCCGGAACGCATGCCTTATTCTTAGAAGCCACTGAAGAGTTGTGATCGAGGTGCCATATAACACTAACAGCTCCTTCATCCCAGGGCCGAAGACGGTTTTGCTGTTTGAACGCAATTGCTGAAGGAGCGAAACCGGAGATACTTGGGGCCAGAGATTTCCCTGCCGCAACCATCGAAACCTGCCGTCGTTCAAGGCCACCGTGTCGGCGATAATAGCAAAGTATTGCAAGACCGCTTTCCGTGCCATTAATATGTTTTGATCAATATTTTCCAGTTCCGCTGCGTTAAGTTGACATTGTTGCTCGCATCTGAGCTCGCGCAACGCGCCGTAACTCTGAAGCAAGTCCTTGCCGTATTGTTGCCTCAATAGTTTCGGCGAGTTTGCGAACGTTGTCAAGATCTGGCCAAGTTCCTTCATTTCGCTCGTTTCAGCGCTTCCTTTGTACGAATCGTCATTATCCGAGACATGTCTGATGGTGTGGGAGAAAAAGCACAGGTCGCCAACAGGAGTAGCACTAGGCCCATGCTTGAGCAGAAGCTCATGCGACAGAGACGGGACGGCTGTTATGTGGGCCGACGAACTATTTTTCTCGGAGACATACCAAGGCTTGGGCCTCGAGGTTTCCTCGCCTCCAACATGGCAATTTAAGATCGCCTGCGCTTCATCGAGAAATTCCGAGAGTTTCAGGTTATTGTGCAACCTGGTCCATTCTGTCTGTATTCTCTCTAGGGGTTGCGGAATTTTAGTTTCGCCAGCATCAAAATCCACCGTTGAGGGTATAGCACAAGGCCATTGAGCGAAAAGGTGTTCCGCCAGCCCGGTCGCAGTATTTTTCCGCTTCGCTTCCTGCCGATCTTCGGACTGCGACTTCCGATGCTTCAAAGATTCGGGTGGCAGCTCATGCACAGGCAATTCGACCAAGATCAGCTCCTCCAAACGTTCCAGGGTCAAAGATGCCCGGTATTTGAAGTCTGTGAAGAGGGGACAATCTGGTGGCTGCAAATCTCGCAGTTTTTCAAGTCTAGAAAACGCACAAAATGCATTGATTGCCGCAATATTAGGTTTTGTACTGAAGGACAGCAGCCCAAGGCGGAAAACGACATCATAGATGTTGTCATTGTCTACATTCATGCAGAATTTCAACAAACTGCCCCACTGCTCGGCGATGTTGTTGTCGACCAAGGAATCCAGGGAGCCATAGCTACCATCGAAAGCCTCGCGGAATCCTCCAATAATATTCCCGGGGAGATCTTGCAGGATCTTGGCGAGACTCATCTTGGGAATCTTGAATGGTCGGCGGTAGAGGATCTTAGCCGTCTGGTAGACGTTGACTGCGCAGCGTGAGCTCGCGATGCGATCTCTTGAGTTGTATACCACAACTTTCTCTTTCCATTCCACTGAGCCGTCGTTGAGGTTTCGCTCGTAGAGGCTTCGACGTACAATGGCGCGATGTTGAAGTGAATGCGCGATGTCTTCTGTTGCTGGGCTGACACACGTCTCTTGGGCGTGAAAGGCTTGAAGGCGCGTGGATTTGAGAAAAATGTCCCGAATTAGCTTTCCATAATGGTCGTGCTGAACTTCCATGGTTAGGTGGCGATTCCATCGGACAGTCTGGAGAATCCGCTTGTCTTTGGGGTAGTAATCCCTCCGTGGACAAAGTTCCTCAAATTCCTTTAAAACTAAACGACTGGCGTCGGCCAGGGGCATCCAGGGTTGACATGCACCAGAACCAAGAATACGATACGCTTCTTGGGCCCCAGTAGAGGCCGTGAGTGGGTCTGGCAGGGGGAACGAGGTTGATGCGTGGAACAAGGCCATGGAGGATAGAAGAAGCGCTTCCGGGGGACATGTGAGACGTCCAAGAACTCCATCGATGTCAAATCTGCCGTAGGCGTTTGCATCATTAACCCGAACGACAAGGTGCATTCCGTGACGTTGATAGGAAAGCGCTCCTAAGCCAGCAATGATACTTCGTCGGTGTCCATCAGCTGTGTCTCGGAGAACAATTTTACTCTCAAAACCGTAAAGAGTTCCGGCATCCTGGTCTGGGTCAATCTCGGCTTGCAGCTGCCGACACTGAAGCAGTTTGTTGCGATTTACCACGAAGGACAGCTCCAAAAACTTCAGTTCCACAGACATATTTCCTTTATGAGGTTGATAGACCGTGATTCTCTCGGGCCTTTCGAAGCCTTGCAGAACGTCCTTGATTTTGCCAAAGTCTTCCGAGTGAGGGTCAACTAGGTACGTCTCACGACGTTTGGCCTGACGGGTTTGAACATTGAGAGTCCAGTTTCCAGGCCTGGAGGTCCAGATGGCCGGCTGTCTTCGAATCTCGAGGTTCCCGGTGGCGAGGTCAAGCCAGTGAGCGCAGCCGTCAACGAGTTCCGACGGCAAGTCAAAGTCAGACTCCCCTCGAAACACTCTGCCAGGAATGTACTCAAAAAGTTCTGTCTGGCCACGAGTCCAGCGGATGGCCTTTATGACAACTTCACCACCGCGACGGCCGAAATGAATCTGATGGCCGCAGACAGTCATGGCCGCGACATGACTCATACCAGGCAAGGGCGAGGGATATGTAAGTAAATGCCTATTACCGAACAATTCCTTGACATCTTTGGACCCGATGATATCAACTGGTGGTTTTCCAAGCGGCTGGCCATCTATGAGAATATGGCCCTCGACGACGTTATAGTGAAAAACCTGTGGTGCCTCCCCATGCCGTGCTTCGCTGCTCATGACTGAGACAATCCACGAGTCGTCCAAAAACTTCCATGGTGTAAAGCGCTTGTTTGAGGACCCTTTAGGGTCCGTGGAATTCACTCCACGGAAGACCAAACCCAGGATCTCTGGGTTGTTTTCGAAAGACTCTCGCAGAACTGACCGGAAGCGGTATGTCGTTTTCATGTCTCTCATTAGCATGCTCTCCTGTATTGGAGTGAGCTTTTTGGGATCCACTACGAAGCTTTGCTGCAAGGAAATAGACGCCTCAACAAACAAGCTGAGCTCCTGGGCATCCATAGAATCCCTCTCTCGGTCAGCGAATACCGCAAAGGTTCTTCTGCAGAGCAGCGCTGCCTGAAATCTGTAGTGCGCTACCCGCAATGCTTCCTTGGCGTCGACCTCATTGTTGATCATTTCGCGAAGGTCCAGGATCCATCGCATTGTCGCATGACGAGCAATTTTGATCAGCTCATAAGCTTTTTGGCGCATTCTTCCGCTTGTCAAGGCATGGAGTCGAAGGGCCAAAGTAATGAGAAGCTCCATGCAATAGGACTCCCGCCAGTTTGTTTCAATCATTCTGATGCGCTTCTCGATCTGCTCCCGGAGACGATCACAGAATAAATCATCGCGAAAGACAATATGAACATCCCTCAGGACATCTTCTGTGCTCTCTGCGGGGCCAGCTTGAATCGCGAGCTGGTTGAGAAGATATGTGCTTTCCTCATCGCTAAAGTTAATATTCGACGAGCCGAGCTCGATCAAAATCGTCATCCAGCGCCTATGACTGCCCCCCAACAGCTTTTGAAGGGCCATGAACTCGTGGACCGACATGTGCGAGGGGCATTTAGTTTGGCTGGCAACGATTTGAAACGACGACGGTCCGTCCGTCCAAGTAGGTTTTTGTGGGTTTTGGACGGCGGCTTCGAGTAAAGCTCTAGGAATACGTGTTCCACAGAGGTGCTGCAAGTTGAAAGAATCTTTGAAGCTACTGACCCATGAGCCAGAAGCCTCGTCGTAGTAAGCAAAGCTTAGTCCACAGGGCAATACAACACTGGACAGGTCAACTTTCATGCGCTGCTGCTTGTAGTGAGTCTGAAGGAAGGACTTCTTGGCAGAAGCCAGGGAGATTCCGTTAAACATAATCTGGCTGTAACGCTTTAGCTTCGAGTAGCCCTTAAGCAGCATGTTTGGTGAAGACGAGTTCGCAACTGAGCCTGGGTGCCCGAGCTGGCGCAGAATGTTTCAGGTCGCATTGCGATAAGCCTGGAGAAACGGTGGAATAACAAGCTCGAAAGCAATGGCCGACTTTTGCACCGAATCAGCCGGAAGATAGTCTTCGTGGATCGAGATGGCTATCCTCTTGCGGACGCGCCGGTGATAGCACTTGTCACACCCTTTGACATTCCGCGATCCATCGGCGTTAAAGGTGCAAACACAGGTGCCGGATAAGATCTTTTCGCTGAGTTCATCGTACTTGCAACAGGCTCTCCGCCACTCTAGAGTTTTTGCTTCACGTGCTGCCTTGGAGTCTCTTTCGATTTCGTCCAGCAATTGCTGCAAAGAACGGCCGTTCTCTTCCTCGTGCAGATAGCGAGCAGCGAAACAGTTCTTGCTAGGCTCACACAAAATATTCTCTCTCGAGTAATTACAGTGGTCTATTCGTTTTCTTATATAGCTTTGGACATGTCGGAGTCGATGCATGGCTGACAGTTCGGCGAGGTGCAATACATCCAGAGCATCGGCAGGGAACACAGGGTGATACTTGCTCAGAAGAGGGCAGGCCGACACTGCGTATTTGTCCATCTCAACCCAAAGTTCAAAGACCTTCAGGATAAAAAGGCTCATTTGGTCCGGCTTTGAAGTGTAGGACTTGAACCAGCTTATCGCTAAGAGGCGGGAAAGCGACTCGGCCATTGCGATACAGCAATCTTCGCTTGTCGAAGAAAAATGATCCAGGACACTCGACTCCAGGTCTACTAGTTGGAAGTAGCGACTGGCAAGCTGGCTTGGCTCATGGATTGCCGTCTTCTCCAGCGGAGGGAGACTTAAGTCCATGCGGTTGGTATTGGCAGGAAGAATGTGCGCCTGTTGCAGTAGGTTCCGAAGATGCTCACCGCTTCTTGGCAAAGAAAGTCGAAGCGAAGGCTCTTTAGCGCGATATGGAAGCAGAGGGATCCGGCGCATCGTAGTCTTTTTGAAATTGGCCCATGCATTTTCAATCTGCAGTGACACCTCGGCGATGATGCACTCACATTGCGCCCCGACGGTATCAAACAGTGCTTGGAATACACCACGAGCGGCCTTGGAAGCTTTAGACTTTTCCTGCTCAAGCTTGGCTAAGCGGCGACACAGCTTGGCTCTCAGAACAAGCGTCATATCCGGGGAAAGCCTCCCGGCGCAGTCCTTCAGCAGCTGAGCGAGCACGGCACAAATCAGAAACTTGTAAGACGCTCGACCTTCCTCGCTGCCTAAGCTGAGGCAAAGTTGTCGTTGGACAGCAACACGCAAGGTCGGCCAAGATGGGTCCCTCCTCCAGGGAGATTCGCCGTTGTGGATGTTCACATCGTCTCTAACGCGCTTTCGTATTTTGAGAGTGTCGACTGAATGTCCAGTGGCTTCAAGCAGGGGCATGAGGAACTGAGTCAAGAGACCTGGGCCGGTGGTGTCTCTGGTCTCGACAGGAGCTGCTCCGGCCTTTTTGGCGCGCGCGGCGAAGCGATGTAGCGGTTCTTGAGCAGCTTGTTCCAGAAACCGGGAGAGATTGTCCTGGAAAGAAGGCTGCTGGAACACGTCTAGGGGTATTTGAGCGGCGCGGCCGGGGAAATCCCACTCGAGGGCGTTGTCGGACTCAAGCACTTTCTTCGCTGTAGCTGATGTTTCGAAAACTTCGAAGATGACGAAGTGCTTCCCGGATCTATATCGATAGTCAGAGCTAAAAGTCACCCTATTTTAAGACTGCTGCTCACTGAATGTGGCGGCGCATCAAAAGGGCGGCATTCTGCTCCAATATGCGTAGCAAATAAATATCGCTGGGCCGAAAATCGACCCAATCCTGCAACAAGTGCTGGGCATCGAAATGCGCTTCCGCAATGCCCTTGCAGTTGCCAAGACAGCGTTGGATAGCGCACCAGCCATCGCCAGAGCCGTTGCTCAAGACTCGGCAGGCTTCCTGTAGACGAGCTAGAATGGCTGATCCTACGGCTTCGGCATCAAGATCCCGGTGGTTAGGCAGCTCGGGCGGCAAGACTAGGTGGTTAAAGACGAGATCAAGAGTCTCCATGGCGTTTTAGACTGAAAAATCTCAAGAATGGAGAGTAATCTAGATAGCGAAAAAAGCGGTATGTTGAGGTCAAGTTGATGGATGTTTTGGGAAAGAAGATAGCCGTGGATGAAGACGAGATTTTCATGTCCTGAAGCGTGAAGGTTATGTTAAGTTTATATTTCGGACACGCAAGAGGCGGTGAGGGGAAATGGAGTCATGTCGAACTAATATCAAAACACAGGCTGCGGTGGCAACGGAGAGCATACACTAGCGGCCACCGTGGAGATAGCGCTGTCAGTCATTACGATATCAGGTCTACATCTTCATGATCCCTGATCTTCTCGGATAAAAAACAACTGATTTCTTAGATGACGCCGATCCGGTTCATGTTACTCTCGGTTTGCCCATTGCCAAGTGATACATCAAAGTTGGCAGCACGACCACTTAGTACCCAATGATGCGGTAGATGGCCATATTGACGGACGAGCACAACAGTCTCTGGATCCCTTCATCCTTCCACGACGTCCAAAACTGTCGTTATGAGCAAGCCGCGCATCTTTGACACAAGTCAAACCTCTCCATTACTCAAGCGTTCTCATTCCTCGTCTCCTGATGCTTTGAATTCACGTGGTGGCTCCAAGCCGCTCGCACATGATTAAGTTCAAGCGTGAAGCTGCAAATATATGGGCTGATAACCCCAAAAATAAATGAGCTCATTTAGATAGTGCAGGTCTGGCAGGCTTATCCTTGCTTATAACAGAGAGAGGACTGAAGCAGTGTGAGAATGACAGTCAAGTGGCTCTGACCAGTAAGTACAATGCGCCACTTGATCTTCCAGCGCAACTCGGCCGGGAAAGGCCAAGCAATAATTAAACCAATTTTTTCTCTGATTTCAACTGTGGCACAGCCCTAATAATTTGCGCTGTAAGCCAGTAAGCAACTCGCCACAATGCCCAAATATGCTTGTAATGTGCGCTACATCTACCGCTGTAGGTATGCATCTAGAAGTGCTATTTTTGCTCTACGAGCAGGGAGGGATTGCAAAGCAGGGGTACCCTGGATTCATGAGCGCCATCGAACGTTAGGTCAGCTGTCAACCAGGGAAGTTTCCGCCCCAACCTGCTCTACGGAGTACCTTGCTTCCAATTCTTAAGGTTGCTGCCACATTTATAAGGATTTGAAACATGACCGATCTCCAAGACACTGCACCGATATCGGAAAGCGATGCAGTAGCTCTATAGTTGAGACACACTGAAGTCGAATAGCTGGCGGCACAGCTCGCCCTTACCTGTGTCCCGCACCACAGGACATGTTCCTCCGACGAGTGACCCACGTCTCCACAGACCAAAGGCGATCTATCATATGTCGGAGCGAGCAGTACCGCCTGTTTTTTAGTTTGAAGTTCAGGTGCTAATCAGTGGCATTCACGTGGCGATCTTACATGTCATCCGGTGTATGCCGCAATGCTATCAACCAGCAGCCTAACAGATCGACGTTCAGGTTTCCGCATGGCCTGCCTACAACTGGAGGAACTTGTTCAACTGTCATGCACTTACTGGACAGTAACTGCGAGCTAAATATCAAGAATACTTCAGTATCCAATGTCATTACCACTTACCTCCTTGAATCTTGCTGAGCTCACAACGCATACCGCCCAACACATGTACGGAGTAGATTCCTGTCTGTCTAGACAGCCTCATTCGAGATAATTTGGAACGGCAAACGGGTGCACTAGCAAACGGAATGGGTTGGATTGCTGGTTATTGGAAAGAAATTTTAAATGTAAGGAACAAAAAGCCACGTCGGCGCCACCATCAGGGTGAGGCGAAATGGTCCTCTGGGAACGTACTCGCCTAGTAAACTTATCCAGCCATCGTCCATTGCGTATACCTTAAAAAAACATTCTGATTGACCATGCGTTACTGAATACTGTACCTATTTCTATCTATCTTTTATTCCAGCTTCCCCGCAACTTTAGATTCAGCTGCGGACGAGGGAAATGACCCAGAGTAGTAACAAAAGAAGGGTGCGGGCCTGGTATCAAAAAATTTGACTGCTGCACTTCAACTTCGTCGGAAATTTGCTGGAAAGGACGCTTTACTGTCTGTTCTAAGCGAATCTCGACTGGTCCTTTCTCGCGCACACAAGCCGCTGACAACGACTAGATGAATCCCAGCTCCTCCATGCCATACATGCGGTCGAGAGCTTTCACGCAAGTTTTACGCAACGCGGGTGTGGCATTCAGATCGTTTGGTTTTGCGTGCACGAGCACCTATGCATCCCGAAAGATGCCGCTGGGGAGATTCCGCGTCTAGCTGCCGCCGTCTTGTGCGGGTTATTCTTACCAAATACCTAGAGCAATGTGCCCGATACTCACTTCAGCCGGCGCTTATATTCGAGAATGACAATGCCAACCTCGACGCCTTCCAGCATTGGCTCGCCCCCATGCTGTGCACTGTTACCTTACCATCGACGGCGACGCCATGAATAGACTTCCCTAATCCACCGGCGCTCAGTATCCCGATTTCACTTACACATCTATCCGCCGTTATAACATCGCTGTCAAACAGCTTTAAGTTTTTCTGCTCAGAGGTATCTTTTTCTCTCTCTTCACTTCTTCTTTCTATACCATGTCCCTCCCAGTACCCACAATAACACCAAAGCCCTAAAAAAAGAAGGCTCTGGTGCCGATTTTCTCACCCTAGTCACGCAACGACGAGCTATAGATCAAAAGCTTCTTACCACGTCCTGCGACTGAATTACGGGCTATCTTTGGGCCCGAACTCGACATGGGAATCAAGTCTAGGAATTGGTTCCACTATGGGCGCAGGAATCTGTAGGAGAACACGGTGAAGCTCTTATACATGCAGTGCGCTAGAGTGCCTTCATTTGCGGCCAAATAGGCTGAATCATAAGCGAGCAACCAGATGGATACGAGTTCCAAGTCCACATGTAGAGTAGCCACATTTGCACTTTCGTCTCGACTCGGCCAACTTGTTCCGTGCAGACAAATTCCAACAAGAATGCTAGTACTAGTTGTACATACTGTACATGATACTGTATATAAGAGGGATGCACTTACTGAACTGAATAGCGACCACCCAGCTACGATGACATACATGAGCAACCACCCAAACGTAAGAACCAAATACGTCTTTTGCCGGACGCAGTCAGGGCGCAAGTCATTTGCATCGCAGATAGCCAACGAGATTTGCCATTTATCTCTTGCCTACCGAAGTCAGCAGCTAGACGCCCAATCCAGGCAAAGGAAACTACAGAACGAAGCTTTTAGAACAGATGTGAGCAAAGCAGTGGCCACGATACAGACGGTATCTTCGATCTTGTCTGTGCTCGCTCGTGAGGAAAACGCGTGTTTAGAAATTCTACACGACACCTACAAGATCAGTCATGCGGCGGAAAAGAGGTCGAGCCGATGTAGACAGGAGATAATGGAAGCTTTGTATGTATGTATGTATGTGTATTTTCCGTCCAGCGGCCGTGAGGCCGCTCAGGTCCCGGTGGGGCACAGGACGTGCTGAGCTAGTAGGCTGTCTACAGTCTCCTCTCGCAAACGTAAACAACCACCATCCAGCATTTCATCGGCTCTGAGGCGCTCCGTGTTGAACCTGGTGCCCGTCAGCGGGTCGTGCAGGCGCGGCGGTGAGATCGCCATTCAGTTTTGGTCTCCAAGGGACCGTTGTCGGAGACTGCAGAGCGCAGCCTCAGTTGGCCCGGCCGGGCAAGGGTGTTGCAGCACCCTCTGCCTGGCCGAATCCGGGGATTTGAACAAAGGAAAGAGGTGAGGGAAAGGTGTGATGCAGCCGCCTAGTGGCGAGGGCAAGCCCATTCAAAGAAGGAGGACGCCTTCGCCAGCTTGACGAACCTGTCGAAGTCTCTGCCTATTGCGCGATTGACTGCTGCAGTAGGTGAGGGCGTCAGCCTCATCCGATGCCGCGGCTCGATCTTTCGGCAATAAAAGACATGGTTTGGCTCTTTTCGTCGGCCACATGAGCACGTCAGTCGCGCATCGTCGTGGTTGAACCTCTCGTGGTAGTCGGCAAAGTCCCCGTGACGGGTTCTGGCTGCAAGCAGGTGGTGGAGAAGCGGTCGGGGGAGTTTGAGCTCCAGGGGGCAGCCGGTCGTCGGCTTAAGGTGCAGTGGCTTGTACTGTTCGGGTGCGGAGGCTTCCCACCAGGCTTTAAATGCACTTTTAGGCTGCTGGCAGCCCTGCGCAGATATGCCAGTGTCGGGACAGCGCCTGCGGGCTCGGGTTGAGAGGTTCCTGCTTTCGCTAAGGCATCGGCCTGCTCGTTGCCTGGGATGCTGGTGTGGCCGGGGATCCAGCGGACCTCCGTGGCACCGTGTGCTGTGGCCAGGGCCTGGAACTCGAGGAAGACATCCTGGGAGGAGTCTGCCGGCATGCCTCTGAGGCATGTTGCCGCCGCGATGTTGTCGAGACAAACGACTACCCTCTGCGATCGTGGGAGGCTTAGGGCAGCGCGCAGGCCCTCGAGCGCGCCTTTCGCTTCCGCATCAAAAACCTCAGCGGGCCCAAGTCGGCCGCAGCCACTTAGGACGGTTTGCCCATCCAGATGGATGGCATAGCCATAACCGACCGCTGCATCCGAGGAGAGCGATCCGTCTGAGTAGACGACCAGAGTGTGTGGTGGCACTGACCGGAGCCAAATGCGGAAATCCGCTGCTGACTGGTCTTTCGGGGCGGTTTGCAGAGGCAGCGCCTGATCGTCGCCGAAGCGGCGAGGAGGAGAATTGGCCGCCTGCTGCAAGGCAGCAGCTGGTCACTGCGTCGAAGTCGGGTCCGGAAGCCTTCTCGCGGCACCTGGTACTTCAGTTTGATCGACCTGTGGATGACAGGGGGCTTGGGCCGGACTGTACGTTTCGCAAGCGGATGGGCTTCATCGAGAGACTTGAGGCGGGCCGCGAAGCGCATGCGACGCCCTCGAGCAGTTGTATCACCGGTGGAATGCCGCTCTCTCGATGGAGGGCATTGATCGGCGTCGTCCTCCAAACAGGCAGGATGGCTCGGATGGATGTGTGAAGCGACTTGTTCATCTTTCGGATGAGTTGCTGTATCCCGGATGGTCCTTCTTTGCTGGCTGGGTCCATCGCGGGCTGGTTAATCCGGGTACCATGCCTCGGTGCCGTGGAGCAGCACCGGTTCGATACATGCTCTTACGGCTCTGCGAACGGCACCGGGAAGAGGACCATGTTTGGTGTTTGCCAGACTTTTCAAGTGATAGGCCACGACCTGTGCCTTGGCTGTCCACTTTTCCACGTGTGTCTTGAACGACAGGGTGCTGTCGAGCCAGATGCCTAGCCATCGCAGTGCTCGGTCAGGGCGCTTCTCTGAGTCGCCGTGAAATATAGGCGGGGCAACTTTAGGTTTGCTTCGACAGAAATGCATGACCTCAGTCTTCATCGGGTCGAAGGCGATGCCGTTGGCGGCGCCCCAGGCCACAAGTTCGTTTACATAGCGCGACGCTCTCTCGGCTGTCTTCTCCAGGGAGTTACCTATGCATAGGATACCCGTGTCGTCTGCGTAGCCGAAGCGCCCCTTCGGCTTCCCTAGGCGGTAAATTGGTTCCGTGTACAACAGAAAAAGGATGGGCGAGACTGGTGATCCCTGGGGGAGGCCGCATTGGAGAGGCGAGCTGGGCGTGGTAGTGTCCTGGTATCTGACGCGCGCCGAGCGGTCATGCATGAAAGAACCAGCCCATCGAGCGAGATGTTCTGGCCACCCCTGCTCACGGAGGCGAAGGATCAGCCTGTTGCGGAGGACAGTGTCGAAGGCGCCTGGATGTCCATAGTCACCAACGTGGCAACTTGTCCGCGGGCAAACGCCTCTTCAATGTCATGCAGCAGAGCGGCAACAAGGTCAACGGCAGATCTCTTCGGAGAGCACCAGCTTGTTGTGAATGGAGGACTCCGTAGTGGACGGAGGCCCATGCCACGCGGCGTGCGATGAGCCGCTCGAGACCTTTGCCTAGGCAGGACAGTAGGAGATGGGTCGCCAGGCACGAGGGGTCGAGAGGTTCCTTCGGCCTGGTTTTGTTATCATGACTACTTCGGCCTCTCTGAACGGCTTCGGGTGATGGCCGATGGTGAGGCAGCCTTCGTACAGCCGCTGGACGTGGCTTCCGATAATATGCCATACCGCCTTGAGCATTTGTACCGTGATGCTGTCGGGGCCGGGAGACGTGTTTCCTGTCCGTAGGGTTGCGTCGCGCACTTCCTCAAGTGACGCCTGTTGCGTGAAGGAACGGTTTTCGTTGTGTCGACTGGGATCCACGGATCTGGGATGTCGTCGTCCGCCGTGCGCCGCTCGAGCGTCGCCCGCCGTAGGGCATTGGCTTTGTCAAGCTGCGTCTCGTAAACTACATCGCCTACTTGTAGGGGCGGAGGCTGGAAAGCGCCCGGTGATCTCAGCCATCGGACCGCTTTGAATATGGAGGCGCTGTCAGTGAAGCTGTCGATCAGATTGCGCCAGTAATGTCTTTTGGCTCGCCGCACGACTTTCTGGAAGTCTCTCTTTGCAAGCTGGACTTCCCGATTGAAGCCGAGAGGGTAGACTCTCCTAATCGCGCGGTATTCCGCCGCGGCGAGGGCGCATTCTTCTGTCCACCAGGGCGCGCTGCGTGCCCCTTTGCGGACGGGGCGACCGGCGGCCTTGGCTGCCAGTTGGAGAAGTTCCACGAGCGCCAACGCCAGGGAATCAAGCTCTTGGGGAGACGAGGCCGCGGCCGGGATAGCTGTTGCTCCGGAATCGACCATTTCGGCGAAACGAGCGAGCTCGTCGTCAGAGGTGAGGCGGACCTTTCCTAGCGGCACCGAGGCCGGAGCCAGGTCAGCGAGTGTCACGCTGAGCGTGAAGTGGTCAGAGCTGGTGGCCAGGTGTTCCTCCACGACAGCTTCGGATAGTGGTATGTTGGAGAAGGCGAGGTCTATTGTGTTGCCATGTGGGTTCGTTGGCACATCGGCAGGGTTGAGCAAGCTAAGGCCGTTCTCAGAGGCCCAAAGGCGATGTCGTCACCTCGGCCATCGAGCCGGCCGGTTTGCCAGCTACTGTGTTTGGCGTTGAAGTCGCCTGCTACTAGGCACCTTCCTGGTGTGGTCCACTGGAGGAGCATCTCCAGTGCTTCATCGTAGTGCGGTTGTCGATAGAAGTTTACTACTGTTATGTTGTTGATGGTGAGCCAGAGAATGTCGCGGGTCGCCACAGGCCTCCTCTGATCTGTCATCAGGCAGGGACTCCGCCGGACATAGGTCATTACTCGAGGTCGGGTGCTGTTGTCGTCCCAGCTGTCGACTGGGGAGAAGGTATCGTAGGCTGGGTGGGTTTTGGTAAGACATCGGCCGTCCTTGGCTTCCGTCCACGGCTCCTGGAGGAGCACTATGTCGTATCGTTCAGAGTCGGCGAGGGCAAGGGCGCAGTCATGTGCTGGCGAGATCTTGCCTACGTTAGCTTGGAAGACTCGCAGGGTCTTCTTGTCGCTTTGGTTCACGCGGGGATGTCTCGTCATGGAGATAGTGCAATGGGGCTGATGCGTCGCTTCTTTGAAGGGGAAGCTGGTCTAGATTCGTTGCCCTCGCTCTGAGGCTGAGGTGTCGTGGTTACCATAATGAATGGCGGAGACATGGTCCTGGTCGAGCTTAGGACTGAGGTTTCGCTCCTGCCCCGTGACCTGTCATCTGGGTGCTCGGCTTCCTGGTCGTCGGGCTGAGCAGTGCTCGGAGCTATGGAATTGAGAATCTCGGAGGAGTCTCGTTCTAGCTGTTCGGGTTGGTCTATGCGCTCGAACTGTTGCTTCCGCTGAGCAAATAGTTGGGTGCCCATCTGTCGGACGAGGGTTTCTCCTCCTTCGTCAGGCGGCGAATGACGCCGTGTGATCGCTTGGGGCGTGCAGGGCATTTCGAGAAATCTGCGGAATGGGGTCCGAGGCAGTTTGCGCACTGCTCGAGGGCTACGCAGGTTTCACCGTCATGGCCGTTCCTTCCGCAACGCTTGCAGGACGGTTGTCGGTCACAGCTGTGTCGAGCGTGGAAATCCCAGCATTTGTTGCACTGGCTGGGCATGCTGGATCTGACGATGTGTCGGGCAAGTCGGCTGGAGCCAAAAGTCTCCAAGGTCTCTGGGTAGGCTCGAGGAAGGACACAATAAGCGTCTTACTCGGAAGGTCGCTTGAATCGTGCCGGCTGGGACGGATGCTGATGGGTGTGAGCCCGGTCTGGCAGGCGATTTCGTCTTTGACGGCCGCCTCGTAGTTGACTTCATTGCCCTGCAAGTCCGTAAGTCTTCGGGGCAGTTGGGCACGACGTACGTGTACCATTTGTGACTAATCTCCACCGAGGTCGCGTCTAGGTCCTCGGACCATTCCGACTGTCGCTGGACGATGAGGTCCCTGATGGTAGCGTCCGTTGTTCGGATGGCCCATCCGGAGTTTACCTTGAAAGCTGCCGGGACCCGGTGCAAGTCGATGCCGACTTTGGCGGCGATGTGGGTCCGAATTGCGTAGCTGCTGTGGTCTCGCGCCGGCGCTTCGGCATCGAGCCGCACGAAAACACGGAGGTCTTCTTTTGGTGGGGCGGGGATTGGTCGTCCCTGGAGACGGGAGATTGGTTGTTGTGGTCGTTGCTGTTGCGGGGCTGCGGCGGCCGTGGAGTGTGGCCCCGAGGGCTGGCTTGCAGGGCGACCGGCGGCGACGCTGCTGTAGGTCGGGGCGGGTGCGGAATTGAGGTCGGAGAGCGCCTGCTTCCAAAAGTCGAGGAAGCTGTTGGAAAATTGTTCCGCAAAGCTGTGTTCAAGGCCGGACGTGTATTGTTTCGCAGTCTGTTCGAACGATTCACAAAAGGCTCGGAACACTGTCATTTTGGCGTTGTAGGCATTTGTTTGTTCAACTGCGAGCTTGTTGGCAGCTTCAACGATCGAGACCGGCTGGAGGTTAACGGACTCGGCCGAGCCAGGCCGGTTCGGGGTGGATTCACGCTGCGCTCCTTCCGTAGCGGCGGCATTGGAGAGTCTGATAAGGGGCGAGGACGGCGTCGCCGCCGGTCGCCGAAACGCGGATGTGAGACCAATGGGACGGCTCGCAATGGGGGGAACTGTGTCGAAGCTGAGATGCACGGGCTAATCGCGCGAGGTTGGGCGGGGTATGGACACCCAGATCAAAGGGATCTGGGCTGGCATGCGAGCTCGTGGCAGATGCCATGGCTGCTGCCGAAGCCAGCGCAAAGCGCGGCTGGAATGATTAACGTGCAGTTGTTAGGCGAGTTGGTGGGAAATTGCGCTACTTTCTTAACAATTGCATGCCAAGAAAGTAAGAAAACAGGGGAAGGTGAGCACGCTGCCCAGTCAAAAATCGGCAGTTTACTCAAGGGTAGATAGATAGGGGTTATAGGTGCTGTGAGTATATGAGAGGGAGTAGAAAATATACGTATTGTCGTGAAAGGAGCCCGTGCTGAGCCAGTCCGGCAGAAGCGGCAATGGATAGCACGAAATGGTGGCCTTTGGCATAGTGACTGACGTATGTGTCCAGCTCTGCCCGCAAACCATGCACACCCAAAGCGGTTTCTAGTTGCCTATGCACTTACACTTTACCGTCCTCACCAACATTCGGCAAGGCATGCAGGATATGACATATCTCATGAGGGGGGATATCGGACGACCGGAAGTTTCGATCATACGAGGATTTTGACCTCTCCCATTGTACAACGTCTGAAACGCCTGATTAGCACAGATAATCAACCACGCAGCAATTTCAAATACTCTTCAAAATTATAAAGATTGCCGTTGGTTTGTGACTAGTTGTAGCCCTCAAGGAGATCAACCTAGTGCTCTTCGCTCCGCCTAATCGCCAGCCACCGGATACCAAGACTTTCCGTATACATTGTGATGAGTTCGAGCTGGTCAGGAAGCGCAAGAGCATACGTACAGAGAACAGCCAAGCACAAGGTGGAGTGTTTGTACTTCAGCGACACGCTTCTCAAGCGAATCCTTTCGTTCCAGCTCTAGAGATCATTAGGCTTTGTTTGAGTGCTTACAGATAGCTGTCCCTGTCTCGGCGCTTTGCATATTGGTGACATATCGAGTGGCTCATGTACATATGATGAGTGAGTACTTCAGTGGTAAACATTTTGTTGCCACGGAGCCCACAATAGGCCTAGGAGGTAAGTACCGAGGCACGGTACTTGAGGGGTCCGTGTCCACAAGGGCACGTATTTTGGCTGGCACAGTGGACGGGGGCTCCTGCACTTTACACACTTGTACCTACACGGACTTCTTCCCTTTGTAGCCACAACAGATCCTTTCTGCAGCGCGCCTGTGCGTTGCGACACATTTTTATTAGCTACTCAAATACGTAATGTGTTCCAAACCGCCAAAAGTGGCCGCAAAAACAGGAGAGTATACTTGTCAAACAATACACCTATATTCTCTGTATTAAGGCCGCGATGATCGCTTCAGCCTACAGCAGGAACCTACCAATCATTCGTGGATTCGAAGGGATACTCACAGAAACACTTTTATTGACACGTTTCTTTAGTTCTTGAAAGATTAAATATTCTCTCCATAGATAAAAATTCAACGAACATGTCCTACAAATAGTACTACTTTGGTTATTCTGTGACTCTTACTATTACAAGACTCAAATTGGCACGTCATATTACGCATCTTGAAACATGAAAGCCAAATTTGGCGCATGCGGTCGTTGAAACTTGTGGCATCCAACGAGAGTACGGAGTACACCTGTCGACATGTCGTCCTTGAACACCGCAATTGGCTTTTACAGGTTGCTTGCTTGGCGTCAGGCGCCACTTCTGGCGCTAAAATATATGGCTTAGTTCTCGACTGACATTTCGAGCAAGACCACGCGACTCCAAATATACTTGTCGTTGCTGGACAGAGTCACTTACGGCGTTAATGCAGCAGAGCATGGGGCTGGCTATGGGTATTTCAAAATCAACCTGCCTCCGTCTTTACTGTTCTGTACGGAATGTATACTGTATTATTTCAATGAAAACCGCCATTAAAGCTACATTCGACCGCTATGAAGCTCGGCTGAGGCGTTGCGGTACTTCCTCAACGTAAGTGTTCCTGCAGCACGTATAAGTATACTGTCTGCCGCCAGGAAATCTGTTGGTTGTGTATTTAATTAGTGTATCCGCCCCCATACAGCGTTTGGGTCAGTAGTGCAGTTGATGTCTACAGATCCCAGACCGCCGTCAAGTGTTTATTCGAACTCATTTGAACTCGAAGATCTCGTCAGTCGATTATCTCTGGAAGCCAAGAGTCAAGCATTGTATGAGATCAAGGCTCTAGAAGAGGAACGTGATGCCTTACAGAGTCAGGTGGACACAGAACGTTGCGCGTGGATCTCAGTTTACCAAGTCATGTTGGAGTCGGCCAATGTTGCTACTCAGCTTTCTTCACTCTGTGGGGGTGCTCAAGCTCAAATAGATCGTGAACTAAAAAAAGACCGCGAGCGAAAACAACAGTTAGCAAACATCGCGTTAATATAAAAAAAGGTGCTACGCTTTCACTGTTCTGAGTGCTTCGGTGCGTGTGGTGAACTTCGTCACACAGGGGTGAGTGCGGACGGCGTTACAAAATCCCTATGCGTAGTAGTTGCGCGGCAAGTCAGTCAACAGTAGATATTAAACCTGTCTGCAAGAGGTGAGCTCTTCAACGTAGGCGCCATTCTCGCCCAAATTGACTGCTACGTATAGTCTACAGCCTTCATCGCTTTCATATATACCCGTGACAAGCAAGCCTAAATAGTCCTGGTGGTTTTGCCTTGTAGAGCTATTCTATCCCAACTACCCCTGTGCAGTCTTATCAGCTCACGCCTCCGGCGAGCGAACCATCCACTCCGACTCGATAGTCCTGTTGCATCATGTCTAGTAGTCATAGCTTGCGCTGGGGCGATCCAACTGCAGCCGCATGTTCATTCCAGACTTATTGTTTTTACGTTGTTGGCCAATTATACTTATGGGCTAAGTGTAGAAAAGCGCCATGCACAACTACGCCAAGTGTTGGTGCCTATGTGCCTACTCGGGTCTAAACGCATAAAAAAGCAAACACGAAGTGGAAAATGAACGGATGAGGTGCAAGCGCTTTGTCGCGCGATTGCCCACAGTAAGCCCCTTCTTGATTGGAACAAGTGTCATAGTCCTATCATTTTTAGTCCGACATCTGCTTTCCGGATGTTTGTAAACATCACTCCCAGTACCGCCACTAGCATGTTCACTATATGACCGTATTTCATAGTGATATTGTTACAAAATTTACTTTCCACCGGGAATTTCTCAGTCTAAAGCAAATAACGAAATCGATCAAACCGATACGACACCCGGAGTTTGCAGATGTGCTCTGGTCGTTGTTAGCTGTGGCAGTTACTGGGCTATGGGCTGCTGAAGTGGCAACTGTCGGAACATTTTGGATGTCTACGGGTTTAGGCAAGCCGTATGTTGACTATTTGGTGATTCACGCGCTTCAGCAAATACAGAAAGTCTAGGTCCAAGTTCCACTATGTTTCACGATTCGCCGTAGAGCTAAGGGTAAAGTAAGAGATTTTTCTATAAGATGCTCGTTTCACAGGTAGTAATAGTGTGTTACAAGAAGCGCTCTCCCAGAAGTGCTACAATGACAACCCTACCGTGCTTCTCGGAAGAGCCCAATCCCTTCACAGCTAAGTGGATCATTGCGATTTATCAGGAGTTTTGCAGAATTCAACAACATTTTCGTGCTATTGTTGAGATGCAAAGCAGCGATATCGACCACCTGAAAGAACGGATAGCTAGCGTTGAGTGTCGATTGAAAGATGAAACGAGCTACGTCGATATGCAGCAACAAATGATCAACGCGCAAAAGCATTCAATTAATTCATTGAAAAATGAGCTTGCCCGTCACGATAGACTGGGCAACCCACTGCAGGTAGGCGGGTCAATACGGATTGAGCCTCGTTCGGCCGGTCTCGTCCCGTCCGAGCTCGCCTTGCCATCAGCACTGTCGAGTACGTTTCCCGCCGACACCACTTGCACTGCTGGGCATATGACTAGTCCAGCGGGGCCAGAGATCTAGAAATATTTCTTGGCACGCCACAGACTCTTTGAGCTGCTGCCTTGGCCGGGCGTACTACGGCAATCAGCAGTCAGACTCTGACACATTTCACGGAGAAGTGTGTATCTCGGAAAGCGATGATACAACCACATTGATATGAATAGCGTTTAATATCTACGATGCGGTCACTTTTCCGTCATAATCTTGTCTCGGGTGGTAAATTGAGAGATTTGAGGCGGCAATATGAAACGTGAACAATCAATATGGCAACAGGAGTGCGTTTAAGTAAGATGGTAGGCCATACGTACTCGCTTCACGCCGAGGCTCTTCCGTCCAGCCATTTGCACTTATATGTGGCGGATTGCAACTGTTGTACCTATTAGGAAACGGTAGACGTAGTTGACGTAGAGCCCGCGAGATTGTTATCTAGCAATAGAAGTGTTTTAACCGCGTATATATCCAGAGCAAAGAAGCTAAATACGTCCCTAGTACTATTCTCTATTTTATGTCACCGAAGACGTTACTGTTTACCAACCCTTACAAAGGAACATGGTCAACCCGACGTTACTGTGGCAGCCATGCGTCGCAAAATTATCGGAAGGGTAGTTATACGCGGAGGAACAGTTTCTTTGACAGTCTGGAGGACATATCACGGCTGTACATGATGGATTTTGAGGAATTAGTGCCAAACCGTACTCACAAAATTGTCGCGGTGAGTTATCATCGATATCCGAGACGTCGTAGTACAAATCTGGACCAGGTTGGAGAGACGGATCGAACGTGTATTCGAGCTGGGTGACCGCGCTTGCTTCAAAAACTGAAATGTGATCTCCATCGGCCAGGTCTTGGTTAAGCCTTGAATCAGCAGATATTTTGATTGAAACGCCTGTAGCTGAGTTGGCTCCTGTAGCAGGGTTGTATGCGATTTTGTTTCGGTATGCTTCGCTATAGATGTCTTTGGGTTGCAGTATTCGTACTTTTGGTTCGTCTAACTGATCCGCTCTCAGATGTACGGGAAAGCCACAATTATTGACCACCTGTACCCTAGATGCAGCACAATGTCTCCAAAGCGTGGCCAGAAAAATAATACCCCGGGCAAACCGCTGCATCATAAATTCACAAAAGTACAGTACCGTAGCGAAGGTCAAAGTTAGAGGGATCGGTCTAGGCCTTTTATGCCGACGCGTTGCTTCAAAACGACTAGTAAATAACTTCCGGCCCTCCTAAAGCCGTATATGGCCTTGGCTAGACTTGCTTCTTTTAATGCATTACACCTTGGCATTCCGTGGCATACACCCCCTTCTTAAAGAAAAAGACAAATTATACCAGTCCTTTCCAGTCTCACATCCGATTTGGCGCCACACCTCTTCCACCATAATATCATATAGATATTTTCTATAGGTTGCGCAGGTCGTAGCCTCTTGAACGTTGAGTTGAGTGTAGTAAACTGACTTTCTATAGTCCTTTCTGTTTGGGCTTCTGATTGGGCTATGATGGTACATATCTCGGGTGTCGCCAAAAGGACAGCGGTAATTAATCTATGACGGCTCCACTTCGCACCAATTCGGTCCTTACCCTGGACTTAGATGAGCAGACACGATTGGTCGCTGAAAACACCTTCCTTTGCCATGACACTTTCTTGGCATGCTATTGTTAAGAAAGTGGCGCTATCCTAACCTATTTGTCTAACACGTGCACGCCAACCTCTGCAGCAGCGCTCTGCGCTGGCTTCGGCTGCGGCCATGGCATCTGCCACGAGCTCGCATGCCAGCTCAGATCCCTTTGATCTGGGTGCTCATACTCCGCCTAACCTTGCTCGCTTAGCCCGTGCATCTCAGCTCCGTGACAGTTCTCCTATTGTGACCCGCCCTATTGGTCTCTCATCGACATTCCGGCGACCGGCCGCAACGCCGTCGTCGCCTCTAGTCCGTCTCTCACATGCCGCCGCTACGGAAGGAGCGTGGTGCGACCCCGCCCGGACCGGCCCGGCACCGCTGAGACCAGCAGGCTCCAGCCGGTGTCCATAATTGATGCAGCCAACAAACTTGCCGGCGACGAAACCGATGCCCATAACGCTAAAATGACAGTCTTCCGAGCCTTTTGCGAATCATTCGAGCAGACTGCGAAGCAATTCACATCTGGTCTCGAACACAGCTTTGCAGAACACTTCTCCAACCGCTTTCTTGACCTTTGGAGGCACCATACAGCAGCGCCGCCGCCGGTCGCACCGCAGGCCCACCCGCCGGGGGGCCCCCCCCCTACGGTTGCTGCAGCCCCGCAACAACAAGAGCCACAACAGCCAATCTCCCGTCTCCAGGGACGACCAATCCCCGCCCCACCGAAAGAAGACCTCCGGGTTTTCGTGCGGCTCCCGGCCGAAGCGCCAGCTAGGGACCACAACAGCTACGCAATCCGGACCCACGTCGCCGCCAAAGTCGGCATCGGCCTTCACCAAGTCCCAGCCGCTTTCAAGGTGAACTCCGGATGGGCCATCCGGACGACGGATGCAACTATTCGGGACCTTATCGTCCAACGACAGTCCGAGTGGTCTGAGGACCTGGGCGTGACAAATGTGGAGATCAGCCAGAGATGGTACACCTATGCCGTGGCAAACTGCCCCCACACCCTCACCGACCTATATGGGAAAGAATTGGACTACGAGGCAGCCGCCAGAGACGAGATCGCCTGCCAGACCGGCCTCACACCCATCAGGGTGCGCTCCGCCAGGCGCAAGCCGAATGAGCCCTGACCTGTACATTGATTGTATCATTCCTCGAACCCACGCACAAGCCCTGGAGGCTGTTTGGATCCAGCCGGCTCGCCCGATATGTCGAGAGATCCAGCCTGCCCAGCCAGTGCGACAAGTGCTGGGACTTTCACGCCCAACACACCTGCGATCGACAAGCGTCTTGCAAGCGATGCGGACGGCGCGGTCATGACGCCGAGATCTGCGTAGCCCTCGAGCGGTGCGCGAACTGTCTCGGGCCTCATGCCGCAGACTTTGCGAAGTGCCCTGCGCGCCCGAAACGATCACACGGCGTCATTCGCCGTCTGACGAGAGAAGAAATCTCGCGTCCGAGAGCTGGGCGCTCAACTGTCCGCCCAGCGAAAGGAACAATACGAGAGCGTAGAACGATCAGAGCCACCCGCGCGGGATGACGCCCTCACGCCGGGCGGCATCACCGAACGGACGGCGACGCCTGGATCTGACAGGGAGGGCCGTCTCGGAACCGACGCAACCCAACCCGCGACCTCAAGCGCTGCTCAAAACGACGGCCAGCCGGCTCAATCTCAAGATGTTGCGCCACGGCGTGGCAGCGTCACCTCGACCCTAAGTCCTACCAGGACCATAACCCCGCCGCCTGTCATTATGGCCCCACCACCCAAGCCTCCGGGGGGAGGTCAACGGCACAGATCTGCCTCTCCCACGAAGAAGCGGCGCATCGCCCAGGACTCCGTCTCTCCATGACGAGGTACCCCCGTACAAATAGAGGTGGCAATAAGACTCTGCGAGTCTTCCAAGCCAACGTGGGCAAGATCCCGCCAGCACACGACTGCGCGCTTGCCCTCGCGGACTCTGAACGATATGATGTGGTTCTACTCCAGGAGCCATGGACAGAAACAAAGGGGGGCCGATGCCTTACCAAAACGCATCCCGCCTACGACACCTTCTCCCCGGTAGACAGCTGGGAGAACAATAGCACCGACCCAGGGTCATGACCTATGTCCGCCGCAGGCCGGGACTGATGGTAGATCAGAGAAGGCCCACGGCAACACGTGACATTCTCTGGCTCGTGGTCAACGACATCACTCTAGTCAACATTTACCGCCAACCGTCGTACGACGAGGCACTTGACATACTACTCCGATGGCCAGCACCTGACAGATGTCTGGTAGCTGGCGATTTCAACGCCAAACACCACAGCTGGCAAGCCGGCCGCATCGAAGGTCGCGGTGAGGCTGTAGCTGCATGGGCGACGGCCAATGGTCTGAATCTGCTCAATCCGGCTGACGTCCCGACAAACCCTCATGGCAACACGATAGACCTTGCTTTCTCTAATATTGCCTTGGCCGCCGCGGTGGTCGAGGACCACCTCGCTACCAGCTCCGACCACTTCACGCTCAATATCACCCTCCCCGAACTCGCCGTAACGCCTCCACCCACTGGAAAGGTCCGTCTCACCTCTGACGAGGAAATACGACGCTTTATCGAGATGGTTGAAAACGGTGTGGCGGCTATCCAGCCGTCGACCGCATCCCCTCAAGACCTGGATTCACTTGCCCTGGCAGTGACTAACCTACTTCAGTTTGCCGCCAAGGCTGCAGGCCGGCCGGTCCGCAAAGGTGCGCGCAGCGCACCCTGGTGGACGGAGGAATGCGTCTTGGCGGCGGCGGAGTATCGCGCGGTGAGGAGAGTCTTCCCCTCTCGGTTTCTGTCGTGAGGTTCAGCTCGCCAAAAGAGACCTCCCGGAGAGTCGTGCGACGAGTCAAGCGCCGCTACTGGCGCGACCTCATTGACAGCTTTACGGACAGCGCATCCGTCTTCAGGGCAGTCCGTTGGTTGAGATCGCCCGGTGCTTTCCAACCACCGCCTCTGCAAGTGGACGATGCAGTTTACGAGACCCAGCTGGACAAAGCCAACGCACTGCGACGGGCAACGCTCGAACGCCGCACCTCGCAGGACGACATCACGGACCCGTGGGTCCCAGTGGATCCAGTGAGAACAATTCCATTCTCCCAGGACATCTCCCTCGAGGAGGTCCGGGACGCAACCCTGCGAACGGGTAACACCTCTCCCGGCTCTGATAACATCACTGTCAAGATGCTCCGTGCCGTTTGGCACGCCATTGGGAACCTTGTCCACAAGCTGTACCAGGGCTGTCTCAACATCGGCCACCACCCCAAGCCTTTCAGGGAAGCGGAAGTGGTTATGATCACAAAGCCAGGGCGACGGAACCTGTCAGAGGCCCGCGCCTGGCGGCCGATCTCGCTCCTCTCTTGCCTTGGTAAGGGGCTCGAACGGCTGATTGCACGCCGTTTGGCGTGGGCATCAGTCCACTATGGTGTTTTGCACTCGCAACAAGCCGGCGCACTGCCCAAAAGGTCCGCCGTTGACCTCGTCGCGGCACTAGTCCACGACATTGAGGAAGCTTTCGCACGCAAGCAGGTGGCCACACTCGTGACGATGGACATCGAAGGTGCCTTCGATACCGTCCTCCGTAACAGACTCATTCTCCGCCTTCGACAGCAGGGTGGCCCTCGAACGTCGCTCGCTGGGCCGGCTCCTTCATGCATGACCGAACGGCATGTATCCGCTATCAGGACGTTACGACTCCGTCGTCACCCCTGCAGTGCGGACTGCCACAAGGTTCACCAGCCTCTCCCATTCTGTTCTTGCTGTATACGGAGCCAGTCTACCGCTTGAGCAGCCCGAAAGGACGCTTCGGCTATGCAGACGACACCGCTATCCTTTGCGTCGGCAACAATCTGGAGGAGACTGCCCGCAAAGCGTCAAGACACGTCCACGAACTCATGGAATGGGGTACCGAAAATGCGATAGCCTTTGACCCCAAGAAGACCGAAGTCATGCACTTCTCCCGAACGAAGCCGAGAACTGCACCGCCAGTCTTCCATGGCGAGATGGAAAAGCGGCCGGAATGCGCCATGCGCTGGCTAGGCATCTGGCTCGACAGCACCCTGTCCTTCAAGACCCACGTCGAGAAGTGGACAGCCAAAGCGCAAAGAGTAGCCCACCACCTCCAGGGAATGACGAACACCAACCGGGGACCCCTGCCGAGTGCGGTCCGGAGAGCCGTCCGCGCCTGCATCGAGCCTCAACTCCTCTTCGGAGCAGAGGCATGGTACCCGGGCATGACCAGCCCGCGATGGACCCAACCGGTGAGGAAGGGCCTTCAGGAATAAGACACCTCATCCGGCGAATGGACAAGTCGCTCCATACGGCCGTGCGGGCCATCCTTCCAATCTGGAAGACCACGCCGCTGAGCGCTAGGCACCGGGAAGCTGGTATACCGCCAGTTTCGCAACTGCTCGAGTCGTACCGAATACGCTTCGCGGCCCGCCTCAGGTCCCTCGATGAAGCACATCCACTTGTGACGCGAACGAAGCCGATACGGGCCCCCGCCATCAACAGGGCCATCAAGCTCAAGTATCAGCTTCCACGAAAGCCTTTCCGGACCAGACTGCGTCGCACTGACGAGCTGCTAGCCAGATGCGCCAGGCCAGAGCTCCTTCCACGCAGATTCGCCAGCGGCCAGCCCCTGCAAACTGCACCGAAGGAGGAATCAGCGGCCAACTTCCGCGACTGGCTCCGGTCAGTTGCTCCACGAACAGCAATCGTCTACTCAGACGGATCCTCTCCGCAGAGGAGCCGCAGGGTACGGCTATGCAATACATTTGGATGGACTCACCGTCCTCGATGGAAACGGGCGCCTGGGTCCCGCTGAAGTCTTCGACGCTGAGGCCAAGGGCGCCCTTGAAGGCCTCCGTGCTGCTCTCGGTCTCCCAGGGCCAGAGCGAATCGCCGTATGCCTCGATAACCTTGCAGTCGCGTCGTGCCTGCGAGGCATGCCGTCAGACTCGTCCCAGAATGAGTTCCTGGAATTCCAGGCCTTGGCCGCAGAACATGGTGCCACCGAGATCCGTTGGATTCCCGGCCATACCAACATCCCAGGCAACGAGCAGGCCGACGCCTTAGCTAAGGCGGGAACCTCTCAACCCGAACCGGTAGATGCTCTCCCGACGCTGGCATATCTGCGTAAGGTCGCTCGGCGGCGACCAAAAGACGCGTTTAAAGCCTGGTGGGAAGTGTCTGCACCCCAGCAATACAAGGTCCTCGACCTTGACGCCACGACTGGCTGCCCGCCAGAACTTACCATCCCACGACCTCTCCTCCACCACCTGCTCGCAGCAAGAACCCACCATGGGGACTTCGCTGACTACCATGAAAGGTTCAACCACGACGACGCACGACTGACGTGCTCGTGTGGGCGACGAAAAGAGCCAAAACATCTTTCTACTGCAGGAAGATCCCGCCGCAAGTTCGGATGAGGCTGGCGCCCTCACCGACCGCGGCGGTCAACCGAGCAATAGGAAGAAATTTCGACCGGTTCGTCAAGGTGGCGAAGGCAAGCTCGTTCTTCGGGACGATCTGCCTTCGCCATTAGGCGGCTGCGCCTCTTCCCTCCTTCCCCGCTTTCCTTTGTGTGCGTATTCTCTCCTCGACTCGGCCAGGCGGAGGGTGTTGCGACACCCTTTGTCCCGCCCGGGTCAATCGAGCTGCATTGCAGCTCCTCATCTCGTTCGAAGTTTGCCTCGTTGAGGCCAATATGAAAGACAATGTTGTCGCGCCTGGTCGTCCCGCTGACGGGCAACAGGCTGAGCAAAGGAGCGCCTTTGAGCCGATGAAATGCTGGATGGTGGATTGTGTACGTTCTGTGGAAGGCAGCTACTGCGGGTTGGCGCCCATTTCGTTTGCGCGTTTCAAGGTCATGGCTCACCCCGCTTTTGCTGTATCGATAAGTAGATTGTAGACTCCCAGTAGCTCAGCACGTCCTGTGCCCCGTCTCGGGGACCTGAGCGACCTGAAGGTCGCTGGACGCAAAATACAATAATAATAATAATAATAATAATAATAAGGGATTTTCCGGTGATCTGCCGGATCTGGCGATTCGCCGGATTTTGGGCTCATTGCATTCCAGCAAAGAACTGAGAATAACTTCACGAATACTATTTGAATTGTTCTAAAATCTTATAAGAGCAGTTAATAATGCTCAAAGATGCCACTCAATCATTATTTGCGTTATTATATAGTGTGTTTGGTACCTGCAATGCTATGGCCCGCTCTGGTGTGAACGGAAGAGTGACAATTTTTGCAGCGTGAACATCCTGACTCCTCTCGCGACCCTCAGAAGCCACCCGTCGCTCATTCTGCATTTTCTGTGGCTTTTCCACTTTCAAAATCTTCAGCTCTTGTTAATAATGCCAATTTATCTCCTTATTTTGCTTCACGGCCTCCGTCATCCGTCGTTTTCTCCCAATTTCCGCCTCTCATTGCTTCCTCTTCTCTAGAGCGAGAGCTTTGCTCCGCTGCCTTCTGCTGTCGCTGAAGCTTTCGGGCCTCCTTCTTCAGAGCCTCCTCTTTCTTTGGAGTCCTTTCACTGTCATTTTTGGCGAGCTTGAGCCACAATTTTAGAGCTAAACACCTCGTCTGCACTAGAATCTGTACAGCAGAAGAGATCATCTTTGAAGCCTTACCGGTCTGCCTGCGCTGGTTCTTGTGACTACTTGTTCTCTGCATACTTTAACTCTCATATCAAGCACTTAAAACTCATATTGAGGGCTCCGAGGGTGCTGCTCAGCCTTCGGCTGTTGCGGCCAGCATCAACAGAGGACTTCTCGACTACTTCCTGAAATGCGTTCCAAAACACAGTCTAGATCTTCGATTTCAGCAATCCAATGAACCTTTTGATTTGTCTGTGTACTGGATAAGATCATGCGTATACGCTGTTGAGAGAGGCTGAATAACGATACATCAAGGGTTGCAGCCGATGAATGGATTGAAGGGGAAACACCACAACGATCACTCGGTGCCGGTCACACCACTCCATAAATTCGATACTAAAATGGTTAAGTGGCCATCGGGAACCAAAGGCGATAAGCACAACCGTTTCGAGCTTTCACCCTGGTAAACCGGTCGAACGTACCGGTGAGCTGCTCATTTCAATATTGTGATTCGTCCACCTCGTTTTTGACGTGTTAAAAATATTTATTGACGACTTGATTCACGTTTCACGAACCAAAAGTCCAGAGTTTGTGCTGGCTTGTCTTGGTGGATGAGAAATGGGGGCAGCGATGCCATCTCTTGACTGACGCACATCTTGAACGTAAGGGAGGATGGGTTGCCATTTTTTAATACGCCGAGCAATTTTGCCTTGTTTTCTTATAATAAGAGGAATACCCTGTTCGTTCAAATGCTCATAAGGAATAGAAAGCCCATTTCATCCATGTTATACGTGTTTTAGGGTAGGGTGTCGAATTTCTCAATTTTCGTGCACGTCTTTCCTTGTCAGGTGTGAAAGCGGAGCCTCGCGCACTGAATTTCAAGCTAAAAATAAACCTTACATTCAGATGCATAGATAGGTTCTTTTCAGAAGATGCTTGTACCGTCGAATCACGTTCAATCTGGCTCATTACGGGTGCGTAGAATGAAGTTATCCAGCTCGCCCTTCCAACCCCATTTTTGCAGTATCCTGAGCCAAGTTCTGCACTATGGATAGAATGGGAGAATCCCACATGATTAAAGCCTACGATGAAAGCCAATAATGTTCTGTTTTTGCTGTATTGGCTGAAATGACTTACACAATCTGTCGGCATCCTATTTTGGCCGTTGCTTGGTTTGATGTCAGCACCGCAGCGCATTGCCCCTAGATAAAAGTTCTAAATATATGCCAGACTTTCACTGCTTCTGATGATTCAGGAAATCAAAGGATACGTCAATTGGCACCGTTGTTGTTGAGCTATTGTCGATTGATGTTGAGCGTGCGAAGTCGCCGCAATCCGGCAGATCACCAGATCCGGCAGATCATCGGAAAATCCCTTAATTGGTCGCTGAAAATCCAGATCCGTATCCCATCGCGAAACTGTCTCTCATCCAAACTTTCCAGCATACAAGATGCTTTTTCTTGGTACGAAGGCTAAGGCCAAAAGTAAGTAGGGTGCTTGAGGTAGCTGAGGTCCTTAGCCACCATGTAAACTGGATTTCGATTATTTATAGTCTCTTGCCTGTACTATACTGATGATCCCCTAGAATATAGTCGTAACCTCCTGTAATGATAGGGGTCAACCATTATACGCATCGTACTGTAGGGCAGTGTATAATCAAACAAGGCTCCGACTGTCACGAAAAATCAAGCCACCTGTTGTTCAGGTGACATGTTCAATTGAACATCAAATCTGCTTCGCGACACACCCCCTCAGGGATCACGGGCTAGCCTGGGATTCCTGAGACCACTCTCGCTTTAGCTCTGGGCCTTCTCTGCCTTGTGCCATTCGGGCTACTCTGCGACAGTGCCTCGGGCTCTGGCTATGGCATTACACAGGTGCAGGTCTCGAACACTGACTCCGTCGGGGTGCGCGCTAGCCTAGGTGGTCGTGCGCAGTTACCGGAAGTTCCAGGAGGGGTAAGCCCCTCCTCCCGGGCTCATAACTCTCGCGAAGGAGAGAGCAAAAGTGGGCATAAAAGTGGATAAAGGGACTTTTCGAAGGTCGAGTATCATACGATCAGATGGTATGTGAAATGCATGTGTTAATTTTTTTCTTTTCGGTTGCCTCCATTCCCGTCCAAACAGCCCCTTTTATATCCCTCCATGCTTCTCCCAAGTTGATATCCCGTTTTCAGGTATAGTATACATTCTATCAGGAAGAGGGCACTTCTTGCCACTTACTGAAGGCCACGTAAGTCATCTACGTCAGCAACATCAGCTCCATCTCCCCGATCGAATAGCTCTTCTAGCTATGAAATCGATAGTTCAGTCTCGAGGTCCCCGAGCCAGTAATAGTTATGCCGGACTCCTCAAAGGGTCCCCGTTCGAATAGGAGATCCTCCGGACCCTCAGTGGTCTAGGAAGAAGAAACAACAGTCTGCAGACTTCCCTTCTTACCTGGTTTCAAGCTGTATTACCTAGAGAGACCTAGAGACCTCAACTCGTTCGGACCTTCTTCTCGACACACCCACCAGTGCGAGCCGTCCCAACGGGTCAAAGCTACAGCCAAAGGGTTATAGGTCCTCAACGAGGTTACCGTGTAGTCGTGGCCGAGACCTCCCTAATATTCCTATGCGGTCAAGGGCCTCTCTCCTAACCGTCTTACTAGAATCCGGTCTCGTAGGTCTTCCATCCGGGTCTCAAGCTGAAGCCGGGTTTTTAAGTCAACTATTCCAATCATCTCTTGGAATTTCTGTAGTTTCTGACGAGGGAGTGCCTTGGTTAGGCCGTCTGCTTTCATCTGTGCCGTAGGAACCCAACGGACTTGAATTCTTCCTTCTTGAGTCTCTTGGCGTAACCAATGCCGGTGGATATCAACATGCCGTAGTCTCGTTGATAGCTTCGCGTTAGTCTCTGCAAGCAGTCGTATCGTTTGACTATTATCACATTCTAGCTGTAGCGGGTCCGGAATCTGAAGGTATAAGGACCGTAGCATCCGGCTAAGGAATATAGCTTCTTTTGCTGCTTCTGAAATGGCTAGCAATTCAGCCTCGGTGCTAGAAGTAGTGACTGTTGCTTGTTTCGAAGCTCTCCACGCAATAGATCCGCCAAACAGGGTCATGATATACCCTGAGAGCTCTTTCTGTCGAGGAATTATCGGCAAAGGATGAATCACTAGAGCAAAGGAATATATCGGCTCTCTTATCGATTGATCCTCCTAGGCGAATTCCAAAGGAACGGGTATTATAGAGGTAAAGAATAACCCGGTCTGCTGCCTTCTGGTGTGTTTCGTCGGGGTTCTGGTTGTGTCTAGCTAGCCGAGAGACCGCAAAGGCGATATCTGGTCTCGTTGAAATAGCAGCAAAGAGGATAGATCCTACCTTCTGTAGGTACCTATGAATTTCCTGTTCGCTTGCTTGGCTAATAGAAGGAAGTAGCTCTTCTGTTGTCATTGGTGTGTCTGGAAGCTTTGAGGAAAGTCGGTCCGGTCCTAATAGCTTGTGGGCTATTTTCTCGATATAGGCATCTTGCGTTAGCCAAATCGTCTTCTTAGTCCGGTCCCGAAGGATGTGTATGCCTAGGAACCAGCGGGGCTCCCAAGCAATGTCATTTTATATCGTTCTTGCAGTCCTCGCATAGCCTCCATAGCTATTCCTTGATCTTCTTTCTTATAGGCCCAGACAATATCGTCAACGTAGAAGAAGACAATGACTGCCCCTTCTTCATCACACAAGGTTCTTGTGGGACCTTTTCGAATCCTAATTCCTCTAGGGATCGGGTAAGGTGCTGTTGCCAAAGCAAAGGGGATCGTCGTAGACCGTATAGGGCTTTCCGGAGTAAAAGAATTCTGCCTGGCTTGCAGAATCCGGGAGGCATCCTCATAAAGACTACCTCTTCCTCGAGTGGACAGTTAACGAAGGCGTTTACTGCATCCATTTGATCAAGTTCGAGGTCGAATTCTGCTGCAATAGCCATGAGTGCCCGGAAAGACATCCCTGCTAGGGTCGTTGCTCGAGTCGGTAGATCCCCCCTTTCCTGCTGGTTGCCGCAGACCACAAGTCGAGCTTTGCACTTCTGAAGGTACCCATGCTTGTCAGTCTTATAGATAAAGACCCATTTGCAGTATAGAACTTGTTTGCCAGCAGCCCTTTTCCACGGAACTTCGATAAAGGACCCCATCTCTTCGTGCGAGGCTAGATGGTCCTTTTGGGCTTTAACGAATTCCTCTTTAAAAGGGTGCTTTTCTAGCTGCTTGGTGTTTTCTGGTGGGTCTGGTAGGTCCTTCTTGTGTACCTTAGTCTTTGGTTTAAATAGTCTTCCAGCAGTAAAGGCTCCATGCACCCCGTCCTCTATAGGAGTAGGATAAAAGTCATTAAATCTGTCCAAAATCGGCAGTGGTTTGAGTTCCGGGTCTACCCCTATCATCTGATCAGACGATTCCTTGGTAGACAATGTAGAAAGAGGTCTGTTTGACTCGTTGATTGATAAAAAGGAAGCTTGCCAGGAGTTGTCAAACCGCCCCACCCCCTTAGGGGTAGCAACCGGAAGAGAGACCAAGAAGCCTGCCTCAGGATCTTCTTCTGTCAGTGGAGGTGTTATAAGAGAAGCTTCTTCAAGCTCCCTAGCCCTCTTATATTCTTCTTCTTCTTCGGTAGGGTCGGTCTGTCCCTCTTCTTCTTCCTCGTCCGAGTCTTCGTCGAACACGCTCTCAAGCTCCGATTCTTCGTCAAGGATTTCCTGGTTGATTTTCTGGTCCTCTGGTATCTCAACGCGTTGAATAAGGTCATTGATGCTAGGAAGCAGCTGCGGCTGCTCGAATTTCCCATCAAAATAGGTAAATTCGTCAAAAATAACATCCCTTGTCGAAATAACCTTTCTTCGTTGCGGAATCCAGATCCGGAAGATATTCGTCGAATTATATCCAACCAGGTATCCTATATGTGACCGTGGATCAAGCTTCTGCCTCTTCTTCTTGCCTAGCTGTGCGTCAGAAGTCATAGCGTAGGCCCTACAGCCGTAGGCCTTGAGCTGGGCATGCTGTTGAGGTTGATCCTTCTTCGTAAAGAGCTCAAGGGGTGTTTTCCAGTCTTCCGACGAATTCGAAATCGAGTTCGTGGTCCTAGGGGCTCGAGGGGTCCGATTCCGTAGATAACAAGATGCTTCCACGGTTTCTTTCCATAGGTCGTGAGGAAGGCCTGCTGCGATCCTCATCTTGCGAGCCCTTTCAATAACAATTCCACCGGACCGTTCTGCCCCTCCGTTCTGGGCTTGTGTATTCGAGGCTGATTTTTCTGCTGAAATTCCCTTCTTTCGTAGCCACTTCTTAATCTTATTAGTGAATAGCTCTCCGTCAGACCGTACAATTTTCACCGTGTAGTCAAAACGAAGCTTCATCCAGCTAACGAAATCTCGAAGTGCGGCTAGGTGGTGCTTTGAATGATAGGTCTTAAGGAAGTAGGGGAAAACCATGCCCGAATATGCGTCTGTGATGAACATCACACGGACATAGCCCTCGAAATCAGGGGTAAGCTCGGTCCAGTCGATCCAAATCTCTTGGCAGGGCTCTTGACGTTCGTCTCGAATAGGGGTTCTTCGAGAAACCTGTCGTATTGCCCTCCCTTGAGCACAGTGCTGGCATTCGTAGGTTTTTTGGGCCTCGAATATGCACTCCTTTTCGTAATCCTAGCTTATAAAGAGCTAGGGGTCCCGGGTGACCTAGTCTGGCATGCCAAAGGCTAGCTTCTGCTGACGCTGTCGGTCTTGGGTCCCGGGAGCCTCTTCTTCTCGGCTTAGAGGCTTGAAAAGCCGCTTCTTCGATATCCTCCTTCTGAATAGGCTGGAAATCGAGAACAAACTGGCGATATTTCCGAAATAAAATACAAATCGGTCTCTTGTCTCGGTAGACTAGCCTTGTGGGCTCTGTGAAGGTATCCCAGTAGATTCCTTCGTCTCGAAGAGCCTGGAAAGATACCAGGCTTGCTGAAAATCTCGGGCAATAAGCAACGGTTTTTAACCGTAAAGACCGTAATGACCCGTCTAGGGCCGTGACCGTAACGTTGACTCTGCCATAACCTTCGATCCGGACTTCTGAATCCCCTGTGACTAGGTATTCGTTTCTTGCTTTTCTAAAAGACCGGAATTTCGATAGGTTATTGCAAATATGTAAAGAAGCTGCTGAGTCTAGCAGAGTCGACTTTCGAAGAGGGTAGTCGTTAGAGGCGGTCGTTTGGCTAGCCTTAAAGACAAAGGCAGGGTTTGCGTGCCCAACGATTCTTCCGACTATCCGATTCTTCGGTAGTTGCTATGCCTCCTTCTCATGACGGATTTTTCCACCTTCTTTCTCAAATCTGGGTCATTTTCAAGGGCCTTTTGCACCTTTCTTCTATTCGAGGATTCGAATCACACCACGAGGGCGTTTATCTTCGAAGAGAGCCCAGCAGTCAGAAAGAACATGACTTATCCGTCCACACGCAGGGCATCGGTTTTATCGGTTTTATCGGTTTTCTCAGTGTTTTTGGTTGTGTCAGGTTTCTTCCCTTTTCTCTTCTTTTTCGGTCTTTCTTCAGAAGGGTCGTTTTCATCAGTTTCTTTATCAGCTAGAAAGCCGGCACCTCTCTTGATTCCTCCTTTCTGCTGGTGCGGCTGTTGCTCTGCAATTTCTCTGATTTTTCTAGCAACAAGCTGAAAGGTCCAGTGAGTCGAAGAAGGTGGTACTGCTGCCAAAGTAGGCGTGCTTCCGATAGAGTCTGGTCGAAGAGCTTGATAGACCCTATATTGAGCAGTTGCTGCTTCTTCATCGATTCTTCGGCTGTCTTCGTAGAAGATAGTAGCGTATCCATCACTAAGAGGTCGGATGACGCTAGCTATATCTCGTAGCCACTGGCCTGTTAGTGCCTCAGATAGGAAGTAAAGGTCAGCTTCTTCTATAATCTCTTCCCACTTAGTCAGCCAGTCTAGTATGTTAGTCTTAGTACTAGTACGAAGGTGACTCGAATACTGCTTCCTAATTCGGTCAGTCATAAAGCCGCGTGAAGGAGCAGTCGATGCTTCTAGCTTCTGCAGCCACTGTCTAAGCGTATCCCCTTCTCGAAGGGAGGTTAGTTTAGCAGTGCTGATAGACTCCGTAATAGCTGTACGGGCTGCAGTGATTAGCTTAGTCTCGTAAAGGTATTCCTTACGCCTGCCCTCATATTCATGAAGTGCCGCCGAGTAAGCTCTTTGCTGTTCGCTGGTTAGATTGACAAACTGTCTAACGCCTTGTGCAAAGTCGTCAAAGTCGGGCGCTCAGGTAGCTCCATAGCTTCAGAGCCATCTTGAAAGATAAGCTTGTGGATAAGCTTATCCACTCGTGCTCGGAGCTCCTTGACCCAACGGTCCCAGTCCTGGGGTTCAGTTAGAATTGTCCGCTTCGTCGGCGCCATAGCCGAGGTCTTCGACATCTTCAACTGCCGTAGAGGGGCCGAAAAGGTGGCGAAGATAAGCCGAGGTGGTGTGAAGCGTGCGGGGAAGAGGGGTTCTTTCTCAAGATTGCAATTTTGCCACCGGAAGTTACAGAAACAGGTCTGTTTCTCCCGGGCTCATAACTGTCACGAAAAATCAAGCCACCTGTTGTTCAGGTGACATGTTCAATTGAACATCAAATCTGCTTCGCGACACCGACTTAGACGATGGCCGGGCCCCCTGGTTACTCGAGGGATTCTATTTACTTATGGGCGCAACCTTCGTAGGTACTAGCACTGTGATATCTCTTACATCCCCTGGTCCTTAGGCATGCATGAATGTACTGCGTACTTTGCCTCCAAAACAGGATTCATTTCCCCTTTCATTTTTGGCTCGCAACATAAGGAGTAAGACATCGGCACACATGTCAAGACGGAGCTGTGGCTCAACGGTCGTAAGTTAGTCGCTGATGCCTTGAGGAACGAAAGGACTTCATTAGCGCGCGGGGAAAAAAGGCCCCAGACTGCTTCACCCCCACATCCTCCGCCTCTGATTGGCTGATTTATTTCCTCTTTCGGAATAAAAGATCCCGTGTGATTGGTCGCCGACCCTTCCGTCCCTCCCTCATCATTGGTCGCTGCCGCCTTCTCTTGCCCCTCTCATGCCTTGCCCTGTTTCCCCCCCGTTTATACTCCTGTTTACCCCCTTGCCAATGCCAATGCCAACCTTTTTCCTTTCGTCCGCCGGTTTTCTTATTGTGTCTAAAACTTGCGTCTTTTGTCTATGCCCTTTTCGTTCATGCCTTTCTAGCGGGTTCTTCCTTCAAGTCTAAAAGTCGCCCCTCGTTGATCGCTGCTGCCCAGTGCCCTTGTCTTCTTGCCCGCCGGCGCGCTCCTCCGTCTTCTCCCCCTCGTCACCTCACCCTGACAACTCTCCTTGACTCTTCAGCGTCGCCATCCGACCGACGCAAAGCTTCCTCGACAGTCCTCTCGCTTAGCACCTCCAGCCTGGCCTGCGCGGCGGTCATCTCTTCGGGGACTCGGTTGCCCACCAAGTCTCTCCCGCACCTTGGACACGAGCGTGATGCCGTCTAGCGTTCGACAGCGCGATAGCTGCACATATAAGCTGTACGGGTCGCATTGCGAGGGCACGGCCCTTCCATCGACTTTCGTCGTCCGTGTCCCCGCAGCTCCAGGGCCACGCGCTCTGGCGTTCTGCCCTGCACCTTGTAGTCCGTGCAGGCGAAGGCTGCTGCGCACGGCAATCCCTTCCGGCTGACGTCGTTCTGCTGCCACGGCCGCTTTCGTTGGCAGTGTATCCTGACGCTCATCGGCGTTAACAAGATCGTGCCCGGCGGCATCCCGACGAAGTGGAGGTCCTTTGTCGTCGCCGATTCCAGTAATATCCCCGCCGGCGGCCCGAAGTGGATCGTCATGTCGGACGAGATTCGATGCCCTGGGGACGCCTTGTCGACAATGACCTCCACCGCCGAGTAGCCGGCGCCGTTCACCAGCTTCAGCCCCTGATGGGTGTTGTGGTTCACGACGACCGGCATCCCGGCCACGAACATGAAGACGGCCGGCACGGGGATCGCGCTATCGTCGCCTTGATTGAGTACCATGATCGCTTCTTCCTCGGTCGGCAGGCCCTCCTTCCACTTGTGCTCGGAGATGAAGATGCGCATCGTCGACCGCTGCTGGACCCGGAACGCCAAGCTTGCCTCCATGTTTAGGTTCCACCGATTCCTGTTCAGCGGCGTCACCACGGTGATGCCAGTCTCCCAAGGGATCCGCCTGCCCTCGCGGTAGCACCTTGAGTTGAGGAGGTCCAGATCCGTGCGGTCCTGCACACCCTGCCGGATCCGCTTCAGCAGCCCCTGCAATTCCGGATCACCGGCGGCGCGCATTTGCTCGTTCAACATGACGACCGTCGTGAACCTCTTCCACAGTGCGTGCGCTTTGTCGTGCTGGTGACGCTGCTCCGCCCTGAACGAATTGTCCTCGTCCCACGAGATGGCCACGCTCGGCAGGAGGATCGACCTCTCTTGGACCGGCCGGAACTGGTGGAAGTCTCCGCAGAAGAGGACGATGGGGATCCCCCCGAAATCTTCCTTCGATCCTCGAAGCCGGTGGAGCTGCTCGTTTACGGCGTGCAGCGTCCGTGCTCCGAGCATGCTCACTTCGTCGATGACGAGCACGTCCTTCTCCTGCCAATCCATTCGGGACTGGCCGTGGATGAACCGCTCCGCCTGTTTCGGCAGCCGCACCCCGTCAAGGTCCCTGGCCATGTTCGCGCCGCCCGCCCCTTGGTCTTTAGTGAACCCGCAGGCGGAGTGGATCGTGATTCCGTTGATCTGCGCCGCGGCAGTCCCTGACGTGGCTGTGATCAGCAGACGATTCGAAAGGCTCTTCCTACTGAACAACTCGACGAGTGCCCCAATAATTCGCGACTTGCCGGTACCCCCCTCGCCGCCGACGAACTGGCACAGCTGGCCGGCATTGCCCCCGTCCATTTGTCGCATCAAATCGAGCTGGCGGCATATTAGTAGGAACGCGATCGACTGCCTCTTATTCAGCGTTAGCCGTGTTGCCAACTCCCTGCCCGCCGCGAAGAAGGAGGTTGATGGGCCAAGCTGGACGCGCATTCCCGCTTCTGTGTCGCTAGCCGCCTCGTCGGAGTCGGCCATCGTCATTTCGACATCGTCCTCCCCGAAGCCGGTCATCACCCTCCGCAGCGCGGCGCGGCGGTCACTTTCCCGGACCGCCGGTATGCTTTGTACGCTTTGTATGCCTTGGATCATCCTCTCCCTCTCCTTCGACGCGCTTGTCTGCTGCGACTTGATGGCCCTGACCTGATCCTGCGGTGGTAGTGCAGCCCCGGAAAATGCCCGCCCCGGCATGCTTATCCGTCTCGCCCCTCGTTCGGGTACCACGGTGGCCTCCAGCTCGGCCGTCGAGCCCAGCGCTGATTGCTGAAACCGACAGAGCTGTTGCATCATCGCCATGAGCTCCGGCGACTTGGCCGTCACTTGATTTATGCCCACTGCACCTCGGACGACGTCGATCAGCCGCGTCGCGCCCCCGATGCTGCTGGGTTGGTACATCGTCGTGGATTCTGCGCCCGCGTCGTCCGTCCCGGTCTCCTCCACGTGTGCGACGGTCGGATCGCCATCTCCGGATGAGGCTGCCCATTGCTTGGCGTCGCGTTTTGCATCTTCGGCCGATCGTCGAAGCAGCTGCACGTTGTCGACGAGACATGATATTCTCGGAGCCAGCGCCTCGCGCCCGCTCCCAGATGCCATTGATCTCGCCTGTTTCTTGGCACAGGAAGGACTCCACGGCACGAAGAGTGCAAGATGCTGCACGGCTGCCCTTCAAAGAGGGGGGGTTAGCCTCTCCTATAATGCCTGCCGGCAGGGCGGTTGCTATACACACCTCCGGTGGCACGACTCGTCGTCGTCGTGGCCGAAGTCCTTGCTTAGGTAGCCATCGAGGCAGACGCTAGCATGCTTGCCCGGCCGTCTGAGCACCTGGACCCAGTGTCTTCCTCCTGGCGCCCATCCATCCTCGAAGGGCACCTCCCCCCAACCCGCGCAGTTCGCCGCCTCCTTACAGATGCGTTTTAGTCTCACGAGCGATATGTAATCGTATAAGCATAGTCCTCGCAGGAGCTCTCCCCGGTGCTGGTACGCCTCGACGTGGGAGATCCTCAGGCCTGCTTCTTCGACGACGACGACCGACTCATCCAGAGTATCGTCTATGTCCGCCGCGCCACTTGCTTGCCGGAGATGCGGCCACCGTCGAAAGACTTCCCAGTACAGTAGAGATGTGTTCAGGTACGCCCAGGCGCTGCTGTTGGTGAACTCGGCCGGATATCCCAGAAGATGAGCGATGACCTCGACCTGCGAGAGCGGACGGTCCGTGAACACGCGGTTCGCCACTCTCATCAGGAATTGTCGGGTCCTGTTCCCTTGGCGGCGTCATCACCAACAGCATCTCCACCGCCGTCCCGTCCTCCGTTGCCCGCGCCGTCATCCGTCGAGGCGTCCAGGAGCTCGGCCGCAGCCGCCACACGCTTCCACACCGGGTCTTCCACCTTCGTCGCGTAATTCGTGACATAATAGATGAGGGCCATGGTCTTGCGCTGCGTCGCAATGAACGAAATGTCGTGGTTGTGCCGGAGCCCCACAGCGATGGCCTTGTTCCATCGATTAACCATGCTGTGAGTCCTCCGGACCTGCAGCACCCCGTCTGCCGTGATGGCTGTCTTGTCGACCAACCTCCATGGAGCCTTGAACCGGCATAGATTCCTTCCGCGCCCTTTGCCCAAGGAATACTTGACACAGGTCGGGCTATGCGTGTGGACCTGCGTCGCGCCGGCACAGAAGTTGGCCTCCTCGTCAAAGGCGGCCGAAAACTGCTCGGCGTTGCCTAGCAGGGAGGAAATATCGCACGTCACAGATCGCTCCGCTTGCATGGCACCGAACCCTTCCTGGTCCAGATCCTAGCTTGCACGTCAGCCTGGCCCCGGTTGTCCATCGGACGAGCAATTCAGGCCATCGGTGACACACATCCTAGGTACTCTTACCTCGCAGAAGACACTATCGACGTATCGTATGATCCGCTCGCGATACGCCGCCTGATCCTCCCGTGGATGTCGGCAAGCATCGAGCTGAGATGCGCGTTTCCTGCAACCAGAGCAAGCCGTGGACATGAAGCGCCCCTCGTTCGTTGGTCTCCACGGCGCCATAGTACTTGCTGATGCGCCCGAATACCGACTCTTCACCGACTTTCACGTAGTGATCGAAGAATAGCTTCATCTCCCGGTGGAAGAATACGGCGGAGCTCATGGGATCCGATATGGCCAGCCGCGCCCGCTTGTACGCACTTCCGAGGCCTTCTAGGAACTCCTCGGCCGCGTCGGGATCGCGAGTGCGGTATGCCGCCAGTCGCAGCTTCACCGGGTTCGTAATGTCATTCGGGTTGATGGTGAACCAGATGGCCGGCACGCCGTAGCCAACGATGAGCGACTGGATTTTCCGCCGCATATTGAGCCGGACCTCCCTGGACATGGGCTGCCGGTGGCCATACAGCGAGAGGCTCCTGAGAAGCTCCTTCACGCCATCGTCGGTCGTCTTGCCCGAGCTCTCCAACTCGACCCTCGCCGCGGCTAACCTCTCTGCGGCCATCGAGCGAACAATGCGCTCTACCGTGCGGAAGTTCCTCCTCGTCACACTCAGCATGCTAACACGGCGGTTCCGCGACCGCACCCCCATGTTAAAGACAAGAAACGCAAAGATGTGGTGCGACGCAAATCGGCCACCGTGGCGCCGGAGCACTATGTCGGCCCACACCCGAAGGTTCAAGCTTCGAGAGGATACGGAGTCTCGCGCAGCCGCCTCTGCCTCAACAGCCCTACCTCGCAACTCGGTGGTAGCCTTCCCGACCTTGACTATGCTCTCTTCAAGCAGCCTTGGTCCCCCGACGCCAAATGGGAACAGGGTTGGGAACGTTCGGGCGAAGAAGGATGTCTCAAAGGAATCGGCGAAGTCGTCACCCCGCGAAACTCGGATGTATGGCTCACGGCTATCGTCGCCACGCCCCCGAGCCCCCGCCGCCGAGGATCCGATCCACGTTCTCGGGCCTGCACGGCTCTCGTCGGCACCCTCATCAATGGCGTCGCAGGCAAACCGCAGCTTCTCGACATCTACCACGTCTGGCGGTCCGTCCAGTGCAAACATGGCAGAGGACGTCACCTCGTTGATCGCTTCAACATTCTGATCGGGGCCAGCCCCAATTCCAACGCGATCCGCGCCTTCTTCGTTAGGCCCTGCCCTCAGCCTCGCCGTCTGTTTCTTGCCTTTGGTTGAGCAGCGCGAAGAGTTGGTCGATCTCTACCAACCCCTCGTCGTCCATGGCGCGCTCTGAGGGCGGCACAACGTGGGCCGTTCGCGTTTTCTCCCATGCAGACGGCTCGTTCCGCTCCATGCGATCGTACACCAACCTCGGCACCCCGTGTATCGGGTCTCCCAGCTCTCCATCTCCGCCACGTCGATCTCGATCTCGGTATAGTGGGGTTGTTCTTCTTCAGCCAGATAAGGGCCCTCTCGACGACCCGCCGCCTTACCGATAAGAGACTCGACAGGTCGCTCGGTGCCGGCTTCTCCGCGCCCTGCCACGAAATGTGTATCTCATCCAGTGCTTGCAAAAGGGGGTGCGGCAGCACTTTGGTTGCCAGCTCCTGCGCATTGTTCGGAAACACTGTGATGTGGCCCTTGACGTGCCTCGGATACCTCACGCCCTGCCTCTGCGCGCCCGGAATGCTGTACCTCGTCACAAACCCGTAAGACGAGTTCGGTGAGATGAGCTTCTCCTCGACCGGCGTGAGTCCCTTGAGCTCATCTGGGAACATGTGCTCACAGCCAAGGCGGCTGTGAAGGTGAACCGCCGGCGACAGGCTCCCGCGTGCCAGGCATCGGCCACACTCGGCACACACCGACACGGACTCGCCCTCGGGAAAGCAACCCCGGCATGAAAATGGTGAGTGGCCGCCCTTTGGTACGCAGCTTGACAGCCACTGATCCCACATAATCTCCCTTAACTCTCCGCCCGTACACTTGCCGTAGCACAGCATGCAGGTCCGTATCGGCAACGTGCTCGCATCATGAAACGCCTGATAGAAATCTCGCACCGTCGACACCTTCCTCTCGAGCGGTATTGGTGTACACCACGTCTGATCGTTAGACAATCTCTCCTTCGAGGCAAAGTCTTCCTCCAAAAAGCGCAGCACACTAGCCAGGTCTTCGGCCTGCAGCTCCCGTCTCCTCTGCCTTCCGATTCCACTTCGGACCTGTTTTATCGGGCGCCCATACCGGCTAGGAAGACGGGCTCTCTTCTCCTGCCTCCGGGGCTGCCTCAGTCCGCCCAGCACAGCGTCCGCTGGCTCTGCCGCGTCATCGTCCACACCCACCGCTGCACTACCGTCTCCCATGGGAGGCGGCCCCGACGCTGCGCCGAACCTGCTGCGTTAGAGATTCCTTGCGGTCTGGTAGTCCCTTTACCCGCCAACTCCGTCCCCGACGGCGCTTCGGCAAACCCCATGCAATCGATGCTGCTAATTGCTCGTTTCGCCTTAGGTCTCCGAATGCCGGTTCCTTGGGCTGGATAGGTCGGAGCGTCGGTCCCTTTTCCGAACGAACACCCGGGACATCGCCGGCCGCCGCCGTATCGCCCTGATCACCATCTTCAGGACCCCTATTCTGAGGCAAAAAGTGTCGATGACGGAGCGGACGATCAGAATCCACTGCCCATGGATCTCCACGTTCTCCGGGCGACCAGGGCCTCGGAAGCTGCCTTGGCGACTGATGTTGCGCGGAACTTTCGCCTCTAACCGTATTATGGAACCTCCGTGCTCTGTTTGACCGCAAACCGCCTCGCGGGAGTTTTTTCGGCACTGACTTTGCGATTGCCTCTGCATGCTTTCTCCATGCGGTTTCTTCAACCGCAGACTGCTTAGGCTGAATCGGCCGAGACGTTGATGCTGCATTCGCCAGTGATTTGTATCTTCCGAACCGCCCCAAGCCTGTCTCCTGTGCTCTGTGCCCTTCTCGGAAGTGGCCCGGTATCATCTCCGCACCCCAAAACCGGCACTCCCCGTTCCTGCCCCTCCTCCATCCCCGACTGACAACGAACAGGCTCCAGTGTGAGCAGCCGCCTCGCCTAGCTTCCCTACAGGACTATCCGCCATGCTTCTGCCTCCTCGACGTCGACTACCGTAGACTGGCAACAGGTTATGAAGCTTTGGCTCCGGAGCACCTCCACTTGGATAATCTCGCTTGTTAATGACGCTACTTCTTCCGAATGGGAAGCTTCCTAACCGATCACTTCCCTCATGGCCGTGGCATTTCTTCCCTTATAATGCTTCCCTATGGTACCGAGGCGATGCAGTACTACCCCATTATAATCCCCCATTACCCTGCCTATGTGCGTCCACCGTCCCGGCCCTCGGCTGGTCTCCACATGCGACCTGCTACCCCGGCTTTGTCAAAGGCGGCCCTTCCATCGCCGTGCTCTCTTTTGCGCACTCCAGCGAATCCCTGGCTACTGCCGACCTCCGGCACATGGGGTGGCCGCGCCAACCGCCCGCCGCACACTTCCAACCATACTCCGGCCCTTCCAACACCGTCCCACCCACCTTGCGCATCAGTTTCTCCATCAATAGCTGCCAATCCACCTCGTCGAGCAACAGCCAAAAGGCTACCGGCGATAACATGTCCACGATGTCCCTCGTGCAGCCGGACTACCCGGCTAGGTTTGCTCCCTCGCCACCACCAACGTCGCATCAACGGCCTTAATGCTAAACCGATAGCAAGAATCCCCCTGCCCCTCCTCTTGTAGTCGCTAGCCACCGGAGTCTCGACCTGCAAAAACCCTTGGAGAGTTCTCGTGACCAACTCGCATCCCCCTCACCAGGTCGACCCCATCCATATATATCCGACTTCACCGTGTCCCAATGGTAGACTCGACACGGTTGGCACCCACCTCGCTCAGCCGCACGCAATGCCCATCCAACTACCGACGACCGCCAAAAAAGGAGCCCTGCAATACTACCATAACCTCCTTCTTTCTTTCACTCTCATTCGCTATTGCCCGCCTTTGCTATCTACTCCAAGGAACGATGACACCGAAGGGTACTACTGGGCTTTCTTTTTCCGCAGACTTGCCCACACTAACCTTACCGTTCGCCGACCTCCTACGAAGTACTTCTCCCAACATAGCCATCACCCCCCTACTCAACTTCCAACCCCGGCTGCCTTCTTCACCCACGACCGCAGAAACAGATGGTCGAGACTGTTCGAGAGACCTTGCCAGCTCATTCCCGCATGCCCCCGCCTCTGATCTATCACCTGGGTAACATTCACTGACTCTTAAGTCTCCCCGACCATAGCCGCGAACACTCTCCCGACCAGCAAGAAAACCTGCTTTATAGGATGCCTGCCTACCTCTACTCTGCGTAACCTCCTTACACCTCCACGGTGACTACATCTGCCATATTCACTCGATGTCGGCCTCCCAGCTCGACGTCGATAGCTCGTCCTCCCGGCGGCAACCTCTTGACAGCCAGAAAAATGCTGGCGCCGACATGTCCATGATGGCCTTTGTCCAGCCCGGCTGCCCGTCTAGGTTCGCCTACCAGAATGAGCATCGTATCAAAGGGCTCAACGTGGAAACCCTAGCGAGGGTCTTCCTTCCGACTCCCTCATGGCTGTCGACTCCAGAGTACGCAGCAATCCGGTCAGATACTGACAGTCCATCGACCTGCATCTTCCTCAGCCTTAATATTTCCATATACAACCAACAGATAATCCCCTCGGAATGGACCGAGCAATGGTTCTTCATGGTCGGCCGTGTTCATCCCTTTGCCCTGACGTGGGAAATCGAGCGACGTGATGGCTTGGAGTCGGAGGATGACAACATCACAGAATACACCGTCCCCGCGCTTATCGTCCGCGATCACAGCTGCCAACCGTAAGTCTATGCTCCAAACCTCTCCGTCCCCACTACCCTCCCTGACGATATCCGCAGAGTCTTCCCTCGCACCCTCAACTCGGCGGATGCTTTCCCAACGATACAACCCATTGTCACCTTCACGGGACCTGTCATCGGCTCCGGCCGCGACCTCCTGCATGGAAACTCGGCTGCGGCCCTTGACGACAGCCAGCTGAGGTGCTGCGGCTTTGTCCAACTCTCCACCTATATTTGTCCTGGGATTCCCGGCAAAACACCCTTCAAGGGCTTTCACCCCTTCCAAGTTTTCGTCATCTTCCCCATTCATGCCAATCCTTGGACCTCTCTATGCAAGAAGATGACCGAGAGGGGCGACAGCCAATTCCAGCCGAACGCTCTCTTCACCTGTACGGGCAAAATCGCCGGCTTACTGGATCACCAGATCATGACACATGCCCCGGCTTTCGACCAAGACTATATCTTCATCGTTGTCCCCGATACGTGGACTTTCCTCGACAGGGCCATGTCCAACCAGGCTTCTGCGACACTACTGCCGACGACACCCAAGGGCACGGTCGGCAATCCCTCGGACTATAGCGATGCGTTGGCAAGGTTTACCTCTACCAAAAAACGCAAGGCCGCCCAAAGCCCCGCATCCCCCACGCCACCTGCATCTAGCCCAGTCCATCCCCATATACTCACATCAAGTCGGTCATTGCCCGATCCCTATCAAACCCCAACCAAAAGACCGCGACTTTCTCCCGAAACTTCCACCATAATCACCGCCTGTGACGATCAAGACTCCCCCAAATCCGACACTTCCTCCTTTCCGTCCCCGGAAGACCCCGCAGGGTCAGAGATGGACACCGAACCGGTCAATCGCCCGGGCACATCCGTCTCTGGCTCTATCAGACCTCCCACGTCGATCTCTTCCCGACCGCTCCGCGCCCGACGTCCGCCCAAGAATATTCTCTAAAGCAACGAACGAAACAATACAACATGACAAGGAACATGCTTCATCATCCTCAAATCTCAAGTGCGAAGGGCTCCAATAGGACACTCCCTTCTCCTCTTGCTCTCCTTTTCACAAAGACAATCAAGTCAAAACTTCCCCAATATACTCCTTATTCCGTTTATATCTACGACTTATAGCACCTGTAAATCTTCCGAGCCTTCCACTCGCCAAGACATGCATTACCCACCCACATCTCTCTTCAACCCTGCCGTCTCTCCACGCCCTTTGCGGCGTGCGGCTTTGCAAACCAAAATCTCCCTCCAGCGGCCTAGCCTGCCTCCCCGACGCTCTATCTCGACTTCACTCACGATAACGCTCTACGTCTCTCGCCGTATCTCGTATCTCGACCTCACTCTTCTTCCTGTCTTCCTCTCACTTCTCCCGTCTCCTATCTCCTGTCGCCAACCCTCTCCTGTGGCCAACTCTCTCTCTCTCCTGTGGCCAACTCTTCTCCTGTGGCCAACTCTTCTCCTGTGGCCAACTCTTCTCCTGTGGCCAACTCTTCTCCGGTTCTCCTGTCGCCAACTTCGTTCCGAAAGGCGTCTTTGCGCGAGCCGCGGCTGGCGAGCCTTCCTCTCGTATTAATTCAGCCCGAAGGGCGTTTATTCAGTCAGAAAGAGAGGCATAAAACCTCTTCTCATTGGCTAATTGGCCTCCCCTGTACTCAACTCGTGCGGGGAGTGGTCGGTTGGCAACGCCACCAAATGAAGGCCATGCCGCAAACCCCTGAGCGTTGACTAGGTAACGAGCTAGCCGTTTCCGAGAGCTTTTCTTCAATGCAAGTTTCAAGCACACGCTTCCACTTCCATCGTGGGTCGAATCTATCGAACCCATCGGTTACTAACGGATTCTAGGTCAAATTTAGCTCCGCGGCCGACCTAGCTACAACATTCCCTGGCACCACCTGCGGGTGTGTATTGCTGCAGCCACGCAAGTCCTCGCAAAGCCTCCCTGCCCGAGCAATATCTAGCAGTCTCGGTGGGAAAGAGGTGGATATATACTGGAACCTCCTTAGCAGTCGGGTACAGTCCAGGCTAACGCAGAGCGAGGTTGACAGCTTCAGGGCCGCTTTGCGGGTGTATTCTACCAGGGCCCGGGTCAACGAATACAATTACGAGCATATGGTGCATCTCAACGCCCCGGCAATACAGGTGGAGGCAAAGAATCAGGCAAGGGCGCGGGCAGGCACCAAGCGACAATGCTGGCAATCTATCTAACAAGTTCCTGTTGCTAAGGGCGCCAGGGTAATGCTCACTACTAACCTATGGCAGCCAGCTGGCCTAGTTAACGGTGCCCAGGGTACTGTATACGATATCGCCTGGAACCCAGGCGCCGAACCATTGGAAGATCCCCCGGCCGTTATTATGGTGGACTTTGATAGCTACGATGGACCGCCATATCTAATAACTAACGAGGGCAGGAAAATCTCACCCATCCTCCCAGTCAGGCGTGATTTCCTTATGGGCAACGAGACCTGCGCTCGCACGCAGTTTCCTGATGGTGGCGTTTGCTATCACTGTTCACAAATGCCAGAGCCTAACGAAGGAGCAAATAGTTACTGATCTCGCTACACGCGACTTCCAGGCCGGTATTAGCTATGTTGCTGTGTCACGGGTTACGTCGCTGCAAGGCTTACTCCTTGAGGCGCCTTTCGATCGTCAGAGCCTCTATAACCACACGCCGACAGAAGGTTTATAAGCCTGTCTCCCTACGTGCTGCGTTTACGGCTAACTACAAAGGCTAAAGCAGGGATGAAGATGCGCCTCGCTGACCAACAACGGCGTCAGGGTCAACAGCTGAGCGATGCACCGTATCCACCACTCTACCTTGACTAAACGACGTCTTCCTATAAGCTACATGTATGTATGTATGTGTATTTTTCGTCCAGCGGCCGTGAGGCCGCTCAGGTCCCGGTGGGGCACAGGACGTGCTGAGCTAGGGCTGTCTACAGTTTCCTCTCGCAAACGTAAACAAACCACCATCCAGCATTTCATCGGCTCTGAGGCGCTCCGTGTTGAACCTGGTGCCCGTCAGCGGGTCGTACAGGCGCGGCAGTGAGATTGCCATTCAGTTTTGGTCTCAAGGGACCGTTGTCGGAGACTGCAGAGCGCAGCCTCAGTTGACCCGGCCGGGCAAAGGGTGTTGCAGCACCTCTGCCTGGCCGAATCCGGGGAAGTTGAACAAAGGAAAGAGGTGAGGAAAGATGATACAGCCGCCTAGTGGCGAGGGCAAGCCCATTCAAAGAAGGAGGTCGCCTTCGCCAGCTTGACGAATCTGTCGAAGTCTCTGCCTATTGCGCGATTGACTGCTGCAGTCGGTGAGGTGTCAGCCTCATCCGATGCCGCGGCTCGATCTTTCGGCAATAAAAGACATGGTTTGGCTCTTTTCGTCGGCCACATGAGCACGTCAGTCGCGCATCGTCGTGGTTGAACCTCTCGTGGTAGTCGGCAAAGTCCCCGTGACGGGTTCGGGCTGCAAGCAAGTGGTGGAGTAGCGGTCGGGGGAGTTTGAGCTCCGGGGGGCAGCCGGTCGTCGGCTTAAGGTGCAGTGGCTTGTACTGTTCGGGTGCAGAGGCTTCCCACCAGGCTTTAACTGCACTTTTAGGCTGCTGCCTAGCAGCCCTGCGCAGATATGCCAGTGTCGGGACAGCGCCTGCGGGCTCGGGTTGAGAGGTTCCTGCTTTCGCTAAGGCATCGGCCTGCTCGTTGCCTGGGATGCTGGTGTGGCCGGGGATCCAGCGGACCTCCGTGGCACCGTGTGCTGTGGCCAGGGCCTGGAACTCGAGGAAGACATCCTGGGAGGAGTCTGCCGGCATGCCTCTGAGGCATGTTGCCGCCGCGATGTTGTCGAGACAAACGACTACCCTCTGCGATCGTGGGAGGCTTAGGGCAGCGCGCAGGCCCTCGAGCGCGCCTTTCGCTTCTGCATCAAAACCTCAGCGGGCCCAAGTCGGCCGCAGCCACTTAGGACGGTTTGCCCATCCAGATGGATGGCATAGCCATAACCGACCGCTGCATCCGAGGAGAGCGATCCGTCTGAGTAGACGACCAGAGTGTGTGGTGGCACTGACCGGAGCCAAATGCGGAAATCCGCTGCTGACTGGTCTTTCGGGGCGGTTTGCAGAGGCAGCGCCTGATCGTCGCCGAAGCGGCGAGGGAGGAGACTGGCCGCCTGCTGCAAGGCAGCAGCTGGTCACTGCGTCGAAGTCGGGTCCGGAAGCCTTCTCGCGGCACCTGGTACTTCAGTTTGATCGACCTGTGGATGACAGGGGGCTTGGGCCGGACTGTACGTTTCGCAAGCGGATGGGCTTCATCGAGAGACTTGAGGCGGGCCGCGAAGCGCATGCGACGCCCTCGAGCAGTTGTATCACCGGTGGAATGCCGCTCTCGATGGAGGGCATTGATCGGCGTCGTCCTCCAAACAGGCAGGATGGCTCGGATGGATGTGTGAAGCGACTTGTTCATCTTTCGGATGAGTTGCTGTATCCCGGATGGTCCTTCTTTTGCTGGCTGGGTCCATCGCGGGCTGGTTAATCCGGGGTACCATGCCTCGGTGCCGTGGAGCAGCACCGGTTCGATACATGCTCTTACGGCTCTGCGAACGGCACCGGAAGAGGACCATGTTTGGTGTTTGCCAGACTTTTCAAGTGATAGGCCACGACCTGTGCCTTGGCTGTCCACTTTTCCACGTGTGTCTTGAACGACAGGGTGCTGTCGAGCCAGATGCCTAGCCATCGCAGTGCTCGGTCAGGGCGCTTCTCTGAGTCGCCGTGAAATATAGGCGGGCAACTTTAGGTTTGCTTCGACAGAAATGCATGACCTCAGTCTTCATCGGGTCGAAGGCGATGCCGTTGGCGGCGCCCCAGGCCACAAGTTCGTTTACATAGCGCGACGCTCTCTCGGCTGTCTTCTCCAGGAGTTACCTATGCATAGGATACCCGTGTCGTCTGCGTAGCCGAAGCGCCCTTCGGCTTCCCTAGGCGGTAAATTGGTTCCGTGTACAACAGAAAAAGGATGGGCGAGACTGGTGATCCCTGGGGGAGGCCGCATTGGAGAGGCGAGCTGGGCGTGGTAGTGTCCTGGTATCTGACGCGCGCCGAGCGGTCATGCATGAAAGAACCAGCCCATCGAGCGAGATGTTCTGGCCACCCCTGCTCACGGAGGCGAAGGATCAGCCTGTTGCGGAGGACAGTGTCGAAGGCTCCCTGGATGTCCATAGTCACCAACGTGGCAACTTGTCCGCGGGCAAACGCCTCTTCAATGTCATGCAGCAGAGCGGCAACAAGGTCAACGGCAGATCTCTTCGGGAGAGCGCCAGCTTGTTGTGAATGGAGGACTCCGTAGTGGACGGAGGCCCATGCCAGGCGCCGTGCGATGAGCCGCTCGAGACCTTTGCCTAGGCAGGACAGTAGGGAGATGGGTCGCCAGGCACGAGGGGTCGAGAGGTTCCTTCGGCCTGGTTTTGTTATCATGACTACTTCGGCCTCTCTGAACGGCTTCGGGTGATGGCCGATGGTGAGGCAGCCTTCGTACAGCCGCTGGACGTGGCTTCCGATAATACGCCATACCGCCTTGAGCATTTGTACCGTGATGCTGTCGGGGCCGGGAGACGTGTTTCCTGTCCGTAGGGTTGCGTCGCGCACTTCCTCGCGACACCTGTTGCGTGAAGGGAACGGTTTTCGTTGTGTCGACTGGGATCCACGGATCTGGGATGTCGTCGTCCGCCGTGCGCCGCTCGAGCGTCGCCCGCCGTAGGGCATTGGCTTTGTCAAGCTGCGTCTCGTAAACTACATCGCCTACTTGTAGGGGCGGAGGCTGGAAAGCGCCCGGTGATCTCAGCCATCGGACCGCTTTGAATACGGAGGCGCTGTCAGTGAAGCTGTCGATCAGATTGCGCCAGTAATGTCTTTGGCTCGCCGCACGACTTTCTGGAAGTCTCTCTTGCAAGCTGGACTTCCGATTGAAGCCGAGAGGGTAGACTCTCCTAATCGCGCGGTATTCCGCCGCGGCGAGGGCGCATTCTTCTGTCCACCAGGGCGCGCTGCGTGCCCTTTGCGGACGGGCGACCGGCGGCCTTGGCTGCCAGTTGGAGAAGTTCCACGAGCGCCAACGCCAGGGAATCAAGCTCTTGGGGAGACGAGGCCGCGGCCGGGATAGCTGTTGCTCCGGAATCGACCATTTCGGCGAAACGAGCGAGCTCGTCGTCAGAGGTGAGGCGGACCTTTCCTAGCGGCACCGAGGCCGGAGCCAGGTCAGCGAGTGTCACGCTGAGCGTGAAGTGGTCAGAGCTGGTGGCCAGGTGTTCCTCCACGACAGCTTCGGATAGTGGTATGTTGGAGAAGGCGAGGTCTATTGTGTTGCCATGTGGGTTCGTTGGCACATCGGCAGGGTTGAGCAAGCTAAGGCCGTTCTCAGAGGCCCAAAGGCGATGTCGTCACCTCGGCCATCGAGCCGGCCGGTTTGCCAGCTACTGTGTTTGGCGTTGAAGTCGCCTGCTACTAGGCACCTTCCTGGTGTGGTCCACTGGAGGAGCATCTCCAGTGCTTCATCGTAGTGCGGTTGTCGATAGAAGTTTACTACTGTTATGTTGTTGATGGTGAGCCAGAGAATGTCGCGGGTCGCCACAGGCCTCCTCTGATCTGTCATCAGGCAGGGACTCCGCCGGACATAGGTCATTACTCGGGGTCGGGTGCTGTTGTCGTCCCAGCTGTCGACTGGGGAGAAGGTATCGTAGGCTGGGTGGGTTTTGGTAAGACATCGGCCGTCCTTGGCTTCCGTCCACGGCTCCTGGAGGAGCACTATATCGTATCGTTCAGAGTCGGCGAGGGCAAGGGCGCAGTCATGTGCTGGCGAGATCTTGCCAACGTTAGCTTGGAAGACTCGCAGGGTCTTCTTGTCGCTTTGGTTCACGCGGGATGTCTCGTCATGGAGATAGTGCAATGGGGCTGATGCGTCGCTTCTTTGAAGGGAAGCTGGTCTAGATTCGTTGCCCTCGCTCTGAGGCTGAGGTGTCGTGGTTACCATAATGAATGGCGGAGACATGGTCCTGGTCGAGCTTAGGACCGAGGTTTCGCTCCTGCCCCGTGACCTGTCATCTGGGTGCTCGGCTTCCTGGTCGTCGGACTGAGCAGTGCTCGGAGCTATGGAATTGAGAATCTCGGAGGAGTCTCGTTCTAGCTGTTCGGGCTGGTCTATGCGCTCGAACTGTTGCTTCCGCTGAGCAAATAGTTGGGTGCCCATCTGTCGGACGAGGGTTTTCTCCTCCTTCGTCAGGCGGCGAATGACGCCGTGTGATCGCTTGGGGCGTGCAGGGCATTTCGAGAAATCTGCGGAATGGGGTCCGAGGCAGTTTGCGCACTGCTCGAGGGCTACGCAGGTTTCACCGTCATGGCCGTTCCTTCCGCAACGCTTGCAGGACGGTTGTCGGTCACAGCTGTGTCGAGCGTGGAAATCCCAGCATTTGTTGCACTGGCTGGGCATGCTGGATCTGACGATGTGTCGGGCAAGTCGGCTGGAGCCAAAAGTCTCCAAGGTCTCTGGGTAGGCTCGAGGAAGGACACAATAAGCGTCTTACTCGGAAGGTCGCTTGAATCGTGCCGGCTGGGACGGATGCTGATGGGTGTGAGCCCGGTCTGGCAGGCGATTTCGTCTTTGACGGCCGCCTCGTAGTTGACTTCATTGCCCTGCAAGTCCGTAAGTCTTCGGGGCAGTTGGGCACGACGTACGTGTACCATTTGTGACTAATCTCCACCGAGGTCGCGTCTAGGTCCTCGGACCATTCCGACTGTCGCTGGACGATGAGGTCCCTGATGGTAGCGTCCGTTGTTCGGATGGCCCATCCCGAGTTTACCTTGAAAGCTGCCGGGACCCGGTGCAAGTCGATGCCGACTTTGGCGGCGATGTGGGTCCGAATTGCGTAGCTGCTGTGGTCTCGCGCCGGCGCTTCGGCATCGAGCCGCACGAAAACACGGAGGTCTTCTTTTGGTGGGCGGGATTGGTCGTCCCTGGAGACGGGAGATTGGTTGTTGTGGTCGTTGCTGTTGCGGGGCTGCGGCGGCCGGGAGTGTGGCCCCCGAGGGGCTGGCTTGCAGGGCGACCGGCGGCGACGCTGCTGTAGGTCGGGGCGGGTGCGGAATTGAGGTCGGAGAGCGCCTGCTTCCAAAAGTCGAGGAAGCTGTTGGAAAATTGTTCCGCAAAGCTGTATTCAAGGCCGGACGTGTATTGTTTCGCAGTCTGTTCGAACGATTCACAAAAGGCTCGGAACACTGTCATTTTGGCGTTGTAGGCATTTGTTTGTTCAACTGCGAGCTTGTTGGCAGCTTCAACGATCGAGACCGGCTGGAGGTTAACGGACTCGGCCGAGCCAGGCCGGTTCGGGGTGGATTCACGCTGCGCTCCTTCCGTAGCGGCGGCATTGAGAGTCTGATAAGGGGCGAGGACGGCGTCGCCGCCGGTCGCCGAAACGCGGATGTGAGACCAATGGGACGGCTCGCAATGGGGGAACTATGTCGAAGCTGAGATGCACGGGCTAATCGCGCGAGGTTGGGCGGGGTATGGACACCCAGATCAAAGGGATCTGGGCTGGCATGCGAGCTTGTGGCAGATGCCATGGCTGCTGCCGAAGCCAGCGCAAAGCGCGGCTGGAATGATTAACGTGCAGTTGTTAGGCAAGTTGGTGGGAAATTGCGCTACTTTCTTAACAATTGCATGCCAAGAAAGTAAGAAAACAGGGGAAGGTCCGCGTTCCTATAAGCTACAGGGAAGGGGGAGGTTCGATATAGGGTATATAGTTAGATTGGGCCAGTCAAGGAGCGGTTTAAACAGCTGGATGGCCGCCGCAGGCGAAAGGGGGGTTCTAGGGGGTCCCCCCCTAGGAAAGTTGAATTGCAGGAATACGATGTTCACCCTTCGGGCTGGATATTCAGCCGTTAAGCCCCTTGCCTTGGCAACTTAACGGGTGTTCGAAGTATTTTACCGATATTGTCACGTCACAAAGGAGGGTTTCAACAGAAGATATGCTAGTAGGTTACAAAGGAGAAATCTGGGTATGTACAGCCGTGTAAGAGTGAGGGAAAATACGTTCGCTGTGCCCGCTGAAATAGGTGACCGTGTGGAAACGGTCTCCCGAAGTACCACTTTCAAGCACCCCACTAGGTTTGGTTGGGTTCTGCCGCGACAGATATTAATCCCTTTAAGAGACATACGGCGCCGTTTATCGCCTAAGGCCTCCGCAGCCTTGTGATGCTGGCGGAAAACCTCCTGGTACAATACGGAAACTCGGTTGGACGAATCGCTTGTGGGGTAAGGTGGTCTTTTCATACAACACAAAGGGTTTTGGAGACGATCGCGGGCTGTTTAAGTTTGCTCTCCGGTGCTCGGCGTGACTAGCTCCATATTCGCTGATTCGCTCAAGGCCATTGCCGGCAAAGAGAGGGATGAGCCAACGTTAATAACACTTTTCAACGAATCGTTACTGTCGAAAACAACTTTCACCATAGTGTCCCTGCTCAACGGTTTGGATGTCATACCAATGGGTCGCATTTGCGTGGTCCCAGAACCCCAACTAGTAACTAGATGACGACCTACTTTTATACTGGGAATTAGATCACTCTGAATATTGGCTCCCCACAGTTATTCGGCAGGTGAATATGGTGCTACTGTCCTACGTGCCGTGCGCTGGAATGGGCCTGTAATTACGGATGTATCAGCTGAGAATCATAAGCGTATGTACTTACAGCCAGGTGGCCAGGGATTGCAAATCCAGAGTAGCCACAGTTGTACTTTCAGCTCGACTCGCTCAATGTCTGCAGCGCAGCTAAACCTCCGTGAAATAACTGATACAGGACTTAAATATTATGACATTGTCGTATCTCGACGTCAAGATAGCTAGTGCGTCCATCCGCTCAACGCCGTGAGGCTTATCATATCAAGGTATAAGCTATAGTATATGAAGGATATATAGCCGCGCCAATCCAATCCAGTCGCTCAAGACCAGGGCAGCTGATTAAAGCATTTACTGAACCACGACCAAGCAGATGACACATATAGACATCCAGCTAGAAGTAGGGAACATGCAAATGCGTGACAGCTTCAACCAACGACTATTGTTGAAAACGTAGCCAGTTTGAGAGCTTTATTGCTCGCATGAGCGGCTAGAACCAATAATACATGCTAATTCTTTATTCTACAACCGTCAGAACAGTATGTAGCCGGGCCAAGATAGCCAGTAATTTGGCCTCATGTTGGACAGTTGTCGAGAAGAAGGGTCTAAGACTTGGTCCTGAAGCCTGATAGCTAGCTGAAGGTGTAGGAACGAGACAAGATGAAAGTGGGATGACGTGGCACGCTGACGCGGAGAGAGGGTGCCTATGCATTAGTAAGTCAGCAAGGAAGGAGATGGAAGACTGAAGAAGAGAGGGGCAATGGGCATAAATGGGAGAATGGTACAGCAGACAGGGAGGAAGAAGAAGGAGAACACATGCACCCCTAAAAACATTATGCCCCTTGCCCTGCTCTCTTCGTGAGAGTTATGAGCCCGGGAGAAACAGACGTTTCTGTAACTTCCGGCTGCTGCAAGAAGCACCGATCATCTGATCATTACACCTATTCCCACCCCTCCGTCAGCAAAGATGACAAAGACAGGGACTTCGACCCAACGGACGATCCTACGGGAACCCCAAGATTGGGATAAGTGGATCAAAGAACTAAAAGCTCATACTGACAAGACGATTCACAAGCTGTTATTTGATGAAGACAACAGCCCGCTGGAACCCCATTCGTCCTCCTTATACGGATTTTGCTGCTGATGCTAATGAATTTGCTGAACAAACCCCAGCGCAGCAGAGAGCATATGCAGCCATGTTTAGCCAATATGAGAGTCTTCGCAAGGAGTATCTCTATGAAACCAAGCTGATTACAGCTGCTCGGACTGTCATTACCGAGTCGATTAGCCCAGCAAAGCTAACCTCTCTGCATGAGGATGAAACTCTACGAATGGATCAAAAGCTCGAGGACTCAACTGCACCGTCGAGAGGGTTTATGGCTGACCGAATCAGAAGCCAATATACTGCCCACCTGAGGTCCTTTTCAAAGCAGACCGTTTCTTCCTGGTTGGCCAAGTGGGAAGAAATTATTGAACAAGCTGACCAATACTTCCTTATTGAAGCACTGACCGGACAATGGCTGAGAGACATTGCTCTGCTAATAAGACCTCTTAGTGACGGTACTGCTACTTCGTTCAAGAACGCCAGCAAAGTCCTGGATGAAGACGCCGCTGCAGCTCAGCACAGAGTCTACAAAGAGCTACGCCCGCGATCAGATGTTTCCATTCGTCGTCAAACGCCTCACGATCGAAATCAGCCACAAGAACGATGGACCTTCCAGTCAGTTGCCCGGCAAATCCGAGAGTTGGTCGAAGAACAACGCCCAAGTCAGCACCTTCGACCTCTAAAAAGAGGAGGCGCCTTTCAAGCAGACGGAACACGAAAGAAGAGAAAGACATCTCCCTCATCAGACGAAGAAGAAAATGAAGATCAAGACCGCTGTCCAGCCTGCAAGAGGATCGGCCATGAACTTAAGGACTGCTGGCTTGTTTTTGAGGACCGCCGACCAAGCTATTCAAGAAAGGCTCCAAAACGGATCGCCGACAAGATCAAAAGAGTAATTGGCGAAAGCCCTGACCTTCAGAAGAAGATTGAAGAAATCAAGGCCGGTCGGAACTAGCAACTACAGCTACGAGGAAGAATAGTTGGTACAGCGAATCCAGCCTTCGTCTTTTCGTCAGGAACTACGGCTGCCTCTTCGGACTACCCTCTACGCCGGTCTTCCCTTCTTGACTCGGGAGCTTCCCTTCACATCTGCAACGATCTCAGCCGATTCCGTTCCTTCAAGAAGGCCAAGAAAGACTATGTTGTCACAGGCGAATCAGAGGTTCGAATCGAAGGATACGGGAAAGTCACCTACAAGATGACTATGCCTGATGGATCCTACCGAACGCTCAAACTGAAAAATGTTGCCTACTGCCCGAGATTCTCAACGAGCCTGATCTCATTCAACAAGCTGCTAGAGGAAGGAATCCACTGGGATACTCTTTCTAAGCCAACCCGACTAGTCCAGCGAAACAAGACCATTGGTATCCTTCTTCGAAAGCATCATCAGTTTGTTGTCGAATTCAACCCAATTTGGCAAGGGGACTTCAACGAAGAAGCAATCTTCAAAGCTGTAACGCGGGACAGCACAAGAGACCCTCGTCCAGCAGCCCAAGGAGACGGCAATCTTTGGCACGCACGCCTCGGTCATCCAGGCCCACTAGCTCTTCATAAGCTAGGTCTCCAACAAGGAGTCAAAATAAAGGGCCCGAAGACTGCTGAATGCGAGCACTGCGCCCGAGGAAAAGCTCGAAAGCAGGTGTCACGAAGAACTCCCGTTAGAGAGGACAAGCCCTGCCATGAGGTTTGGATCGACTGGACCGACCTTTCCGCAGTCATAACGACTTCGTCCGGGTGATGTTTATCACGGACGCCTTTTCAGGCATGGTTTTCCCCTATTTCATGCGGACCTACAGAGAGAAACACAACTGGGCCGCCCTTCGAGACTTCGTCAGCTGGATGAAGGAGCACTTCGGCTTTGCTGTCAAGATAATCCGGTCAGACGGAGAGCTATTTACGAAGAAGATTCGATCCTGGCTTCGAAAGAAAGGAATTTCAGCTGCACCTTCTGCACCAAACACCCAGGCTCAGAACGGCGGTGCCGAACGATCCGGAGGAGTAACAATAGAAAGGGCTAGAGTCATGAGAATTGCCTCAAAGCTTCCCCACGACCTGTGGAAGGAAATTGTGGAAGCAGCATGTTACCTACGGAACCGAACGCCAAGAGAGCCTAAAGTGCCGTCTGACCTGAGGGGTGCAAGCCAGTCATGGAAATCTCCAATTGAGCTCTTTACTGGAAAAATGGCACAGCTTGCCCATCTTCGAGCCTACGGTTGTAAGGCCTACGCGATGACTTCAAACGCACAGTTGAAACGAAAGCGTCTTCAGAAGCTTGATCCAAGAGCACACATTGGATACCTTGTCGGATACAACTCAACGAATATCTTCCGGATCTGGATTCCTCTTTACGGAAGGTAATCTCAACAAGGGATGTGATTTTCGATGAAGACTCTACTTTGATGGAAAGCTCCTTCAACAGCCGCTCTCAGATAGCATCGACGAGCTTGTCCAGGAGATCGAAATTGCCGAAGATCAACAAGCAAAAGAAGTAGCCCTCGATGAAGAAACCGATACCGAATCAGATATCGAGGACTTCTATGACGACTTTGAAGACGAAGAAGACCGTGACCAGGAACAAGAAAAAGGAGACTATGAGAGAGCCCTTGAACTTGAAGAGGCTTCACTTCTTACACCTCCAGCTTCAGAAGAAGAAGACACTCTTTCAGCATTTTCAGTTCAGCTTCCTGTTGCTACCCCTGAGGGGGTGGATAACGAGACCTTCTCGCCAGATATCCCCGCTGTGTTTACGACCCTCCTTCAAAAAGCACGAGAAGCATCGGACCAGACAGGGATAGACCAGGAAGACCAGTTGTTTGACCGATTCGCTGATTTTGTCCCTACCCCTGTTGAAGACGGATGCCATGGAGCTTTCACAGCAGGCAGGCAATTCAGACCGACCCCGAAGAATATGCACAAGAGAGATCTCCGGATCCACCAATGAACCAGAAGCAGCTCCAAAGGCACCCATTCAAAGAGGAATTATGCAAGCCCAAAGAGACCACCTAGCCTCACACGAAGAGATGGGGTCCTTGAGGAAGTTCCTCGGAAGAAAGCCTGAGGACAACAGGTTCTTGGATGTCAATGGGTCTTTGTGTACAAGACTGACAAACACGGGATCCTTCGGAAGTGCAAAGCCCGCCTTGTGGTCTGTGGGAACCAGCAAGAAAAGGAGACCTTCCGACTAGAGCCACAACGTTAGCAGGGATGTCATTCCGGACCCTGATGGCTCTAGCAGCTGAATACGACCTTGAGCTTGATCAGATGGACGCGATCAACGCATTCGTAAATTGTCCTCTTGAGGAAGAAGAAGTCGTCTTTATGAAGATGCCCCCTGGCTTTGAGAGGAGGGGTAAAGTTCTACGGCTACGAAAGGCCCTCTACGGACTTCGCCGTTCTCCCCTTCTTTGGCAGCAGCATCTCACTGCATCCCTCGAGAAGATTGGCTTCAAGACAGTCCCTCAGGAACCATGCGTCATGATGAAAGGAGCCGTCATCGTCTTCTTCTACGTCGACGACATCATCTGGGCCTATCGAAAAAGGGATCAGCAAGTCGCCACGGAAGCTATATCCGGCCTGCAGCAACGATACAAGATGAGCATACTAGGGGAACCAAAGTGGTTCTTAGGGATCCGTATCCTTAGGCACCGACCTAGTCGGACGATCTGGCTGACGCAAGATGCCTATATCGACAAGATCGCTCATAAGTATGTTCCGGACAAGCTAGGCATAAAGCCTCCTAGCACCCCAATGGCCACAAACGAAGAACTCGTTTCAGAACCGATCCAAGCAAGAGACCAAGACAAGCATAGCTACCTTCAGAAGGTCGGATCTCTCTTATTCTCAGCAATTTCAACAAGACCAGATATCGCTTTTGCAGTCTCCCGACTAGCCCGCTTCAATCAGAATCCAGGCCCGACACATCAGAAGGCAGCAGACAGAGTGATCCTATACCTCTATGCCACACGATCATATGGTCTACGCCTCGGAAGTTCCGGAAGCACAAAAAGGGGCAGCAGAAAGCCGGCTGCAGCAGAGATTTTCCTCTGTTCAAGCGATTCCTCTTTGCAGACAATTCAGTCGACAGGAAGAGCTCCCAGGATATGTCATGACCCTATTTGGAGGCTCTGTCGCATGGAGAGCATCAAAGCAAGCTACTGTGGCTACCTCAAGCACAGAGGCAGAGCTGCTCGCTCTTTCAGAAGCATCAAAGGAAGCCATCTTCCTCAGCAGACTGCTCCGTTCTTTGCAACTACAAATCCGTCGCCGTTGGTAGTCGAGTGCGATAACACGCAGACTATAAGGCTCCTAGAAGAAGGAAGTCCGAAGTTGTCAACCAGGCTACGGCATGTTGATATACACCAACACTGGCTACGTCAGGAAGTGCAGGGAAGCAGAATACGCCCTCGTTGGGTTCCAACAGCTGAAATGCGAGCCGATGGGTTGACAAAGCTCTCCCAAAGCAGAAGCTAGCGGAATTCCTTCGGCTGATTGGGCTTGAAGAGATTGGTGAAAGGTTGAGACTGGAGGCTAGGCTGGAGGCGCTGAAGGACAAGATCAAGGACTGTAGGGAACACCGAATGAGGCCGTCTCACGACCTACACGAACACTAGCCCGGCTCAACTGAGGTTGCCCTTGCAAGTCTGGTTGTATCTGTTCCCTCTGCTAGGGATAGGCAACAGCTAAGGGGGTGTGTCGAGAAGAAGGGTCTAAGACTTGGTCCTGAAGCCTGATAGCTAGCTGAAGGTGTAGGAACGAGACAAGATGAAAGTGGGATGACGTGGCACGCTGACGCGGAGAGAGGGTGCCTATGCATTAGTAAGTCAGCAAGGAAGGAGATGGAAGACTGAAGAAGAGAGGGCAATGGGCATAAATGGGAGAATGGTACAGCAGACAGGGAGGAAGAAGAAGGAGAACACATGCACCCTAAAAACATTATGCCCCTTGCCCTGCTCTCTTCGTGAGAACAGTACACTATTCGCTGCACCGCTGTTGCATAATCAGTCTGTCGCTGCCAGCACAGAGCACCTCGACCGTGACTCGCTTGTGTGATTATCATACTAACACGACAGCTATCATGTTTCAATAACATGGCTCCAGTGACTCTCCACTAGTCTGCATGCTGTTTAAGGCACACATTGCCCTCAATCCATATCGGACGGGCTCGCATAGAGTCTTCGTTTGATGCTCCAAATGTACTGTATCAGCTGAGACCTCTATTTATTTCAAGTGTGCAAAGGCAAGTCTCAAAGTTCTGTAATGGAGTGACTACGGTTGCGCATTTCATTACCCCGACTTGCGCGTTCAGGCTCACTGACCAACTGAGGACAAGCATTTTAGACGTTCCCGGCAACTGCTGTGCAGTGACAAAATGTGTCGTTCGAATGGACGTCTAGTAGTGGTTATAGGAATCCCTTTCATTGCTGAGCTTGTCCGGCTCATACATAGCGAGCCGTTCTCGCATATTGTGACTTCGCTTGACAGTCAGGTGTGAATGTAGTAGGTGCAAGTCTACAGATGCCGCGGTAATAAGTCGCCGTGGGAGCACGTTTAAAAGATAGCGCTTCGCAAGGCCAATACGGGACAGATCCTGCGGCATACGTCTGTTTGACCAGTTGGGGTGCTGTAGACAAACAATGGCTCCGAAGGTAAAGTAGACAGTCACCGCTGTGACTCATCACCAACCACCATAATAAATACTGTACACCATCAACGGCCTACTGACCAACTGGCCCCCGACCCGCCAGCCTCCCATTTTGGAAGTCAAGGCAGCACTCTACCGCTTTGGGGTGCGCTTGTCGTGGGGACTGGCACGCGCCTAGGATGCCTGCAGCTGATGCCCAACGGCTTTCATGTGCGCTTTACCCCCATGATGACATCAGGCCGTCTGGAGACACACCGCAGTTCAGTTGTCACTTCGATTCAGTGCTGCGGTATCAGCTGGGCATGAGCTCATAGATAGCCCTGGGAAGGGCAGAGAAATTATTAGAAGGAGAGGGCGTCAATGCTGGCATTAATGATTCACTCCTCGGTCGCCAGTCTACTAGTTCTGATACCTTTAGTGCTACCCTGATATAGACCACCGCCGTGCGTACGCGACTGTGGTCGCGCGAGGCGTGACAGAAAGCGGAAGGGCCCATCCTACCTCCCTTTGCGTCATCACCTTCGGCTAAGTGCCCGATCATCGATTAATCGCTGTATCCAACTTGGGATATAGCTAAAAACAGCAACCCGGCCACTTGGAGCAGTGGCGGCTCTAAGTTGTATTGCTTTTCTACGTACAAGTCGTGGTCTCATGATCATCTGCGCTGCAACACTGTCAGGAAGAGATCGGCGAGAGTCACCTTTTGCCGCCCCGTGCTGCCGTCGCTCTATGTGCGACTCTTTGTCACGTTTTATCGGAACAACTGTGGAAACAATGATCAAGCCAGGCACCCAGTCAAGATACTACGCCCCTGGATAGCCAACTTCTCAGACAGTCCAATAAGCACTTATGTCCCATAGGTCGCACGAGACAGCGGACAGGCAAAGGGACCAGAATAGCATCAGCAAATGGATGAACGATGTAAAAGAGCGTGACCAAATGTACGGAATTGTGCAGCTCTTTATACACGAATAGAAGGTTCATCAATAATTACGCAGTAGCTGCTACCTAGCAGGAAAAAGTGGCGTTACGAGAAACTATTGTCACCTTATGAATAATCATTTTAGGCAGAATTGATATACAACACTTGTACCGGCATCTTGCAAACAAGTGGTCCAAGCACGAAATACGGAAGGCAAGGCGGCAGTGGATTTATACAACGCAAACCGGTCGCAGCGCCCCAAACCCGCCATGCTGTAGATCAATCCTTGCCTCAGTGCCGAATTGTGGTGCACATGAAGACACCATTTTGCGCTGAAGTTTATGCACTACTGTACAATAAATGCATAGTACTTACAGGCATCTTGCTGACTGCACACTTGGCGCGACTCCAAGTTCTTTAGTGGCCGGCCGCAGAACAGGTCCAGACGGTACCTAAACCTACGTTCAAGGGAAGCCATGCGGTGTTACAACCACAAGAAGGTTCAGAACATAGACTCAGAAAGCGTGACTCACACTTTTGACGGAGCGGTGTTTGTCTTGAAGCGCTTCTGGCCTAGGGCGTCGCGTGCAATGTGGAGCATCAGGGTACGATTTCGATTCTATCTCGTTTGGACTGTTTGTCGCCGCGAGGCAAAAAGAATGGTGTGACAAGGACAGAAGATAAGCGGCGAGGGCGCCTAATAATCGTCAATGAGTACGGTGACCTACAGTAAACCCAGAACTTACGTAGCCCACGTACTCATCTACGACGCTACTTTCCCTCATGCGTGCACAAACGTCGAAGCTGATTCCCATGCACAGCGAGTGAGGGCTTCAGTCATAAATAGCAATGATTCCTTCACATTCCGAGAGAAATGGCAGACGAGACCGCAAATTTGAGTACTGTACCGCAATGAAGACGAGGTCGCAAGCGAGAATGTCCGAAAAAGTTAGGCAAGCGGCCAGTGAAGCCCCTCACAGCGAATTGACCGATAAGAAAAGCTGGGAAAATCTGGTGATCATTGAAGGCATGGTTGCCGATCCCAAGGGTGGACTCCTGGTATACATAACATGTAAGGCGGATGGTAGGAAATTTACGCATACTGCTTCAACCATGTATAAATTCTGCCCTCAAGAGGTTCGTCACATTCACATCCAGAATTCGCTCGTTGAACTGAAGTGAATTCTTTAGATGCTTCATTTTTATGAAAAACATGTTCGGTTTATCGACTTAGTTGAAGTCAGTAAGGGTTGTAGCGCGGCTGCTACTGATGCATAGGTGGCACTGCCTACTAGTTTTAAACGAAGGTCGTCCGATCGCTATTTCATAGCCTCAACTGGACTGCGGAACTCGACGGTGCCTGACGCCGATACTCTATGCTTAGCATCGCAGACGTCGTCCTAGTTCTAAGAAAGGCAAATACATGTACCTGAAGGCAGCGATATCCTTCCTGTAAAAGGCAGAATTGGAGCAAGGCTTGGTAGACTAGAAATGCAAACAAACTTCATATGTATTTGCCACTTCATGTTTCTCTCCCTCGTCCCTCCTTCCGCGTATAATGGTCTTCAGTCGCTGTCACTCCTCCCCGTGTGTGCTCTCTCAGACTCGCATCCTGTACAACTCCTTCTCGATTGTATCCTCGCTCTCGCTCGTTGTGCTGTTTCTTGTTGCCTCTTGTCGCTGATCCCGTCGCTACCGTGCGTGATGAACTGTCTGGCTGCCGCGCCCCGCACATTCTCTGGTGTGTATTGCGCTGGGACACAGTATCTGTCCGTTTGTTCGCACTCACGTGCTGCGAGACTATTGTCCGTATGCGTGCCGCTCTGTGTTCCTTTGATCCACGTTCACTTCCGAATGTGATTCCCATTCGCTACTCTCATTGTGGTAGAACTCTGCCTCGCTACGTTTCAGGGTGCAACGCTGCGCGTGGCGGTTCGCATATCTAGCCATCCCTACGGGGTTGAACGACGGCCGTGCTTATAAACGGGGTTGGCCCTTGTAAACGGGCTTAGACTAATAAACCTTTAGACCCTAAGTACACGGTTTCGCGGATAACTGTCTTTCTACTTTTCAATGGTATCATCCTCAACGCTAGTACTCCTTAAACTCGCTACAGTGGCCGTCTTTGCATCCCTCGCAAAGATCCCTATTGTGCGGAGGACCCCGACGCTCGCCATGGGGGGGCGTCTCCATCTGGATCCCACACCACTTCTTCAGACGGTACGCCGTCCTCTCGGCGTATGAGCTGTCCAGAATGGGCCTACTGAGGCTGCTGCAGCTTTTGCAGCGCTGGTGATAGACCCGCACGTTATACTGAGCCCCCGAATACATCCGTATGGTGACTGCAATCTTCTTGCTCGACCAGCCGTGCGAGTCGCATGTGCGATTGGGACAGACAAACCTACCCATCACGTTGGTGTCCCATTGCTTATCGCAGTTCTGTCCGTCGTCCGTCGTGTGGAAATCAAAGAACAAATCCTCCTCCTCCAGAAGTCCCGACACATCGTCGTGCAGCTTGGGGTACATGGACCACCTTTTGGGTGGATTCCGCCTGTTGGGCATCGTGGTCGCTAGTCTCGGTGAGAGCAATCGGGAGTAAAGCTCCGAGTGCACAGAGCACGGTTAGACGTGTCCCGAGGACGCAAAGTACGATCGACAGGATTACCAACGGAGCAGCGCACTGAGTATCGTGCTTCCGGGAGCAAGCCGTGTCTGAAAGTCCGTTGCAAGAGAAAGGCGCCTTCTTACATGGTAAGCCGGGTACGAAATACATACTCGCTGACGCGAGATGGTGAACACTCACTGCTCTTCCGCTCGAGGGGGGAGAGAAAGTCTGTCCGACGATCGCTCAGCGCGGGGAAGGAACCCCCCCTTTTGCCCTTCACCTATTCTGGCCGAACAGTTCGAGCCGTCCAAGGTCAGTCCGCCCGGTTGAGTCACAGGTGCACTATTGCTCGTTGCTTCTCAGCATATCTGGTTTTGATGTACATAGCAGATCCAAGATCAGATCTCGCATGCGCCCAGCACAAGTGGGGAGAAGCGCCCCAGAGCCGGGGGTTGTATCGCCCGCGTGGGATGGGGGACTCCGTCTGTGTCTATCGATTAAAGGAAAGAAAACAAATCTGAGTTTTCAGGACTCAGGAGAAGTGCAAAGGGCGCCCCTCTTATACTCTGTCCGGTGACTCGAGTCACACGGACGTCGTCCCACAGTTGGACAGACATTGCATGATGTCCGCATGGGAGCCTGCAGCCAACCACTATAATTTCTCTTGTCTTATTGGTGAACCCACCACACTTCGTTCCACCCTGTCACTGCGGTCTACACATCACGCAATCCCCAATTGAGCCACAAAAAGGCCTGCCACCGTCAACGCCTTTCCAAACCAGTGTGAAAAACTTCAACGAAGCTTTTTCCTGCAGCTAGACCCCTGTCGGCCTGAGTTTCCCCCAGAATGTGCCAGGGCGCGAATTTGAGGTCTGTAGGTTATCACCCACGCCGTCGTTGCTTTTCCAGGTCTTTGCAACATACTTGCCTAGTATGAGGTGAGCAGGCTACACGAATTGAGGTGCAATACAATAGAACAATTCCAGCTAAACTCGTGGGAAGAGACCTCGTACGAAGAGATCTTCCCGTCGCTTGTTACATTGATTTATATGGAAATATGTCAAGACATGGCGGTACCTAGCTTCTGGAAAGCCTCTGGCCTCTCTCCTACACACCCAATACTGCATTATCTGCGGTATGACCGCTTCCAGCTTCTTCAACGGCACATCCTATCTTTCCAACCATGCCCTATCTGAGCCTATGAATTGCCCTTTGATGTGTTAACGAGATATCTGAGTACATATAATATGCGTCTCCAGCTCTGGGCTCTAAGTATCTAAGAAAAATACTAAATGTTATAGCTCATTCAAAAAGAACTTTTAACTATGTAGACATCCTTCTGTTGTAGAAAGCCTTTTTTAGACGTAGCAACTGCTCATAAAGCTGTTAGATCAAGACAAATGCTCGCTGCAGGTATTGCTGTGCCTTGTAGCGATGACTCCTGCACCCCATGTATCATCATACCCCGCGTTTTTTAAATTGCTGACCTGCGGACGCTGTACCTGGTCCCCACTGTACCACTGGTACACTGGCGTAACCACAATGTTTGACAAGCCAGAATTGGCTCTCAAAACAAGGACCTGTGCGATACATTGTGGCTCGTAAATAGCCGTTTCTAGCCGATTACGAAGTAGCGTCTGGTAACCTCCTACTTAAGGCAGGGAATAGTGGCCCTTTTTACCGGTAGAACCTTCTCACTATCCGGTACACAGTCCCGTATACGTCTATAGCAGAGGGCGTTGAATACATGCTCATGACCCCCTATTTTAGACCTTATATCCTTCTTTTATCACTTCTATGAAGCACTAGTGATCGGTCTAATGCCTTATCTCACGGTTTGAGGGTTGCTTAAGACTTGTGCCTGGGAGCTTTAGGCACGCCATTAATGCGCTCCAGACCTCAAACCGGCCGCGTCTCGAATGGAATTTCGGGAGTTTCGGCGGACATCGACCATGGGTTCACTAAGCATTGGAAACTGTAATGTTCGACGACGAGTTACGGTCACCTGCCTCGTCGTCCTCGTCTGGGCGCTCCTACAGCTAGTACGCTCGTCCGGTTCCTTGCCCTACAAAAACGCTCGACGGTTTGGTCGGGTCCCGGACAGGTCGCGGTCATACGTTTTCTACGCGACGCAGGATATCTATGCTTGCTCCGTCCTCGTCAATGTACATGTTCTACGCAACTTGCTGCACACCCGGTATCGCATCGCCGCCATCTTGTCGGCAGAAGTGGCACCGGAGATCCAGCACGCCATGGAAGAGGCGGGGGTGGACGTGTATGAAGAGACGCCGCCTCTGCTGCACCAAGATTCAATCGCATACTACCGTGACTGCCTGCTTAAATTGAAAGCGTTTAAGATGCATGAGCTGGACCCTAGCCTTAAGGAAATCGTGGTACTTGACTCAGACCAGTTCATAATGCACAATATTGACGATCTCTTCGACGTGCACTATATCAACTATACCGCGCCATCCGCCTACTGGATTGACCACCTCTGGCTCGCTAGCACCTGCGTGCTAATCCGGTTAGACCCATTACTGTGGAAGGACATTGAAGCTGCGACTAGGTCGATTGGGCCCGGCAGATTTGACATGGAAATCGTCAACGATTTATTCAGAGTCCCATCCCAGATCCTAAGTGGCAGCTATGTCACGCTTGATAGCGCTTGGGGGGACTGGATTCTGCCTAATTGGTTTGACACCAAGAAGACGGCGTCTCGTGTAGAGGCGAAATCCACGCGTGCGTCTAGTCGCGAGCTCGAAGACCTCTACCATCATCAGGCTAAGATTATACATTTCACTGTCGTTGGCAAGCCGTGGATGCACGACGTGGAAGGGCTGAGGAAACTGCGTCCAAGCGCGCACCCTCTGCTGACAGAGCTATTCCGACGGTGGCGAACTATAGCGATGGAGATGTGTCCGCTTAAACTGATAGACCATGTCTAAGTGAATTGACATCGTTCACCAACTTGAGATATAAGTATCTGTTATGTCTCGACTCTATTACTAGATGATTCGGTCTGTGCCGTCTTGTACCATCATCGCCATGGTCCAAGGTCTCCTTTGGCGACTACTACGTAGGGCAGGTTAGGAGATGTAAACCTAGTAAGGCAACTCGCATCAAATAAAGACAACTTCAGTTAATTAAATCAACGCCCGTCTACTATACGCCGACTGCAGTCGCATTGGGGCCGTTTTTGCCTAACAATACTGTAACAGTGAGAAAATACTACTCTGCCAGGTAAGGCAAGGTCACCCCCGATAGGGGCTGTGTGATTAAGTAACGTCTATGTATTCTCGTTTTTACACTCCCTAAAGACGGACCCTCTGAACCTCTCGCGGGGCTGCAAGCATCTACTCTACACAGACGGTCCTTCCGCGGCTGCAGTTGGCAGGGGCGACATTCTAAAGACTTCCACAGAAAATCTTAAATTTCCAGCACCAACTAAGTGGAAAATCCTGGCCGTAGTGTCATCTTTTCAAGGGAACTGTCAGAACAGGCTCGTGATACTCACTCGCTTGAGTCCGCCTCTTTTCAGCTTACCGTGCAGGATGCACGCCATGGCTTTCACTAACTCCGGGTGGAAAGTTATATTGTGTCTTTTTGCAATGGAGACAACGACTTTGAGGCGTGCCCGGGTTGTACGCAGCTCCAAGCTCCGTTGGTCCAATACTGGCCTTCGTGTTGAGTTAAGCATCCTTGTCGAGACATTTTTCTTCCGCCTGATCGCGTTCTAGCCCCACCTCATGTCCTGTAGCCCACACACTAGCATCCTCCATCGGTCCAATGCCTCCTTTTACCCGCCTAGGTACAGCGAGGGAACTAGGCTATGATCTGCAGTCAACAACCCATTTCGGCCCAAGGCGCGACTGGGCTTATTGCCGGTGGACCTACCCATTGCAGGACCTACCCATTGCAGGCATTGCTACCCGCAAATGCGCCCTGGTCAATAGACGCTAATTTCAGTTGCAAGTCCGGAGCTGCTGTATAAAGGCCCAGCACCCTCGCCTCGAGCTGTTACTGCGCCCGCGCACATCTGCTCATCATGCGCAGTGTTTCCATCACCACCTTGATGGAGCTGCGTGGTAGGCGCCCCAAAATCCGCTAACAGGACTTTCTACCTTCTACCTGAGTGAAGCGATGAGTGGTCATAACAGCCAGCTGAATGGCTCGTCATTTCTGTGTTTGCGCCAGTTCACGCAGCATAGCCACACCCTCCCTTCCATCGTCAAGGAAGCGTTGGATTCGGACGGACACACATCGAAATATACAAACAGTAGCAATTCGTAATCACTTCTTCTGTTCCTGGTTCGTTGAATGAAACTGACCGTTCCAGCCCGCTGAGTAGAGACACGGCATCCCTCTGTTGTCTTTTTCCGCAATGCACAGAACCACCCTTCCAGCGCTGCGAAGAATTGGATCAACATTACAAAAACTCACATTTCAAGCAGTCTCAGCATCAAAATTCCCACGACGATACCCTCTACTGCGATTACACCGACTGTACCCGCTCGGCTCCGTTTGGCCAACGAAGAAATTTGCGACGGCACCTACAGAGGGTTCACCGGGAAATCATTAACAAACATCACCGCGTAGAAATAGAGGACTCATGTGGAGAGTTCAGGTGTTATGCCTGCCTTAATAGAGCCCCAATTAATCATTGCCGGAAAGTCTGTCCTAATCCAAACTGTGCGATGCCTTGGCTAGTGGACGAGAATAAGACGTCGCAAGCGACAGGAGGATGCAGCGAAGCGGGGAATGATAGTCCCAGACAATGACAGCTAACCTTATGTTTGGAGCGTTCTGTGAAGCAGATGGAGTGCGCGCCGCAGCCCTCGGGAAGATGGACAGCGACACGATGACATAGGTGCGTCGGGTCCCAATAGACCGTGGCGGCAAAAACATTCGCCAGTACGTGTAGGTCTTTTGTCTTCTGCAGGACATTTAGGCCGCTCTTGCAAGCCTTAGCCTTCTCCTCGATGCTGCGTTCTTGAGCATGACCCATATTGGACCGTTCGGCCTTCTCAAGCGCAATCTATACGACAAGGAGTGGAGGCTTGGAAGCGGCAGTGGATTGTTTTTCCAGGAAAAAAGACTTGTCTTCTATTTCCGCGTCAGTTTCGATTTACATCGCAGCCACCCTTCACTGTCCGCAAAGAGGTGGGATGCTATTATCAACGGCTGCCAATTAGGTGGAGACGCTTCATGGCGTATAACTAGGTCGCTGCTGGGGCCTGGCCTATAGCCACTAAGGGGAGTTGGGGGGGGATGCGTCATCCTAGGGGCTGTACGACTGTACAATCTCTCGGCAGAAAACGGACACGATGCGATTACTATGATCGTGTAGAGGCATGGATTAGGTCTACACCATGCTCGTCTGGGCGCTACGGCCGGATGGCGCTGCGCGGCTCCCCTGCTGCCCTGCTATTCCGTGCTTTAAGGGTGGATTACTGTTGACTGAGCCGCACGGCGGAGAGCTACTTGTCTGACATCGGATAATCGACCGCACCCGCAGCTCAGGGCCCCACCATTCGCCATGTTGCGCCTGAGCTCGCTCAAGCCACTTTAGTCAAGGAGGCTGCCCTCAGTGGGAGAATCGATCGCAGAATACCCTCACCTACTGTTGCAAGTGAGAGGCCGAGACGTGGTGGGCGACCTACCCTTACGGCCGGTGAAGATTGAGTCGTCTACTAAAGAAAATTTCGCGGCTCTGGGCTGTGTTTACTGTAATCATCGGCGATAATGCCACAACAACCGTTGCACCTTATCGAGGCAGATCCACGCCAAGCGCGGGGCAGCTGTTTGTGACTAGCGTCGTCTCCTGTTCTGTGGCGGGTGGTTGCATCGCATGGTGCTGGGCTAGCCGCGGAAATTACTGAGGGGCGGAGCCGATTGCGGAGCCGAGGATCCACAATCAATGAGGTGGTCAAAAGTAAAGCGGATTCCTGTAGATGAGCTGCAGCACTGGGCATCTAGGCACCATCATGTGACTCGCTTATAATTGTCTTCACAGGCACTACATGCCAAGTCATAGATCCAAAGTGGCGTCTGCCCAGTTTGCTGGCGGATTCTAGCACCTTAAGTAGAGAATGTCGGAGCAGCCTTAGAATCACTCGTACAATAAAAGAGTCGATCTTTCGTAGGATACGCGCCTAATGCGTTACTTTCACATGGATGCCGCCTACCGGAGCAGTATGGAGCTTAGCCCGAGCCCGGACCGCGGTGGCCCTTTAGCTGTCATAACGCCGGTCGACGGTCACCGGCCCCACAGTACGGTGCAACGCAGCAGATACAGGCTACGTAAGCAGCGGCTCTGAAAGCCATGCGAGAAACATGACTAGTATAACGTAGCTATTTATATCAGCCCGGATTGTCGAGGCTTCAGCCATAGTGGGATTTATTAGTAACTAAATGTAGGCTTATTGATCCGACGTCCTTATTAGTTTTATCTCTGTGAGCGACCAGTGACCGACGAGATGACAGTTGAAGTTGAAGGGACATCTGCCCAAGAGCCTCCTAATTTGTGGGTTTCTCAAGGGGCTGAGGTTAGCCAATTGAACGACAGGCGCCATCCCCGGTGGTAGGAGGATGCAGCAAGAGATTGTTGCGATTAGGCAATCGCGAAGCGCCCATTCGCTCGATTATGCTACATAATCGTCCATGTCGCCAGTCATAAAAAAATGGCGACAGACAGCCTCCGCTCCTTGTAGTATTGCATCCTATGATCGTCTGATCTTGCGGGCGCCTCTTATTTCCGCACCACCAACGGCGGCGGGCCGACGTCGATCAAGCTAACCTCCATGGTGTAAGGGGTGGGGCTACCCGTGCCACGCCCCACTTATTTCGCGTTCGTTCCTCACCAGCTCCATAAGCTGGTGCTGGACACCGCAGTAGCCAGTACACCGCAATAGCCAGATTTTTCACCGTCTGCCTTCAATCTGCTTTGTTCCACCCACGTCACTTCGTTTTGCATCAAGGAACATGGAAGCGCGTATTCTAGAAGCGATGCAATACATCGGCGATGTCCCTGATGCAAAAGTCGCCAATGTGGCCCGACAATTCGGTGTTCCACGCAATCGATTGCGTTACCGCCTCGAAGGCCGTCCTCCTAAGGTAGGCCGACCAGCCACGAACATGAAGTTATCGCGCCCAGAAGAGGCAGCATTATGTCGCTACATCGATCGCCTTGATAACGTGAACCTTGCGGTGCGCCCTGAGTTCGTCACCGACGCGGCAAATAATATTCTGCGTGAGCGATCCGGTCAAGCCGATTTAGTTATCGGCAGCAAGTGGACCTCTCGTTTTCTAAAGCGTCACGGTTACTTCAAGAAGCTCCAAAAAAAGCTCCACTCGGAGCGTCAGGCATCGGAGGACCTCACAAGAGTCACCCATTATTTCCAAAATCTCCAGCAAGTCATCCAAGAGAAGGGCATACCACCTGAAGATATCTGGAATATGGACGAGACAGGATTTCGCATTGGAGTTGGCAAGGATCAGCTGATTGTCACCAAAAGAAAGCGAGCTCATTATTTTGGTATCCCCGAGAACAGAGAATCTGCCACTGACATCGAGGCAATCTCAGCAAGCGGAGAGTCCATTCCACCTTTCTTGATTCTGTCTGGACAGATGCATATGACTTCATGGTATCAAATACCGACTAGACCCCGACACGGCCATCCGACCCACGTCAAGCGGTTACTCAAACGACGAAATCAGCTTGGAATGGCTTCATCATTTTGACAAACATTCGACAAAGACCTCGAGAAGCTCGAAGCGCTTGTTAATTCTCGATGGCCACGGCTCCCACCACACAAGGCAGTTCATTCAGTATTGCGACCAACATGGCATCATTCCATTTGGTATGCCTCCAAACCTCACGCATATACTCCAGCCCCTCGATGTGGTGGTTTTTCAGCCACTGAAGCACTATCACGCCAAAGCACTGGACGTGATGATTCGAGACGGCCTTGTCAATATCACGAAGCTCGAGTTTCTTTCTTGCATTCAACAAGTACGGTCGCAAGCCTTCAAATCAAGTACGATTCAATCCGCGTTCCGGAAAACGGGAATATGGCCTCTCAATCCGCAAGTGGTGCTGGAGATATTGCAAGCTCGTCAGATGCAAAGGACGCCCACTCCTCCTCGTCCAGAACTATTTTCTTCACCATTCGAGACGCCATTAACTCTTCGGCAAATAAATAAAGTAGCAGATCGGCTAGAAACCGTATTGCAAGAGGATGAAGATCTAAATCCCGAGTTTTCTCGCGATTTGGGTCGCTTTATTCGGGGTTCCCTATCTTGGCCACCGAATTGGTGCAGACCAAAAGGGATCTGGGAAGGACAAAATTAGCTGAACGTACCCAACAACAACGAAAAAGTGTGAAGAACGCGCAAATGCAATCGGGGGGAGTCTTGACGGTCGCTCAAGGGCGAGAAATGGTGCAGAAAAGGGAAGAAGACCAGGTCGCCAAAGCTAGAAAGGTGGTCGAGGCCGCAGAGATGAAGGCACGCAACGTGCGCAGGCGGTGGTTTGAAGACGCAGCAAAAAAGGCACGTCAATGGAGAGCATCTGGAAGGCTGCGACGAGCGGAAATTTGTGATTCTGAGCGCGGAACGCGATGGTTGAAGCGATTCTAGTTGGAAGAGTCAATAATCTGGCTATTGCGGTGTACTGGCTACTGCGGTGTCCAGCACCAGCTTATGGAGCTGGTGAGGAACGAACGCGAAATAAGTGGGGCGTGGCACGGGTAAGGCAACCCCTCATCCCTTTGAGTGCGTTAAAGGAGCAAGGGGGTCACGAACAGGGATCTCAGCCAATAAGACTACTAGATGATTAGGGGTACATTATTTTACTAGCAAATTAGGCTATGGTAAAAGTCCCAACAACCTGGCTGGGTACAAATAGCTACATTGCACTGGTCGCATCCCTTACGAGTCTTCGTGGCCGGCTTCTTGTTGCCGCTAGCTGCTCCCAATGGCTTGCGTTGACTTCGTGATCGTAGCTGCCCCGCCTTATGGCCCTCACAGGCAAGGCAGAGCGAGCTTTTCCCGCGATTGACGTGTTTATGCTGCGTTATAGGCGTAAATACGTTTCCAGCTCGAAATCGCTGTCTTGAGCCGCCGTCTTTGCTATAAGCCTCGCAAAGTTCTCTCACAATGCGCTGCCGCCACTCACGCTGTGAGCTTATTCGCGGCCAGCTTGGCTGGCCCCTAAGCTGTAATAAGTAGCTGTTAACAAGAGCAGTCTCAAGCAGAAAGGTCCACGCAATTGCCCGCCAATTTCCTCTACAAACACGGTGGTCTAATCCCCCCTCTGCTCTTAGCTGGTCACCAATATCAACCCCACCCATTCGGTCATTGTAGTCTGCAGAGATCGACGGCACGGGAAGACGTAAGACAGGCTCGGCACCGAATTTTTGCTGTATGGGCCGTGCTCGGGCCTGCGTTGTTGTCGGTCGCCGGCGAATACGTTCTTCGAATTCCTTGCCGGAATAGACTGTTGAGAGGAAAAGCACGAGGGCATTATCCTTCCAAGCGAATTGGTTGGCCTAAGGGAAAGACAGATATATTAGCTAGAAGAATATTAGGAAAGATGTCTCTTTGCTCTCGTACCTGACCGTCTGGAGTGGGTGCAGTCTTTAAGGTGCCCCAAGGCCAGCAATCGCCCTTTGTGTCAGCTTTCTTCGCCTCTACAAACGGCTTATAGAAGCCACAGTTGATTCGGGCTGTGCCTGTGGCCCCAATCCCTTGCTGACGAAGAGCGGCAAGGAGGATTGGCGAGGAAAAGAGGTTATCGAAGAAGACATGGTATGTCTGTTCTGGCAGCTGCTTGACTAGGGCAACAACGACGCTCTGAGTCGGGTTGAGAGAAATGCTGCCCTCTGCCGTGCCTATGGCCCTCTTCCTTTTCTTCCCAGCAGCCGGGCCAAGGGCGTTAGAAGGTTGGTGCCAAAACCACCTAATAAAATAGCCTGCTTGGGCTACAACCCACACTTTGAAGCCTGTAGGCGTGGGCTTGTTCCTGACAGTGACTGTCTGCTTTGACCTGCCTGTATAGCCGACGATACACTCATCCACAGCCAAACAAGTGCCTAGCTGACAGAGGGCAAGAGACGCCTGTTGTATGTGTTCAGCCCACTCATTAGCCTGTGCAAAGGGCGTAGGGAGCCCACACGAGATACTATTTGAGTCGCTAATCCGTATGTGCCGTTGGAGAAGAAAAAAGCGGTCAAATGACATATACTGAAGAATTGGGTGTATAGGGACCATTGGGTCGGCTGTGGAGGTCTTCCAATGGTCCCGTACTCTTGTTTCCTTATGTAGGCCCATATAAATTAAAGTAGCAACCCAAAGAAAGACCTCTCCGAGAGATGTCTCTGTCCAGCTGCTCTCTCGAGAATACTGCTGCTTTGGACCCTCTGGGCCCGGCCTTGGACCATTGTTTGTGTACCCGACCCAGCCCTCGACTAGGGATTCGGGTAGGAACTGCTGGAAAAGTAACAATGGCGTTGGTGGCAGCTGTCGGGGCTGTGGCTCGCGCTCGGGAACGTGAAAAGGGGTAAATTCGTGGCCCCGTTCGGGCTCAGGGTCGAATGTAGGGCGGACTGTGCTGTCAATAGGCTGCTCGCGCTGACAGTGGTCTAGCCGTATAAAGAGGGTATGTTCGAAGCTATTCACAGCCGGAATAGCTGCCTGCGAAGCTTGTGGATCCTGTTGCGAAGCCATAGAGCTTAATTTGAATGCATTGCTAGGAAAATTGACTGTGGAAGGTTTTGCTGATGCTGCTACAGTCGGGTGCCAAAAGTTCCGGCCACCCCGCCTCACACAGCCAATCGCCCACCCAAGGGATAGAGCTTCAAGAACGAATTGCACAGCCAAATAAGGGTCAAATAAGAAGCTGAAAATTGTATTCTAATAGGCACTGAGAGGAAATTTATGTTGTTGTGGCTAGTATTTAGTATACCAGCCACGCGATACTACAACAGCTTGAAGGCGCCGAGGCATAGATTCTATTAGATGATTGAGGACATCATCTTCAAGCTCTTCCCACGCTTCAACGGCTGCAAAGCAGAGCTTCTGCTTCGAGCTATTGTTTTTTGGAAGGTCTGCAAGGTCAGGGTGACTCTCTGCGATGCTCGCTTTGACCAGTTTCCATACATTTTCTACAGGGTTAAGGTCAGGCGAATATGGTGGCCAGTGGACCAAATCGATCCCATTTTCTTCTACCCAGCAGCCAAGCCACGCTTGTACAATAGCTCCCATATGTGTTGAGGCGTTATCTCGGGCGAATATATAGCTAGGCTCAGCAATTGTCGGTAGATTTTCTTGTAAAGTTTCGAGTACACGGCGAGCAGTAACGCCGCCACGCTTGGAGTCTGGGTCTCCGAGCATTGGTGTTAGAGAAGTCCGCCGATTAAAGGAGAAGCCAGCCCAATACATCTGAGAATGTCGTGTAGGCTTTGATCTAGCTTGTACATTTTTTGGATTTAATTTATCTCCCTATTTGAAGTCAGGACAAGATTCTAAAATGAGAGTATTGCAACATATAAATTTACAGAAAACCCACTTCTGCTTTTCGCCGTCACCACGGGCAATTGAGGTCTCGTCAGAGAAAATCCATTTATGCCAAAATGAAGCTGGCTTTTGATAATACTGTAGTGCAAATTGTAGCCGTTTTGCAGCATGTTCTTCAGTCAACTTTGGGCGTCGAAGGGCGCGTACATGTTGTATGCCGTTGCGTCGAAGGTACCGTGTTAAAGTCTTTACAGAACACTCTAGAGATGCGTCTCGAAGAAGCCGATTGTTTGAGATGAAAGGGTCTTTCGCAATGCATCGGAATATATATCTTTTGTGTGTTTCATTAAGGATTGGGGGCCTTCCAGAACGCGGCGAAGATTTCGCGCTCGACTGGGTCCGGTAGTGTCGTACGATGCCGCGGACAGCTTGTGGAGAAATTTCCTCTTTAAAGCCGACAAGGGCTGTTGAGAAGCCACAATCAAAGAGGATCGTAACCTTCGTCCTCTTATGAGGGCTCTAGTGTTTTTTTTGGAGTAATTTGGCTCATTTTGAAGGCATGATGGTGTTTTGAAGAGGGAAGGTTGGAATGTGGGAGACGCGCGTTCGCGACGCGCTAATCAAAGCGGCCGGAACTTTTGTCCCCCCACTGTAGCCCCTGAAGTTCTATCTGACTTGTAGCTACGTATTGTGGGGCCCGTGACCCCCTTGCTCCTCCTCCGCACTCAAAGGGATAACCAGATGACGGACGTACGCTTCTTTGTTGATTTATGGCCTCTTGCCAGCACGGCACAGCGAATATATTGCTCTCCCTGAAGCCTGAACTCATCTGGCTGGATCAGGGCCTCCGGATCGCGACGACTGTTAATCGATTCCGGAGCGAGAACAACATTATCTGACCTAGAAGGCTTATTAGAAGCGCCAGTGAAGAATTGGGTGATTGTCGATGCTGCCATTTGGAACGTTGATTAAGTTAAGGTTACGGTGGTTACCTTGTTGGCCATATGGAAATATGGGATTCCTGCTGCTAGTTATACCGGCAGTCGTCGCATCTACCGTCTGGTGAATTTCTACGTTTGGTAGTTACCCCTGCTCGTCATGAGCACGCTGTATTCCAGTCAATAACGCGTTGTTGTGGTAGCCCTGAAACGAAAATTGGCGTTGAGGCTTTCTTCTATCCTAATCAGGCATGGTCCATTGGAGCTCCAGGAGCCTCCAGACCTCTCGATCCAGTCCAGTCCAATTTTTGAAACTGCAAATCCAGTCCAGCCAAATCCACTCCAATGCTAGTCCAGTCCAACAAGATCACTGCTATGGACTTCGCCGTTCCCCCCTTCTTTGGCAACAGCATCTCACGGCATCACTCGAGAAGCTAGGCTTCAAGACAGTCCCTCAGGAACCATGCGTCATGATTAAAGGAGCCGTCATCGTCTTCTTCTATGTCGACGACATCATCTTGGCCTATCGAAAAAGGGACCAGCAAGTCGCCACGGAAGCTATATCCGGCCTGCAGCAACGATACAAGATGAGCATACTAGGGGAACCAAAGTGGTTCTTAGGGATCCGTATCCTTAGGCACCGACTTAGTCGGACGATTTGGCTGACGCAAGATGCCTATATCGACAAGATCGCTATGTTCTGGACAAACTAGGCATAAAGCTTCCTAGCACCCGATGGCCACCAACGAAGAGCTCCTTTCAGAACAGATCCAAGCAAGAGACCAAGACAAGCATATCTACCTTCAGAAGGTCGGATCTCTCCTATTCTCAGCAATTTCAACAAGACCAGATATCGCTTTTGCAGTCTCCCGACTAGCCCGCTTCAATCAGAATCCAGGCCCGACACATCAGAAGGAAGCAGATAGAGTGATCTTATACCTCTATGCCACACGATCATATGGTCTACGCCTCGGAAGTTCCGGAAGCACAAAAAGGGGCAGCAGAAAGCCGGCTGCAGCAGAGATTTTCCTCTGTTCAAGTGATTCCTCTTTTGCAGACAATTCAGTCGACAGGAAGAGCTCCCAGGGATATGTCATGACCCTGTTTGGAGGCTCTGTCGCATGGAGAGCATCAAAGCAAGCTACTGTGGCTACCTCGAGCACAGAGGCAGAGCTGCTCGCTCTTTCAGAAGCATCAAAGGAAGCCATCTTCCTCAGCAGACTGCTCCGTTCTTTGCAACTACCAATCCCGTCGCCGTTGTTAGTCGAGTGCGATAACACGCAGACTATAAGGCTCCTACAAGAAGGAAGTCCGAAGTTGTCAACCAGGCTACGGCATGTTGATACACACCAACACTGGCTACGTCAGGAAGTGCAAGGAAGCAGAATACGCCCTCGTTGGGTTCCAACAGCTGAAATGCGAGCCGATGGGTTGACAAAAGCTCTCCCAAAGCAGAAGCTAGCGGAATTCCTTCGGCTGATTGGGCTTGAAGAGATTGGTGAAAGGTTGAAACTGGAGGCTAGGCTGGAGGAGCTGAAGGACAAGATCAAGGACTGTAGGAACACCGAATGAGGCCGTCTCACGACCTACACGAACACTAGCCCGGCTCAACTGAGGTTGCCCTTGCAAGTCTGGTTGTATCTGTTCCCTCTGCTAGGGATAGGCAACAGCTAAGGGGGTGTGTCGAGAAGAAGGGTCTAAGACTTGGTCCTGAAGCCTGATAGCTACCATTCGTCACCCCCCTTTGGGTAACAACCCCCTTTGGGTAACGCAATTCAAAAAATCTCCACCAAAAACCATCAATTTCACTTACACCGATTCCAGCCAGCTTTGAAGATATTCACAAGCTGTCACTTGGAGTAGATAGAGAATTGACTGGATTTTACCTTCTGATGGTTAAATATTTGCACAGGGGTCTGTGGCTTGTGCGTACCTTGCACGCGAAATTACTATCCAGCCCCCTAATCTCCCGCTCCCTCCTGACGATGATTCTTCTCGTTATTCGTCCACCACATGGCCGAAATGCCCCCAAAACGACCTCGGCGCATTTATACTGAGGAGAGAATGGCAACTGCCATTAATTATATCATGAAAAATGGCTTGTCTCAGTACCACGCTGCCCAAAAGTACGACATACCTCAGCAGTCTATTTCCAACAGACTCAAGGGCCAATCAGCCCTGGCTGATCAAATCCAACCTCACCAACTATTGAGTAAGACCCAGGAGGCTCTCCTGGTGTCCTGGGTCCTCCGTCAAGAGTCTGTTGGCTACGCTCCCTCCCACAGTCAAATCCGCGCTTGTGTGGAGGCTCTTCTGAAGCAACTAAACAACGAGCAGACAGTGGGGCGCAACTGGGTCACCAAATTCATCCATCGCCATCCGGAGATCAAGATCAAGCGTGGAAGACGTCAGGAGGCTAACAGGTTTAATGCTTTCACGCCCCAAGCGGTTCACTGGTACTTCGATATCAGGGAAAAGGAGTATGGATGGATTAAGCCGGAGAATACCGTGGATGTTGACGAAGGCGGTATTTTGTCTGGATTTGGTAAGTTTTTATCTTTTCTTTCATTATTGCAACTAACCAGGCCTTTTTTTTCAGGTTTGGATAGCCTTGTGGTTGGGAGTGCGGACCCAAAGAGGAAGGCCCTTCTGAAAGGACCACAGTCCCGCAACTGGACCTCGTTTATTGAAGCCATCACTGCAGATGGCCGCGCCCTTACTCCCGGAATTATTTTCAAGGGCAAAGAACTCCAGCAGCAGTGGTTCGTAAAGGAATTCGGCAAAATAGCCGACTGGCATTATATAACCTCGCCTAACGGGTGGACTGATGACCATGTTGCTATTGAGTGGCTTGAGAGGGTCTATTTGCCTCAGACGCGACCAGCCGAAGAATCAGAGGCTAGACTGATCATATTAGATGGACATGGAAGCCATGCAACGGTTTGTTTCCATATCAGTCTGCAGAAATCACAGTTAACCGGAACTAGGATGAATGGATGGCCACGTGCTTTTTGAACAACGTTTATTGCTGCTACCTTCCTGCCCACTGCTCCCATAGCCTCCAGCCGTTGGATAACGGTGTTTTCAATGCCTCAAAGGCGGCCTATCGAAAAGAACTTCAGAAATTGACCTGTCTTACTGATTCTGCGCCTGTTGATAAGGTCAATTTTATACGGGCATATGCCAAAGCACGCGAGGTTGGCATGACTGCAAAGAACATATTGTCCGGCTGGAGGGTCACTGGAAATTGGCCAATATCACGATCCAAGGCATTGCGGCATCCAGAAATCCACGCAGCCACGGGCCAGACATCTCCCAAGTCTGCGCCATTTTTGCATTCTGACGATACACCAAGAACCAGCCGCCAGATTCGCGACATTGGCAAGAACAAGACTCCCAGCACTCGGAGGCGTCTTGGAGTGATAGCTAAAGGCTTTGAAGCGCAAGAACAGGCGCTTGCTGAACACAGCAACAAAATTGCGAAGCTGGAGGCAGAGGTGGCTCGGTTGCAGAGAGGCAAAAAGAGGAGGGCCATTCCGAACCCGAACAGGCGGTTTATGGCTCTTAGTGAAGTTTTGGCGGCTAAGGAAGCTATTCCCCAAGTTAGAAGCCAAGAAATTGTCGTTGTGCTGAATTCTGAGACCGAGGAGGACGAGGTCTCAGAGATGGAGACAGCGTCAGTGATCGAAGTCAAGGTGGCACATGAGGCCCATTCTGTCACCACTAGGTCTGGAAGAATTGTCAAAAATCACCGGAATATGTAGTAATGGTCATTCATCTACAGAACTATATAATTTTAATATTTTTATTCTTGGGTTCTAGTCACATTTCATGTAGTTCAAATGGTAGACTTTTGGTGGAGATTTTTTTATTTGCGCTAACCAAAGGGGGGTGTTACCCAAAGGGGGGTGACGAATGGTAGCTCTTACTGGCTCGGGGACCTCAAGAGATTGCACTATTGCCACGCGCTTAGAGACCTGGGTCGCGTCACCTGAAACCGAGGTGGGGATCGCGACGCGTGGCGGAACCTATATAAGGACGAGTGGATAACTCTCGCGAAGAGAGCAGGGCAAGGGGCATGATGGTTTTTAGGGTGCATGTGTTCTTATTCCTCCTCTTTCCTTTCTACTGTACCATTCTCCCATTTATGCGCCTCGCACTCTCTTCTTGAGTCTTCCATCTCCTTCCTTGCTGACTTACTAATGCATAGGCACCCTCTCTCCGCGTCAGCTTGCCACGTCATCCCACTTTCATCCTGTCTCGTCCCTACACCTTCAGCTAGCTATCAGGCTTCAGGACCAAGTCTTAGACCCTTCTTCTCGACAAGAGCAATCAACACATGCATTTTCACATACCCTCTGATCGGATGATACTCAACCTTCGAAAGTCCCTCTATCCACTTTTATGCCCACTTTGCTCTCTATTTAGCGACAACAGCTCGACAGAGAAGAATGAAAGGGGTCGTAAAGTGGTGAATTTAGGGATACAAGGCCCGAGCTATCTACGTGACGTAAGTTACATAAATACAGATACCTGCCGTGACCCTTTTCTTTAGTTAAATGAGGCATTGAGAAGTCTCTGTACCTGATTCGAACTCTTCATGCGTCCCACAGCTAAGGAAGCGATCGTTTGGTGGGGAGGTAATTGCATTCATGCCTTGACTCGACCGACCCCCAATTTGGTGCCGTTGCATTATGCGTGACTGCACAAGAAGAACTTTTCAAGGTGCACAATCTAGCTAGAGGGAGGAGGCCGCAAGAATTATATTTTCGCAGTGATCAGAGGGATCCTCGGTTAACCTGCATGGGCACAAAGTGGCCGTATATGAGAGGCCATTTTAGGTCCCCGATGCATGCCTCAGATCCTTCAGGTGACTACAGTAGACAACAGTGAGGTACCAAGAGTGAGCCCAAAAAGGCCGCAGAAATTTTTGGCTGTTTACAGTGTTTTGGCTGCAGTGCGTGATGGTCCTTGTTTGGACATTGTCGTCGAACCCTAATTCAAGCCATTTCTCGCTTCTTCACCCGCCCGAGGCTTATCGTCGATATGCCGCCCACCTTCGTTGGTCTTGATACTGACCTCCTCGTGCAAAGAACGGGAGGATAGATAACACGAGCGCCGTCACGCGCTAGGTGTACCAAGGCATATCATGGGGTGCATGATCAGCCGCACTTTCCGCCGACCCCCCAGGCTGGCTCATTCACCCAACAACCCATCCAAGGAAATAGTCAGCTCGGTCGAAACCGGTTGGAGACGTCAGGTGCCAACTCCATACTCATGCTATTTTCGTCGTCGAGCCGTGAGGTTTAGTCGATCTAGGGCACCATCACCTGAAAGCGTTATGGACGACCATTGAATAATCAGAGGCGAAGGCTGTCATGCAACTGCATCATATACGGAATCAAAATAAAAATGCAGTTCGAAAAGGACAGGTCACGCAGGGAGATAGGCGTTCGCCACCAAGCCCTTTGCTGCCATTGCCCCGACGCCTGGTTTCCCACAGCAAGGGTTATGCATTGGTACAGACTATAACTGCAAGGAATGGGGGGATTCTAGGCCAGAGTCGGAACCACTCGGAACAGATCGTACGGTGGGGTTCAGGTACAACAACGTCCGGGCTTTATTGGCCATTTGATCTTTGAAGGCCCTGCGGTTCCTCCACTGTTCGACTTGCTGGTCAGACGGTCCAACATAAGGAGCTGCCGTATATGATCCCTTTCCTCAGAGGAATTCCATAACAGCCAGATTTATCACGTGGCTCGGGCAGTAAAACCTGTGAAGAAGAGGATCGTACATGAAATCCAACAGAAATTTTGTCTATCATGGGGCGTCTTTGTTGCTTGCATTATCCATCATAAAGTACCCATCTTGGATACAATTCCTCAAAGAGACGACATCAAAGATCAGTGCAAACGGGGGCAGGAAGATGAAGAGGAAGAGGAAGGTCATAAAAGGTCGCTGCTGGGCGGATCAGCGACGACTTACGCCGCACCGCAACCCCGCATCAAGGACCTCGCATTCCGCGACGCAATATCATTCTGTCAATACGACCGGAGACATCATCTTAAGCAAAAATTACAATAATTGCGAACGGAAAGTTGTACCAGCACCAAATTTGGGCTCGATGGAAGATATTCCTGATGTGAGAACTCCCCCATGCCACAACATGGGGATTGAAACTGTCAGCCGGAGAAATGGACCTATAATACTCAATAAACTAGCCCCCTAATGGGGGTGCCCCTAGTTTGCATGGCGCAGTGGTTTATTGTGTATTCAACAGAAACACTATTGACGAGTTTAGGAAATTCTTTCTCAGCTGCTCCAAAGAGTACGGCTCCCTGAGGAGAAAAAAGGCAAAAGCCGCGTCGTCCGTCGCCAAACAAGAGCGTGAGCTGCCCACAAGCAGGAAGCTGGCCAGGCAGAAGGAGAAGGTGGCACTGTACGACGGAATTCTACGAAGCCTGGATTCCATCAAGGAGTTGCCAGGCATGATGCATCGCTGCTGACGAGCCTCTTGCGACCAAGGTCGACGCGTTTGGCATGTACTTTGAGTCTCTCAAGTGAGTTCCCGAGGCCGTCCTTGCTACTTGGCAGTACTGATTTGGGAAAAGGTGCCTCACGATTGCCCGATCCCATGCCGTCATCGGCAACGTTGCCAACGCACTGGCCCTGATCAACCATGCTGTCAAGCTGTGCGGGAACGCGGTTTCGAAACTGCCCAAATCGACGCTCAATACCAACGAGCCACCTCTAGGCATTGAAGTCTCTGCCGACGCGCTTGACTCCCTGACACGGCTGCTCAACGGCGAGCTGCAGCGCCACCGAGCAATCGTCCACATCGACAACCTTCGCAAAGCCGACGGCGACAACGCGGCAACCGGCCGGGGGGTGCCACTGATTGAGCGGCTTCTGTTCCTGTTCGACTCACTTACACGAGACGTGTCAATGGTACAATGGACAGAATCGTTGGCTGTCTGCTGTTTGGTTGGACCAGATCTGCTGTGTGTACTGGAGGGCGGACTGTTTGGCAGGGCGCGCGCGACGTCCGCAAACGTTGCTCGAGGGCCGCTTGGCAAAGCCACCTCGTCCGATACGTCCAGCTTTTGCATCAGCTGATCTAGCTGCTCTTCCACTCCGACCAATTCTCGCTTAAGCTCCCGGTGCTCCTGTTTCATTTCCTTGTTGAGCTCTTCGCTCTTATGTCGAAATTCTTCCTTGGATTTCTGGACCTGGGCTTCCAAGCCTCGGATCAGATCTTCCTGTCCCTGAATGATGGTGCTTTGTTTGTAAACCGTGGCGTTCAGCTTCCTGATCGTGTCGCTTTGCTCGGATACTCGATGTTTCAGCTCCACCATCTCACTTCCCATCTTCGCTAGCATCTCTAGAACCCTCTGCATCATCGATTTGGCGGTTGGATGCCATTCTCTTGCTCGGCTGCCTCTGGTAAACTGAATGGAGGGAGTCGAAGTGTCCTCTGCTTAGGCTGGAGCTACCCCCCGGTCACGAGATCCAGAGCTACGGAGCTACATCTGTACTATCTTAGCATTTCACGACTTCTACGGTAGCCCAATTTGTTAGCAAACTGAGGTAACGCTCTTCACGCGCGGCATTTCATTGGACAAGTGACCTAGTCGTGGCTTCTCCACACTCAAAGGGCATGACGGATAAAAGCTTGTCCGAGTAAGGAACATCTGTACTAGCTCGCTACGTCTGACCCACTCGTGAACCCCCCAAGGAACAGGAACAATAGTGTTGAGGGTAGGGTTCCCTTGAGGTAAATTACCTCGAGGTAAATTACCAAAATTTCGAAGTAAATGACGGTCACAAACCTGAGGTTTATGACTTGTCATAAATCACGTGATTTCTAGAGGCTAAAGCTGCAAAAAAAATCGTAGTAATTCAAGCAATTTAACAAAAATATCGATTGCGAGGCTGGCTCGAGGAGCGTGTAAAAGGGGTATGATATTGCTGGTGTGTCTGGGCTAAAAATGGACTGCACTTGCTGCCAACTTGATTGAGTTCGGAAGCCGGGGAACAGATACTCCGACTGGCTTCGTGTTTCCATGTTATAATACTAGTCCCGATTAGGAAAGAGGTTTATGACGGTAAATTACCAGTCTTTTGGGGTTTTTTACGTCAGTTGGTAAGTTGGGGTTTATGACGTCAAAAAGGTATCCCTAGTTGAGTCAAGGCATGACTGCAATCACCCCCTGACCAAGGCATCGCCTCCTTAGCTGTGGGACGCCTGAAGGACTTGAGTCAGATACAGAGACTTGTCAATGCACCCGAATAGAGGGCCAAACGGGGTACCTGTACAAGTAGGGAGCCTTCTGTCCCAGTAGCTAGGCCGTGACATGCATCACCAAATACACATCTTTGACCCCCCCTCTGTCGAGAAGAAGGACCGAACGAAGTGAGGCCTCTAGGTTTCTCTAGGTAAAACAGCTCGAAGCCAGGTAAGGAGGGAGGTTTGTGGTCCACTGAGGGGTTCGGAGCATCTCCTATTCGAACGGGATCTTCCAAGGAGTTCGGTATCTCTTTTACTGGCTCGGGGACCTCAAGAGACTGAACTATCGACCTAATAGCTTGGAAAGCTATTGATCGGGGAGATGGAGCTGAATGTACTGACGTAGATGACTTACGTGGCCTTCAGTAAGTGGCAAGGAGTGCCCTCTTCCTGATAGAATGTATACTATACCTGAAAACGGGATATTAACTTAGGAAAGGCATTGAGGGATATAAAAGGGGAGGATTAAACGGAGCCATGGGAAAAGAACGAGCAATGAACAGATGCGTTTCACAGACCCTCCGATCGTAATATGCTCGACCCCCGAAAAATCCCTTTACCCACATCTATGCCCACTTTTGCTCTCTCCTTCGCGACAGTTACCGTGCCTTTTTTTCATCACCACCCCCCATAGCAGACCTGGGAGGGGATTGGCTGACTTCAAAGCCCCTGTAAATTGAAACGTATGTCGGGTGGCAGTGCGAGTTGGGGCCGTTGGGGCCGCACCAGCCACGAACCGGTGCGTCAGAATGATCAACTGCTCCTCAAATTTCATTTAAGAGTACTTACGAGAATTGAAGGTTCGGCTGCTTGACAGAGACCATGTTTGCCGTAACAAACAATTCTCCTTCGTTTCACCCCGTTCCAGATTAGACTTTTGGCCCTCGGATGACACAGTTTTGTTGTGACTTGCAACTTGACCATTGTGCAAAGCAGCATGGTGATCGAAACTACTCCGAATGCGGCAGGCAAAGAGGCCGACCGCGACATGCGCATCACTTTCGATGACGCAGGTGACGCTCAAGCCTTTCCTGGCCGAGCGAAAGATGCGGATTCTCGGTCGCTGTCGCGAAGACGCACCTCCACCTCTTCCAGAGTTGACCCTCCTTCGACCTCGCATGCGGGCGTTCATATTGAATACCGAACACTCTCTATCAATATCGACGAGTCTCGCGATGTCGAAACAGTCATTTTGGCAGACACGAAGGCTGCCAGAACGGATAGCCAAGACTACTTCGCAAGCCTTAGCTTCCACAAACTCAACGTCGATCAGATCTGCCAACAGCTCAACGTCGCCAAAGACAAAGGCTTGCCAGACAGTATCGTGGCGATCAGACTTCGTCGAGATGGCAAAAACAGGCTCGCCAAGCCTAAGGCCAACTACTGGAAGAAGATACTCGGTTATGTCTTCGGCGTCTTCTGCTCTGTCCTCTGGGTTGGCGTTGTCATCTTCTTCATCTGCTGGAAGCCCTTGAGCGAGCCGCCATCCGCCACTAACCTTGCCCTCGCCATCTTGGTCATCGTTGTCATCCTGCTTCAGGCTGGTTTCTCGGCGTTCCAGGACTGGTCTACCCAGCTGACCATGAAATCGATTACCGATCTCCTGCCTGCCGAGGCTCTTGCCCTCCGCGACAGCAAACTGCAAAAACTACCGGCTACAGAGCTCGTCAGTGGCGACATTGTTCATATCCATGTTGGAGACAAGGTTCCAGCTGACCTTCGCCTGTTGAGTCACTCCGGTGATATCAGGTTTGATCGCGCTGTCTTGACTGGTGAATCGGACGAGATCGAAGGTGCGGTTGAAATGACTGACCATAATTTCCTGGAAAGCCGCAACATCGCCTTGATGGGGACTCTTGTCGTAAACGGTAGCGGCGTTGGCATCGTTGTTCTGACAGGAGCCCGATCCGTTATGGGGCGCATCGCCAAGGCTACAGCTTCTGCAGAGGAGCGTGCAACATTGATTCAGAAGGAGATCTGGCGGTTCGTCCGCATCATCATATGTCTGACCATCGTGCTTGCCTTGCTTATCCTCTTCACCTGGCTCGGTTGGCTGAGGCGAGATCACTTCGCCTATATGAACGTTGTTGCGATGCTCAACAACGTCATGGGTTGTGTCGTTGCCTTCATCCCGGAAGGTATCCCCGTCACCGTGGCCTTAACACTCATGATGGTGGCACGCCGCATGAAAGCCGTCGACATTTTACCCAAAGGAATTTCGACTGTCGAAACCCTCGGCTGCGTCAGCGTTATTTGCTCTGACAAGACGGGCACGTTGACGCAGAACCAGATGCATGTCAACTCGGCTTCGTTCATCGACGAGAAGGTTACATTGCCCGAATTCCAACACAACCTGGACAGCGAAAAGACAGAGGCGTGTGTCCTGAAACTGCATCAAGCTGCATTACTGTGCAACGATGCGACGTTTGATCCAGCCTCCATGCACCTCCTTCCTGTCGCCAACCGTGAGGTTCAAGGCAGTGCGACGGACGCTGCGATCCTTAAGTTCGCCTCAACATCAAAGAGGCGCGAGAAGGAAGAGACGAAGCTGCCTAGGGTGTTCCAGATCCCGTTCAACTCGAAGAACAAGTGGATGCTTACTATGCACCGCCAATTCGAGACCTACAAGACTGCAACGGAGTACCGTGTGTTTGTCAAAGGCGCTCCGGATGTCCTTTTGCCGGCTTGCACCAAGTATTGGTCGCGAAAGTTGAACGCGGTTGAAGTCCTGGATGCTACGGTCAAGTCTGCTTTCAAGCATTACCACGACACACTTTCCAAGAACGCGGAGCGCGTGATCATTCTTTGCGAGAAGTCTATCAGCCCGGTTCACCCGCTGAACACGAATGCCTTCAGCGACGAAGTTGTAGAGAACGCCATAAGTGACCTCACCGTGGTTGGTATTCTCGGAATCATCAACCCACCCCGACCTGAGACCGCTACAACAGTCGCCGAGTGCCGTCGTGCCGGCGCAAGGTTTTTCATGGTCACTGGCGATTATGGCCTCACAGCGGCAGCCATCGCTCGCGACACAGGAATCTTTACGGGAGAGGGCGAACCAGATATGATCGAGAAAATCAGGTCAAAGCAGGGGTTGCGAGTCCAAGACCTACGTACTGCACGAGCAAACGGTGAGCGACACAGTCTGTTGCTCGAAGGCCAGTCGTTGGGGACCCTCATGCTTGAGGATTGGGATCTTGTATGTGAATACGGCGAGATCGTCTTTGCGCGGACCACTCCGGAGCAGAAGCTGCGCATAGTGAAAGAGTTCCGCAAACGAGATAATATTGTCGCCGTTACTGGCGATGGCGTCAACGATGCACCCGCGCTGCGCGCTGCGGACGTGGGTGCTGCGGTGGTCACTGGCAGTGACGTGGCCATTGATGCGGCGGATCTTGTCCTACTGGACAAGTTCGACTCCATCATTGAAGCCATCCGCCTGGGTCGCCTTGTCTTTCAGAATTTGCAGAAGGTCATTGCGTACCTGCTGCCCGCCGGAAGTTGGTCCGAGATCTGGCCTGTCATGCTGAACGTCTTCTTCGGGGTGCCTCTGCCGCTGAGCTCGTTCCTCATGATCATTATATGTGTCTTCACTGATCTTTTCTACTCTCTGTCTTTGATCATGGAAAAGGAGGAATTCAACCTTCTCTCACTGCCACCTCGCAACCATAAACGCAACCATCTCATTACCGTTAAGATTTACATCCAGGCCTACTTATTCATGGGAACAATGGAGGCTTGCATTGCGCATGCCATGTTTTTCTTGTACTACTGGAAAGAGGCAGGCATCCCGATCCAGCGGCTCTTCTTTTTGTTTGAAGGATACGCGGACGGATTCCACGGATATACAGAGAACCAGCTGACGCAGTTCAAGGCCACCCACCGGGCAGTGCGTGTACTTTGTCACGCTAGTTGTTCTGCAGTGGGGCAACATTTTGGCTGTGCGGAACCGCCGACTCAGCATCTTGCAGGCAGATCCTGTGACCAAGAAGAGGCGGAATCCCTGGCTGCTGCTTAGTATACTCATCAGTTTTGTGATTGCCATCTTTGTTACAGAGGTTCCAGGCATTCAGAATTTGTTTGGCACGGCGTCGGTCCCGATCGAGTTCTGGATCATCCCGATCCCACTGGCGCTTGGAATTCTTTGCATGGATGAGATCCGCAAGCTAATAGTTCGCCTATTTCCGGAGGGGCTCGTGGCTAAGATTGCTTGGTTTGCCAAACTCAAACTCAAACTCAAGTCCCAGTTCTCGCGTCATATGTTTCTTAGTTATCTGTACGACGGGCATCCGTTGACTCAAGTCAAACTACTTACTTTGCCTGAGGAGCAGAGTGCCAGAGGTCGGTCATAATACGGCTCGAGGACATAACGACGCCGAAAATCCCCTTGGCGTGCGGGCTGCCGCAGGCTTCCCCGGCCTCTCCGATTCTCTTCCTGCTCTACACAGCGCCTATCTACTCTGTGGGGGAGCCGAACTCACGCTTCGGCTACGCAGATGACGTGGCCACCCTGAGCGGGGGCCGGTTCGTACAGGACATGGGCGCCAGGGCCATACGCGCCGCGGGCGAGCTCATCCAGTGGGGAGCCGATAATGGCATAGTGTTTGACCCAGGCAAGACAGAAGTCATCCACTTCACAAGTCCTAGGTACAAGGAAGATCTGCTGGTCCCTCGCCTCCCGGCAGGCTGGCAAACCACTCAATCCTGGCAACCGGTTCCTCAATTCAGTTGAGCAACTGGCAACTCAATCAACGCAATTCTTCGTCGGCTTATTAAGCCGGCAATTCAATTCGATCTCGTGTTGATTGAGGGAATTGTTATTATTATTATTATTGTATTTTCCGTCCAGCGACCTTTAGGTCGCTCAGGTCCCCGAGACGGGGCACAGGACGTGCTGAGCTGCTGGAAGTCTACTATCGCGGAGTAGGCCCACAATACGCGAAACGAAACGAGTACCAATCCGCGTCTTCTGCCCCTTCCACAGAACGTAAACAATCCACCATTCAGCATTTCATCGGCTCAAAGGCGCTTCTTTGCTCAGCCTGCTGCCCGTCAGCGGGACGTTCAGGCGCGACAGCCATGTCTTTCGTTTTGGCCTCACAGGGCCGGTTCCGAGAGCACCCTCCGCCCGGCCGAGTCGGGTAAGAGAGAATGTGTGTGTGCAAACAAAGGGAAGGGAAGGAGGGAAAGCGGTTGCTGCCGCCTAGTGGCGAGGGCAGATCGTTCCAAAGAACGAGCTTGCCTTCGCCACCTTGACGAACTGGTCGAAGTCTCGCCTATTGCTCGGTTGACCGCCGCGCTCGGTGAGGGTGCCAACCTCATCCGATGTCGCGGCGCGATCTTCCGGCAATAGAAGAGATGCTTTGGTTCTTTCGTCGACCACATGAGCACGTCAGTCGCGCATCGTCGTGGTTCAACCTTTCGTGGTAATCAGCGAAGTCCCCGTGGTGGCTTCTTGCTGCGAGCAGATGGTGGAGCAGAGGTCGTGGAATGGTAAGTTCTGGCGGGCAGCCAGTCGTGGCATCGAGGTCGAGGACCCTGTACTGTTGGGGTGCAGAAACTTCCCACCAGGCTTTGAATGCGTCTTTTGGTCGCTGCCTAGCGACCTTGCGCAGATATGCCAGCGTCGGGAGAGCGTCTGCAGGCTCGGGTTGAGAGGTTCCTGCCTTTGCTAAGGCGTCTGCCTGCTCGTTACCTGGGATGTTGGTGTGGCCGGGGATCCAGCGGATCTCAGTGGCACCATGTTCTGCGGCCAAGGCCTGGAATTCCAGGAACTCCTTCTGGGAGGAATCTGATGGCATGCCTTGAAGACACGTCGCGACCGCGAGGTTATCGAGGCATACGACAATCTGGTCTGCAGCCGGGAGGCTCAACGCAGCACGCAGACCCTCTAGGAGCCTCTCGCCTCGGCATCAAAGACCTCAGCAAGCCCAAGACGGCCGTTACCGCTGAGGACGGTGAGTCCATCCTGGGGGAGAGGGATCCGTCCGAGTAGACGATTGCTGTCCGTGGAGCAACTGATTGGAGCCACTCGCCGAAGTTTGCCGCCGATTCTTCTTTCGGCGCAGTTTGCAAGGGTCCACGCTGGTCGCTGGCGAACCTGATTGAGGGAATTGCCGTTGACGGTGAAAAATGTGTAGGGTAGGTGACCAGTGCGGATTATGAAGAAATCTCAGCCAAGCCGGAGCATCAGCAGTTCAAGGGCAGATTGACAATTGGACCAATCATCCATTCTGACAAGGGTCCCTGGCTGTTATGAACTCGACGCCCTCGTGTTTGAACCTGGCGTCTACGCGTTCATGAGAAAGGGGGGAAGTGACTCAATCATGGGGCCGGAATCGGGCTTTTTGTGACGCTTCTCAGGCTCTCATATCATCCCACTCTTCTCTTAGATGGGCGACTCTCTCGATTCTTTGCCTTCTGCAGGCCCTCAAGGCAGTCGAGAATGGGAAAATTTCCATGGCAGCACTTTCGCGGCTACACCAAATCCCAACGCGCCGGCAAGCTCAAGTCGTGGATTTGGCGCTTTGGGTTTGACATCGAGCATCAAGACAACAGGGACAATAGGCTGTGGGTATGCGAGACCTGTTTGGTCAAGAAATCGCCCCAAGGACCCCCAAGCTTTGCAGCGAAGGGAACGACAAATATCGAGCGCCATCTGCGCGATGCGCATCGCATTTCTGGGCCGTTGGGGGAACGGCTGCCGAGAGGTACGACAACCAAGAAGCGTTCTATCGCACATTTCTTCGAGCTCGACGCAAACGAGGGTAAAGAGCAGGCCTTCATCAACACGCTCAAGGATCACTTTGATAAGAATGTGTTCCAATCACTCCTACTTGCTTGGATCACCGAGTCAAATGTTACCTTTCGCGCAATCGAAGCCCCTCGATTCCGATATCTGCTAGATTATCTCAATCCCTCAATTGGCCTGACCCAGGCGCACATGACTCACACGACCATTCGGACCAGGCTTTTCGAAGAGTATGACCAATACAAGGGCGTTGTGGTGAAGGAATTGAAAGAGTGCCCCGCCCGTGTCCATCTTGCGTTTGACGGCTGGAGATCAATAGGATATCCACGGTCGGCTGACGTCCCCGGTCGGCCGTCAGCCGACCGTCCGACCGAAATGCCGCTGCTGGGAGGGCTGCTGCGGCAAGACGAGCTCGTTCAGTTACAGTGGGGTGGAGGATGCAAAAATGGTGTATTTCTACCTCTTCGGCCGTACAATTTGTGCCTTGCTGTTCGCGCGAAGCTGTTTACAGAACACGTCGAGCGAGCGGCCGGTTTGTTGCTGTTGTAAGTTGACAATGTGCGTTGCGGCCTCCTCGCTACACCTGTGGGCCTTCGCCACCTTACGAATCTCCCTAATGACCTCGAGCCGTAACGAATACCACTGCAGTTCGTTTTGCTGGCCGGCGCGCCAACAACTTCCCCATCTGCTGTCGAGGTCGGCAATGGCCGGGCCGCCCCGGAGGCCAACTGTCCACTCGCTCCAGAGCGCCTCGACTATTTTCGCTGCTCGAAACATCTTATACCGTGGCGGCGGCTCTGGCTTAACCATAATCGTGTCTGTCGCTGTCGGGCTCGTAGCTCGGCTGTCGATGATGCTCGACCGGGCCGAGACAAATCGGCTTCCGTCCCCTCGCCCTCCCTGTTCAACGGCGTCAACCACGGCCGCGGCCGTGGTGGCAGTGGTGTTCGTCGCCGCCGTAACTTGGAAATTGAAGCCATTCGAAAAGAGTGACGACTGGGCTACCGCAAGACGTTCTTCGGTGGCTCGGAGCTGATCCGTTAGCTCTGCTTTAAGTTGGACTGTCCTGGCTTCATTCCGTGCGTCGATAGATTCAAGGTAGTCTGCGAGGACCGGCATCGCTTGGATCAGGACGGCCAGCTGGTTCGGCCGCTCCTCTTCGAGAATGAAGTCCGACAGCTGCTGCGCGAATGGCGCGTAGGCTGGGTGGCGGAAGACTGTGTGGTTCCAAACAGGGCTTCCAGGGTATTTCTTCATCAAGACAACCGAATCCTGCAAGACAACCTCCTGCAGATAGAAAAAAAGGTTCGTCGAGCCCATCGCCGCCAGGTCGTTCTCCTGCTCGGTTCCCGGGCCGAAACGGCCTCGCCAACAATCTAGCTCGGGCCAGATCATCGAAAGGAGGACCTCAGGCGGCGTCACCCCGGCACGGCGTATTTCGAAGCATCCGATCTGCGGCGGGTGGCCGGCCATCGTGCGCATGAATTTACGAGGCAAGGAGTTCAGGTAACAGCCGACCATCTGCTCCTGATTCCAACGACCCGCCCGACGGATCTGGTCCTCACTAATCCCCTTCAGTTCCGCCGTCCTCGCTCCCGAGCTGCGGCCAACGTGCGTCTTCTTCTGCGACGTGATCCCGGCGTAGGCAAAGGCTTTGACAAACCAGTCGCGCTGTGAGTTGTACGAGAAGGCCGCCGTCCGGTCGGCGCCATTGCCCTTGATCAGTCGGATATCGTACCACGAGGACCGCCGGCTGAAATCGGGAAACGGCTCACTACCGAGATCCCAACGATACAGGAGGTGAAACGAGAGGCCGCCCAAAATGCAGATAAGCGGGTTCCTATTCCGATACGCGCCGGCAGTCTCGAGGCGCCCGTGCTGGTTCTGCTTACCGGCCCGTGTCGTAAAGATGAGCGGCATGCACCGGGTCGAGCCCTCACCGGCAAACTCGAACGTGAAGAGGTCCGAGATGTCTGCGGCCCGACGGTCGCCGCCGCGGGTGAGGAGGTAATGACCGACGAGGAGATCCACGAGGGTCCGAAATGGCACTCGGTCGATGTACAGCTGTGGGCCCATAGCTCATGGCATACGCGTTCAAATTCGATTTCCGAGTAGCCATCGAGCAGAGTATCGCGGCCTTTATCGGCGTAGTTCTCCTTGTCCCGTTGTGCATCCCGACGTTGTAGGGACTTGAGGTACTCTCGTACGTTGTCCTCGCGAGGCGACGGGTGCGTATTCATTCCAAGGGCCTTCTGTGTCCGGTAAAGATCCGTGATTGCGGTGACATAAGTCCGGACCGACCGCCAGGCTAGCCGAGTCTCGTCCTGCGGAGTGTCGGAGGCGGCCTTGCGGCTCCTGACCTTCAAGGGTCGGCCCGCCACCTCCTCGACGAGGAAGAGGAGGAGCTTCTCGTCCGTAACCGTAGCGCCGTCGCAGTACTGTTTGCGTTGGCAGAATTGCTCGAATTCCTCTTGCTTCGGCGCGTACGCCGAGGTCGTAGTCTTCGGTCGAGACTCGTGGATCACAGAGAGGATCGTCTGTGCATTGGCGCGCAGCTCCGCGTCGTTCATCGCCTTCTGCCGGATGCGTTGGCTGACTCGTATGTTCGACGGCTTTGCACGCCCCCTTGCCCCTGCCCCAGCCCCAGCCCCAGCCCCAGCTCCTGGCCCGGCCGCTGGTCCTGCGAGCTTCGCCTTGGCCCCCCCCTGTCGTCGTCTTCACCTTCTGTCGATTCGGCGTCCGGGCCATGGCTTATCGTAGTTCGTAACGAGGGAGAGAGAGCCAAGCAAACCCCTACGGATAAAACCACCGTCCAGGTCGGAGCGGGGGTGGCGTGCGGCGGCGAGGGGAGCTACGTCCGGCGACCACGGGTGCTCCGTCGCCGGGCTGGTCGACCCCTAAATGCTCGTGGACAGGGCGCTCTAGCGAACGCGAATAGCGGCTTCGGTACGAAATCAGCGACGCAATCAGCGGGGTAATGAGATCTGCGTATATCCACGGCGCGCCCTCCCGGCGGGGGGCTGGATATCCGCTGATGCGATTGGCCATCCCTGTCGCTGATTCTGGACGCGCCCCACCCGCCCGGATCAGCGGCGCTCAGCCTGCCCTCGGATACCAATTTATGGAACCGCATGGGATATCATCCAGGCGTTCGAATATCTTCTGGAGAAGCTGGAAGAAGCCAAAACGATGGCTAGAGATCTGCCGGACTCTAGCCACTTCGCAATTAACGTCGAATTGGGTTGGAAAAAATTGGATAAGTACTAGGTACGCAAAGCTCATTGAGTGTCCGATGTACTACTCGGCCATCGCCCTGCATCCTGCCTTGCGGTTACAGTGGTTCGAAGAAGCCTGGGCTCATCGACCCGAATGGGTCACGGAAGCCCGGCGGATCGTCCGAGCCTTCTGGGAAAGTGACTATAAGTCGCTAAATGTCGAGGAGGAGGGTCCAGCCACTGCTGTCGAGAACTTCCAGCCACCCGACGATCTGGACGATTTCCAAAAGTTTAGAATGAGGCATAGGGTGCAATCGAGCCAGATCACGAATGGTGATTACCGGCTATCGACGCGCCCTATCGCCGACGAGTTGGATCGTTGGACCGTCGATATCGGGGCAGACGGGGAGATCAATAATCCATTTCAGTACTGGAAACTCCTAGAGGCGACATATCCGCGGCTGGCGAGGATGGCTTTTGATATGCTATCCGTCCCGCCCATGTCTGCCGAGTGCGAAAGGGCGTTTTCATTTGCTGGACTGATGGTTACCGGGCTGCGCAGGAGACTCGAGGTGAAGACCATCAGCGCCGCACAGTCCATCCGGTCTTGGCTGAACGCGGGATTAATACACAACTACCAGGGAGTCGTTGGTCCATCGATAGACGACAACGCCTTCGTGGAAGCCGCAGAGGATCATTCTGACAAAGGGGAGGACGGGCCAGAGAAATTTGTCGTTATCTCCGAATTGCGTATTGACAACCGTCAACGCCAGCAATGCACGCAATGCACGCAATCGAGGATTTGATGATGTAAGCTGGCAATCCACGCAATCCCGTCACTCAGTTGCGTTGATTGCGTGGTTTGCCACCCTGGCTCCCGGTCTGCGCCCCGTATAGCCCATCCAGTCTTCACCCGGACTATCTGTGATATGCGTCCTATCCCTAAGTTGAGAGTCTTAGCCGTGAGCCTTGATAGCATGTCCCTGGTAGCCCCATGCTGGGACTGTGTCAAGCCACACGAAGACACGCAGGTCATCCTTAGGCGGCTGGACCGGAGGGTCGTGGGTCGAGGCGGGGGTTGGCCAGCACGGGCAGGAGTCATCGGCGATACAAAAAGGTGAGGTAGGTACTCAAGCCTAATGCTGTACGGAATATATGGTATATCAGGTGTCAGAATATGTAACAGGACGGCTTCCTCTCGATCCAAGCTGTGACTAGGAATTTCTTCAGCCCCCGCGGCGGATAAAGAAGCGAGAGTGGATGGATGCATTGGGCCGAGAACTTGTTGTCGAGCTAGGCACCCGAAACCCTCTTTATGCAACTGATTAATAAATGCTTGACGTTGAAAACGCCACCCGGGCGGCTAAGCAGGCCGAAAGGCTCTACTTAAGAACCAGAAACCGGGCCCAGTGGGAAGCGCGACGCAACGCCGCAGCGGCGGTCACAACGACACACGCTGGAACTCTTGGTTCCTCCTACTGGATACTGCTCTTGAAAAGGAGGAGCACGTCAAGTGGTATCAAGACAAACACTACGAGACACTTGTCAATGACTATCTGGCACCTCGAGACTGGCAAAACCTTCGAGATATAAGAAACTTCTTGCAGCCATTCTGGAGAATAACACTCCTTACTGAGGGCTATCGCTCAACACTAGACCGCACGCTCTTCACGATGAATGTCCTTCATAAACACTATCAACAAGCTTTCGAGAAATACAAGCTGAATCAACAACTTCTCGGCCCGGTGCTGACCAGCTGGCACGTTTTCGACAAGTATTATCGGCTTTCTGACGAGACCCCGGCATACGGTGCAGCCCTGATTCTTCATCCGTCTCAAGGAAAGGCTCACATTGAGAAAAACTGGCCCAAGTCATGGCATAAAAGAACCTTTGACGCAGTGAGGAAGCTCTGGGAAGAAGAGTACATGGACCTGCCGACAATTTCTGTGACGCCTTCTAAGGTTTCAGTACTGCAACAGGACGAGTACGACTTACTCGCACTGTAACTTCATGTCATAGGCAAGGGACCAGACGCAGACGAGTATGAAACCTTCACATCGCAGTCACCTATTCAGATTGACGGTTCACCACTTTCCTGGTGGCACCGTGATGAACACCGTGAACGTTTCCCTCGGTTGTCCAAGATGGTGATAGACATACTCTCAATACCCGCCATGTCTGCGGACCCAGAGCGCACATTCTCAGGCGCAAGGCGCACTATCTCTTGGGATCGAATGCTTCTCGGAGCATCGACAGTCGAGAGAGGAGAGTGCCTGAAAAGCTGGATCCGCAGCGGCATCACGGCAGGGTTACGAATAGAGGAGGTTGAGCAAAACGGGTCCGAGTCGGCCGAAGAGTGCGGTAATAACACCCCCTTGGGCACGGGAAGTATGACCCAATGACGTCATTTCTTGTATGGGCAATATATGGTTTAGTTCACCATATGAGAATAAAACATACACCATAAACCATACAGGTCCGTATGGCGTATGGCGTATGGTTAGAAAGCCTGACCAATGGATCAAGAGGCTCGAGGACTCAACTGCACCATCGCGAGGGTTTATGGCTGACCGAATCAGAAGCCAATATACTGCCCACCTGAGGTCCTTTTCGAAGCCGACCGTTTCTTGCTGGTTGGCCAAGTGGGAAGAAATTATTGAAGAAGCTGACCAATACTTCCTTGTTGATTCACTGACCGGACAAGTGCCTGCCTGAACTCACCACGTCTTCTCTTCTTCCATCTCGCGCAAAGGATCTCATGTCTCAACATCGCAAAGCGCTTTTCCATTCTCGTCATGTATCGGCGTTGGCTGTGCATCGTCTACCTCTTGGCCAGGAGCTGGGTCTTGCTGGGTTCGCCGGAGGAAGTCGACGTGGAAACGCGGGCGGATCGAGCCAGGCACGTCAAGCTCGACAACATGCGAGCTAATGACCTTCGTGACCGTATACTTGTGATGCAACCAGTCCAGCTTCTGCACGGTCGTGGCGACCGGTAGTTTGCCATCGAAAGCCACAACTCATCGCCAACCTCAAAACGCTCTGCTGGTTGTCGCTTCGCATTCGCGGCCTCTTCTTGTTGTTGCTGCGAGGCAGCCATCACCGCTTGCATGTACTCATTGACTTCTTGCAGCCGGGTGAGGAAGCCGCCTACTTTACTCTCCTCCCGATCCCGAGCTGGATCCTCCGAGTCCTCGACGCTTATGGGATCGATGTGATAGCCATGCTACACGAAGAGGGGGCTGATCTTGGTCGCTGCTGATTCACGGTTGTTGAGTGCCAGCTGCGCGGCGGGGAGGAGGTCTCCCCAGTCGTCTTGCATGTAAGAAACGTAAGCTCTCAAGTAAGCTTCGATCTCCTGGTTTATCCTCTCCGGTCCGCTGTCGGTTTGCGGGTGATACGACGTGCTGAGCCGCTGCGATATACCCGCCAGCTGACTGAACCTTTTCCAAAATTGGCTCAACCAGTTGCTTCCGCGGTCGCTGACGATTGACCAAGGCATACCGTGGAACCTGTAATGACACTGGAGAAAACGCTGCGCACACGTCTCGTCTTCTATGGTGTCCATCACCTCCAGAGCCACAGCCTTCATCAATCTGTCTATGATCACTCGCAGGTACCGTGCCTTAATCGGTCCAGTAGGAGGCAAGTCTGTGATGAAGTCCATGGATAGGTGGCTTCGCGGCAAGTCTGGAATCGGTAGCGGCTTGAGGAATCCAGATGCGTGCTCTGCCGCAGGTGTCACAATTGGCCACAACCCGGCAAACAAGCTGGGACTGCCCGAGGCAGTAGAATCGGCAGGTTACGATCAAGTCGCATCAGATCGGGTTACAGGCGCTTTTCCCAATCCACTTCCACCACAATGCTCGTCACCATGTGTCGCACAACAAAATGCACGGACAGTATGGATGACTGAGCAACGATCGGGAAGAAGATCCCCTGTGAATCGGGCAACGAAAGATTCTTCATTTTTTTTTCTAAGTGATGGTGAAAAGCTGGCTTCTTATACTTGTTATTTTGGGCTGAGTGGCGATGTCGCCGCCCAGGCAGCATAGACGACGTTGTCACCTATAAAGTTCGAATTTATCACTAATATGGTACTACGAACTGCCTGCTGCCTACTAGGCAGCACAGTGAATGAGCGTCCTGATCTTGACATCCAACCTTTGGCAGCCAGTTGGCCTCTGCAACGGTGCACGTGGTACAGAACCGTACAGTGTACGATATCGCCTGCGCGACTGGAGCTGACCCCATGCAAGATCCTCCCTGCGTGATCATGATGGAGTTTAACAAGTACACGGGGCTGGTACTGTATTCCTGACCATCTCCGATGGCAGGAAAATTGTCCCGATTCTGCCAGTAGACAGGGACTTCCTCGTCGGATCCACACTCTGCACTCGCATGCAGTTTCCCCTGATCGTATGCTACGCCATTACGGTTCACAAGTCGCAGAGCATCACCGAAGACATGATCGTAACGTATCTGTCCTGCCGTGACTTCCAGACCGGTTTGAGCTACGTGGCCGTCTCGCGTGTGAAAACGCTGCAGGGTCTGATGCTGGATGCCCTGTTTGACCGCAATCACCTGACTTACGCGTCGCCGCCGGAAGGAATTAAGATGAAAATGAGGGATCAGCAACTTCGCAAACGACAGGTTTTCGCCCAGAATCTGTACAAGATAGGCCTCGGGTCTACGCAACTCCACTTGATGCTACCCGCGACAAGAACGACACTTTCCAAGGCGCAGATAATGTAATGAATATATGATTGTAGATACTGTACTGATTGTTCGGTGACTGCTTAACTGTTGGCCAGACTCGCAGCCTTCGGCTGATTGTACGCCTCGCACCATAGCTCTAAAGTGCAAGGTGTGAACTGTGACGTAGCATAGAATCGAACCTTCCAGGCAATGTCACCTAAGCTGCCTAAGTGGCAATGTTAAGCGGGGCAGCAGATAAAGTTAGGCTAGCCGCATCTCCAAGAGAGTTGCACATCTCTTTTGGCGCACTACAGGCAGCATCGCCACCCCAAGGCAACAGCACAACTACGAATCAAAGAGCCTTGTTTTCAATGCCACAACTAGCTTTGAAAACAACTATATTTATCTTCATTTATATAGAAATCAAGAGTCGTTGCATGCCTAGATCGCCCTACGGTGTGCGATACCGACATGACCGCCAATGTCGCCAACAGCCCCATTTGCCAGCTACTGCACCTTTGTAACGGCAGTGCTGGAATCATGTCCATCTCCAACAAGCAGTGCGCCCACTCTATCACACATGATTGCCCGTACCTGGCGGACTCCAATTCGGATCTCTGCACGCCCTGCGCTGTGGCTGCGTCGAAGGGCCAGCCGTGCTCATGATGTTGGATAAAAACAGCTATCGGAGATAATGCGGAGGAGAGGCCGAGAGAAATCTGACAGCTTTGAGGTGAAGCGAAGAGCTTTTGGTCTTGCGGAAGACCCTGAAGGACCTTTTGGACAGGGTGTTCATTCAAGCGAGTAGTTCAGCAGCGGCCGCACCGGTCCTCTATGTGCGAACGCCGAAAGGAGGGCTCATCCCGCTGAAGAAACAGGATAAAGAAGATTGATTACGCACTGGCCAAGGCCAGGCGACCGATTTCTCTCCTATCAACCCTTGGCAAGATCCTAGAAGCGGTCGTCGCGGAATGCATCTCCTACACGGCACTTACAAGGCATGGCGAACTGGAAAGGTGCTCAGCTGGATCAGCTTCGACGTCAAAGGTGCGTACAACGGGGTCTGCAAAGAGCGACTGCTGGAGAGGATGAAAGTGAGGGGGGATACCAGACGAATGGATGAATTGGATGGATGCGTTCTGCTCGAGGCGGACGGCCTCAGTGGGAGTGAGTGAATGGGCAGGTGGTCATCGATAAGTACAGTATATCGATTAGTATCGTCGATCAATATCGTATTGACCCCTATCGATATTGACAATAAAACAGCCGAAATTTAATCAGTCATATTATCCTCCGGTGTGGCTTGTACATGACACATTCGGGTTGGAAAGGGGTAACTGTCAAGCAGTGGCTTGACAGCGCAGAAGAAGGAATAAAGGAGGCACAGGAGACCGGCCCCTACCAGGGCCCGCCAATGCCTTGAAGAACGGAACTGGAGTTGGGCGGGGGTATGTATGTATGTATGTGTATTTTTCGTCCAGCGGCCGTGAGGCCGCTCAGGTCCCGGTGGGGCACAGGACGTGCTGAGCTAGGGCTGTCTACAGTTTCCTCTCGCAAACGTAAACAAACCACCATCCAGCATTTCATCGGCTCTGAGGCGCTCCGTGTTGAACCTGGTGCCCGTCAGCGGGTCGTACAGGCGCGGCAGTGAGATTGCCATTCAGTTTTGGTCTCCAAGGGACCGTTGTCGGAGACTGCAGAGCGCAGCCTCAGTTGACCCGGCCGGGCAAAGGGTGTTGCAGCACCCTCTGCCTGGCCGAATCCGGGGGGAAGTTGAACAAAGGAAAGAGGTGAGGGAAAGATGATACAGCCGCCTAGTGGCGAGGGGCAAGCCCATTCAAAGAAGGAGGTCGCCTTCGCCAGCTTGACGAATCTGTCGAAGTCTCTGCCTATTGCGCGATTGACTGCTGCAGTCGGTGAGGGTGTCAGCCTCATCCGATGCCGCGGCTCGATCTTTCGGCAATAAAAGACATGGTTTGGCTCTTTTCGTCGGCCACATGAGCACGTCAGTCGCGCATCGTCGTGGTTGAACCTCTCGTGGTAGTCGGCAAAGTCCCCGTGACGGGTTCGGGCTGCAAGCAAGTGGTGGAGTAGCGGTCGGGGGAGTTTGAGCTCCGGGGGGCAGCCGGTCGTCGGCTTAAGGTGCAGTGGCTTGTACTGTTCGGGTGCAGAGGCTTCCCACCAGGCTTTAACTGCACTTTAGGCTGCTGCCTGGCAGCCCTGCGCAGATATGCCAGTGTCGGGACAGCGCCTGCGGGCTCGGGTTGAGAGGTTCCTGCTTTCGCTAAGGCATCGGCCTGCTCGTTGCCTGGGATGCTGGTGTGGCCGGGGATCCAGCGGACCTCCGTGGCACCGTGTGCTGTGGCCAGGGCCTGGAACTCGAGGAAGACATCCTGGGAGGAGTCTGCCGGCATGCCTCTGAGGCATGTTGCCGCCGCGATGTTGTCGAGACAAACGACTACCCTCTGCGATCGTGGGAGGCTTAGGGCAGCGCGCAGGCCCTCGAGCGCGCCTTTCGCTTCTGCATCAAAACCTCAGCGGGCCCAAGTCGGCCGCAGCCACTTAGGACGGTTTGCCCATCCAGATGGATGGCATAGCCATAACCGACCGCTGCATCCGAGGAGAGCGATCCGTCTGAGTAGACGACCAGAGTGTGTGGTGGCACTGACCGGAGCCAAATGCGGAAATCCGCTGCTGACTGGTCTTTCGGGGCGGTTTGCAGAGGCAGCGCCTGATCGTCGCCGAAGCGGCGAGGGAGGAGAATTGGCCGCCTGCTGCAAGGCAGCAGCTGGTCACTGCGTCGAAGTCGGGTCCGGAAGCCTTCTCGCGGCACCTGGTACTTCAGTTTGATCGACCTGTGGATGACAGGGGGCTTGGGCCGGACTGTACGTTTCGCAAGCGGATGGGCTTCATCGAGAGACTTGAGGCGGGCCGCGAAGCGCATGCGACGCCCTCGAGCAGTTGTATCACCGGTGGAATGCCGCTCTCTCGATGGAGGGCATTGATCGGCGTCGTCCTCCAAACAGGCAGGATGGCTCGGATGGATGTGTGAAGCGACTTGTTCATCTTTCGGATGAGTTGCTGTATCCCGGATGGTCCTTCTTTTGCTGGCTGGGTCCATCGCGGGCTGGTTAATCCGGGGTACCATGCCTCGGTGCCGTGGAGCAGCACCGGTTCGATACATGCTCTTACGGCTCTGCGAACGGCACCGGGAAGAGGACCATGTTTGGTGTTTGCCAGACTTTTCAAGTGATAGGCCACGACCTGTGCCTTGGCTGTCCACTTTTCCACGTGTGTCTTGAACGACAGGGTGCTGTCGAGCCAGATGCCTAGCCATCGCAGTGCTCGGTCAGGGCGCTTCTCTGAGTCGCCGTGAAATATAGGCGGGCAACTTTAGGTTTGCTTCGACAGAAATGCATGACCTCAGTCTTCATCGGGTCGAAGGCGATGCCGTTGGCGGCGCCCCAGGCCACAAGTTCGTTTACATAGCGCGACGCTCTCTCGGCTGTCTTCTCCAGGAGTTACCTATGCATAGGATACCCGTGTCGTCTGCGTAGCCGAAGCGCCCTTCGGCTTCCCTAGGCGGTAAATTGGTTCCGTGTACAACAGAAAAGGATGGGCGAGACTGGTGATCCTGGGAGGCCGCATTGGAGAGGCGAGCTGGGCGTGGTAGTGTCCTGGTATCTGACGCGCGCCTAGCGGTCATGCATGAAAGAACCAGCCCATCGAGCGAGATGTTCTGGCCACCCTGCTCACGGAGGCGAAGGATCAGCCTGTTGCGGAGGACAGTGTCGAAGGCTCCCTGGATGTCCATAGTCACCAACGTGGCAACTTGTCCGCGGGCAAACGCCTCTTCAATGTCATGCAGCAGAGCGGCAACAAGGTCAACGGCAGATCTCTTCGGGAGAGCGCCAGCTTGTTGTGAATGGAGGACTCCGTAGTGGACGGAGGCCCATGCCAGGCGGCGTGCGATGAGCCGCTCGAGACCTTTGCCTAGGCAGGACAGTAGGGAGATGGGTCGCCAGGCACGAGGGTCGAGAGGTTCCTTCGGCCTGGTTTTGTTATCATGACTACTTCGGCCTCTCTGAACGGCTTCGGGTGATGGCCGATGGTGAGGCAGCCTTCGTACAGCCGCTGGACGTGGCTTCCGATAATACGCCATACCGCCTTGAGCATTTGTACCGTGATGCTGTCGGGGCCGGGAGACGTGTTTCCTGTCCGTAGGGTTGCGTCGCGCACTTCCTCAAGTGACACCTGTTGCGTGAAGGGAACGGTTTTCGTTGTGTCGACTGGGATCCACGGATCTGGGATGTCGTCGTCCGCCGTGCGCCGCTCGAGCGTCGCCCGCCGTAGGGCATTGGCTTTGTCAAGCTGCGTCTCGTAAACTACATCGCCTACTTGTAGGGCGGAGGCTGAAAGCGCCCGGTGATCTCAGCCATCGGACCGCTTTGAATACGGAGGCGCTGTCAGTGAAGCTGTCGATCAGATTGCGCCAGTAATGTCTTTTGGCTCGCCGCACGACTTTCTGGAAGTCTCTCTTGCAAGCTGGACTTCCCGATTGAAGCCGAGAGGGTAGACTCTCCTAATCGCGCGGTATTCCGCCGCGGCGAGGCGCATTCTTCTGTCCACCAGGGCGCGCTGCGCCCCTTTGCGGACGGGCGACCGGCGGCCTTGGCTGCCAGTTGGAGAAGTTCCACGAGCGCCAACGCCAGGGAATCAAGCTCTTGGGGAGACGAGGCCGCGGCCGGGATAGCTGTTGCTCCGGAATCGACCATTTCGGCGAAACGAGCGAGCTCGTCGTCAGAGGTGAGGCGGACCTTTCCTAGCGGCACCGAGGCCGGAGCCAGGTCAGCGAGTGTCACGCTGAGCGTGAAGTGGTCAGAGCTGGTGGCCAGGTGTTCCTCCACGACAGCTTCGGATAGTGGTATGTTGGAGAAGGCGAGGTCTATTGTGTTGCCATGTGGGTTCGTTGGCACATCGGCAGGGTTGAGCAAGCTAAGGCCGTTCTCAGAGGCCCAAAAGGCGATGTCGTCACCTCGGCCATCGAGCCGGCCGGTTTGCCAGCTACTGTGTTTGGCGTTGAAGTCGCCTGCTACTAGGCACCTTCCTGGTGTGGTCCACTGGAGGAGCATCTCCAGTGCTTCATCGTAGTGCGGTTGTCGATAGAAGTTTACTACTGTTATGTTGTTGATGGTGAGCCAGAGAATGTCGCGGGTCGCCACAGGCCTCCTCTGATCTGTCATCAGGCAGGGACTCCGCCGGACATAGGTCATTACTCGAGGTCGGGTGCTGTTGTCGTCCCAGCTGTCGACTGGGGAGAAGGTATCGTAGGCTGGGTGGGTTTTGGTAAGACATCGGCCGTCCTTGGCTTCCGTCCACGGCTCCTGGAGGAGCACTATGTCGTATCGTTCAGAGTCGGCGAGGGCAAGGCGCAGTCATGTGCTGGCGAGATCTTGCCTACGTTAGCTTGGAAGACTCGCAGGGTCTTCTTGTCGCTTTGGTTCACGCGGGGATGTCTCGTCATGGAGATAGTGCAATGGGGCTGATGCGTCGCTTCTTTGAAGGGGAAGCTGGTCTAGATTCGTTGCCCTCGCTCTGAGGCTGAGGTGTCGTGGTTACCATAATGAATGGCGGAGACATGGTCCTGGTCGAGCTTAGGACTGAGGTTTCGCTCCTGCCCCGTGACCTGTCATCTGGGTGCTCGGCTTCCTGGTCGTCGGGCTGAGCAGTGCTCGGAGCTATGGAATTGAGAATCTCGGAGAGTCTCGTTCTAGCTGTTCGGGTTGGTCTATGCGCTCGAACTGTTGCTTCCGCTGAGCAAATAGTTGGGTGCCCATCTGTCGGACGAGGGTTTTCTCCTCCTTCGTCAGGCGGCGAATGACGCCGTGTGATCGCTTGGGGCGTGCAGGGCATTTCGAGAAATCTGCGGAATGGGGTCCGAGGCAGTTTGCGCACTGCTCGAGGGCTACGCAGGTTTCACCGTCATGGCCGTTCCTTCCGCAACGCTTGCAGGACGGTTGTCGGTCACAGCTGTGTCGAGCGTGGAAATCCCAGCATTTGTTGCACTGGCTGGGCATGCTGGATCTGACGATGTGTCGGGCAAGTCGGCTGGAGCCAAAAGTCTCCAAGGTCTCTGGGTAGGCTCGAGGAAGGACACAATAAGCGTCTTACTCGGAAGGTCGCTTGAATCGTGCCGGCTGGGACGGATGCTGATGGGTGTGAGCCCGGTCTGGCAGGCGATTTCGTCTTTGACGGCCGCCTCGTAGTTGACTTCATTGCCCTGCAAGTCCGTAAGTCTTCGGGGCAGTTGGGCACGACGTACGTGTACCATTTGTGACTAATCTCCACCGAGGTCGCGTCTAGGTCCTCGGACCATTCCGACTGTCGCTGGACGATGAGGTCCCTGATGGTAGCGTCCGTTGTTCGGATGGCCCATCCGGAGTTTACCTTGAAAGCTGCCGGGACCCGGTGCAAGTCGATGCCGACTTTGGCGGCGATGTGGGTCCGAATTGCGTAGCTGCTGTGGTCTCGCGCCGGCGCTTCGGCATCGAGCCGCACGAAAACACGGAGGTCTTCTTTTGGTGGGGCGGGGATTGGTCGTCCCTGGAGACGGGAGATTGGTTGTTGTGGTCGTTGCTGTTGCGGGGCTGCGGCGGCCGGGGGGTGTGGCCCCGAGGGGCTGGCTTGCAGGGCGACCGGCGGCGACGCTGCTGTAGGTCGGGGCGGGTGCGGAATTGAGGTCGGAGAGCGCCTGCTTCCAAAAGTCGAGGAAGCTGTTGGAAAATTGTTCCGCAAAGCTGTGTTCAAGGCCGGACGTGTATTGTTTCGCAGTCTGTTCGAACGATTCACAAAAGGCTCGGAACACTGTCATTTTGGCGTTGTAGGCATTTGTTTGTTCAACTGCGAGCTTGTTGGCAGCTTCAACGATCGAGACCGGCTGGAGGTTAACGGACTCGGCCGAGCCAGGCCGGTTCGGGGTGGATTCACGCTGCGCTCCTTCCGTAGCGGCGGCATTGGAGAGTCTGATAAGGGGCGAGGACGGCGTCGCCGCCGGTCGCCGAAACGCGGATGTGAGACCAATGGGACGGCTCGCAATGGGGGAACTGTGTCGAAGCTGAGATGCACGGGCTAATCGCGCGAGGTTGGGGGGTATGGACACCCAGATCAAAGGGATCTGGGCTGGCATGCGAGCTCGTGGCAGATGCCATGGCTGCTGCCGAAGCCAGCGCAAAGCGCGGCTGGAATGATTAACGTGCAGTTGTTAGGCGAGTTGGTGGGAAATTGCGCTACTTTCTTAACAATTGCATGCCAAGAAAGTAAGAAAACAGGGGAAGGTGAGCACGCTGGTTGGGCGGGGGTTGCAGGGGAGAAGGCCTGTCTAGGGTTACCACTAAGTTGGCCGCCTAAGTTACTCCCTAAGGCGGCCCGCCGAGGGCCCAGCCAAGAGGTAAATTTATCTAAGCATGTACCTATAGCACACACTCTCTACCTTACTCAATCGTTCATGAACCTTGAAGCGAAGATATCATCAGAGTAATCTCTCACGCCGCTTCTACGTATCGCTGCCTTGAATCGTATGCCCGTCTCGTTTCTAAAGCCAGTTCCTTGAGTCTCTGCATTCCATCAATTATAGCCTGATCAAGCCTGTTGCCGATGAAATCCTGGGGTCGTATGGGACTGAGAAGCTTGATATCTTGAAGTGTTGTACACCTGGATAGTTGTACATAGAGACTGGTAAAATCGCATTTGGAAGGCTCACCGTTTATTACGCGATTTCCTCGCAGCTCCAAGAGTACTTCCAGGAATTTTTTCCCTTGGGCATTGTAGTCAGTGAGGACAAATGCAGGTGCAACGGGTAATCCGCGTCGCGTACATCTCGCCGACAAGAACCTGAAATGGGAATTGGTCGGGTCGAGGGTCTGTGACATGGGCTGGATGAGTACTGACCAAAAGGCTAGTCTCTCTCACGGGGGCGAACTGGTGGAAATCCCCCATGAGCAGAATAATAGGTATGCCGCCAAATGGTTTGTCCAAGCAGTCGCGGAGCGACTGGAGGTGGCGGCTGACGTCGTAGAAGGAGGTTCCTCCGAGCATACTGACCTCATCGATCACGAGCACCAACTTCTGCTTGCACGCCCATTTCTTGGCTTCCGAGAACGGTGGAGGCGACTTGTTTGGGGAGCGATGGGCACCCAACCCGCAGGCCGAATGGATCGTCGTCCCGCCGATGCGGGCTGCAGCACTGCCAGAGGTGCCAGTAACTTGGAGAAGGTGCGGTTGGCCTGTCGCCGCGAATATGTCCTTCAGGGCATCGACAATTCTGGACATTCCCGTACCACCTGGCCCGCCAGTGTATCGTAGATGTTGACCGGCTGAATCCGGGTCGGTAGTGTACTTATCCAACAACCCACGAACAAGTTGAAGAGCCATGGTCTGTAGGTAGTTGAGAGTATAGCTGGTGGCGGCAATGTGGCCCATCTCCACAAAGCCAGTTGCCGAATTGATGTCGAGAAACATTCGAGGGTCCTGTGCGACTGCGTCTTGACCATAACGCGGAAAGGAGATCTCCGTATCACAGTGGGAAACAAGCATATCGTCTACATCGGCGTTACTTGGGGGATGTGCGACACCCCGGAAGCCACTTTCAATCTCATCCAGCTGTTGAAGATGCAGCATGTCCTGGGCCTTTGCCACGGCCTGGACATCCTCGCCAGACAGTGTCGCATATTGGCGAAGGGGACTATCCTGGCTGCGGCGAATTTGCTCGTAGACACCTTCGTGGCGTTGGACCAAAGGTCGTCTCTCTTCAAGCGGGTTCTCTTGGCACAGGTCCCATATCAGGTCCCGGAGGACGTGAGAGTCCCCCGTAGCATGAGATTCTCGTACGGCATTCTGCAGAACCTGGAGCAGAGCTGTATAGTTTTGAAGACACTTGGCCGTTGTTGCAGGTTCCTCACCATAGTCACCTTCATGAAGTGGGAACTCGACGTCCACGGTGTCATCGCCCTCCGACCGGCTGGCCCAGAGCTTTGCGTCTCTACGTGCACCCTCGGCTGACCTTCTCAGAAGGCAGATATTGGAGACACGGAAACGGAGGCGGGGGCAAAGGGCTGCTTCGCAGTTCAACCATATGCGCGGTGATATCACCGTGACTCTTGGAGAGGAAGTCTTCCCAAGGGATGAATAAGGCTAGATGGAGTACGGAATTGCTAAGTAGAACATCAGAGCCGGCCCGCAGCAAAGAGCGTAGGTAATAAATTGCGCACGACGTTTCCTATACAGCTCATGGCCACACAGCAGGGCCATAGGATTCGCATAAAGCCACAATCTGCAATTCAACTGCTGTAACAACTCAGCATCGTAAAGTGGAGATAGAGCCCCTGACTGACTCTCTCAAGCAACCCCTTGGATAAGCCTCTCTTTTACATGCACGCAACTATAAGAGCAGCAGGCACTCCTTCTGCTTCCATTGTGTATGATAGTAGGTTGCGTTGATGGACAATGTGACGCAAATCAAGCAATCTGGTAATTCCGAGGCTCCCTTTCGAGCTTAACCCCCGCTTATGCGATTTCAATCCGGCGCGAATGCTTTTCATGCTTGTTCGCCTTGGGCACATGGATACTGAGGATGCCGGCCTCGAGCTGGGCGGTGACGCCTTCTTGCAGGACACGCTCCGGGAAGCTGAAGGTGCGCGAAAACTCGCCGATGCCACGCTCTGAGATCCAGTACTTGGCCTTATCGGGCTCAGCAGCCGCCGGAGTTGGCTCTTGGTCGTGATAGGATTTCTTGGCAGCGGAGCTATCAGTGGTATTATACGATCGCTTGATGGAGCCGCGGACGACCAGCGTCTGCGGCTCGGTGAACTCGATTGTCAGTTCTTTCCTCTGCACACCGGCAAACTCTCCGTGAAGCTCAAAGGCATCGTCTAATTCGCGCAAGTCAAAGTTTGGCGACAAGATACGGTGGCCACTGCGGCGGTGGTGGTCGCTGCCTAGCTGGCGGGAATACTTGTCGAGATCATCGAGCAGGTGCATAACGGGGGCGAAGGTAGGGTTTGAGGTGATGCATTGTGGCAGATGTTCCATATTTCTTCGCGATAATAGTGGCTTAAATTTCTGATGTTATGTGGAGGAATAGCAATGTTCTATTGCCCACGGAGACAAGGCGCGAGTTCGACCTATATTTGGTAGAGCGGTTGTCGGAAGATGTGAGGCACCCTTCGTGGTTACAAGGACAGTACACATTTTGTTACGTCATGATGATCTATCTGGAGACGCCTAAAATTGGCAAAAAGATTAGGTGAGACTAAGCTCTCCTGATCAACTCGGTAACAATATGTGAAGAGTCTTGGAGAGCCCAGAACACTGTGATGGTGGCTGCACGACGAGTGAAGCCATTGGTGCCCGCCCCTTCAATATTCCTCGTGGAGCGAATCCCCTCTAGGAGCACGCACATAATAGCGGGTGGGTCTGGCGTTAGTAGCTGCCTTACGTGCGGCAAAGAGTCTCCACCACAGCCCATGTAACACAGAGCGGCAAACCCACACCAACTGGATTGCGCAGCGACCCAGCTTGCGATACAGGTGCTCAGAGCTGTCATGGTTGTGGCTCCCCAATAGCGAAGGCCGGAGTAGGTCCGACTGCCATGTAGAACTCCCCATGCACAACGCAGTCGCTAACTGGACTAGCGAAGAGGAATGCATTCTAGCAGATGCAGAGAACTGGTCACAGCGAGCTTTGCATTAGTCTAATTGAAGCCCCGACTCAGGTTTCGATATTTTCTGCATGGGGAACCAAAGCCATGCTGAGGTCTAGAATCTCGAAGCTTCGGATTTGGGGGGTGGGGGGGAGTGGGGCGGGGATGCATTGTGCATTCTAAGTCGGATATTTCCTGAGAAGCAAGGTCATTCTGACGTACGAGTTTGTCCCGCCTCATGGAGGCATACCGTAGGCAACTTAGCGCAGAGGGCATGCAGCTTAGTCCCTCCGGGCGGGATACGACATTCAGAATGTGGCAATGAAGGAACGCCGCTAAGTCTGTTGTCTGTGTGTGAAACGTAAGGATCCGAGGCCGAAGCTTTACAACCATAAGGGCCTGCAGAATGCTGAGAGCCACTTGTTCAGGGACCACAGCGGTATTGTCGACCCGTCAGGTAAAAGGCTAGCCGTGAAATCTACAGCTGCAGCACCCGCCTGCTCAATTGCTACATTACTGCGATTGAATCCAGAGGTTCCTCGCGATCAGGAAATAAAGAATGTACTGATCAAGCTGTTTGATAAGACCGCGTTTCAACAGATGATCGTCAACTGGATTGTTAGCACGAATCGATCGTTCACCACCGCGAAAGATCCTGACCTGCGAGCGATCTTCGAATATCTCAACCCTTCGGTTTCCATTACGGAAGCTCACATATCCGATGTAACGGTGCGCGCGATTGCCGTGAGAGAGTTCAACGAGAATAAATGGGCTGTACGAGAGACACTTCGGAAGAGCCCAGGCCAGATCCATATCCAGTTTGACGGATGGCGGTCTGGTAACAGGCATTTTCTCTATGGCGTCATCTGTATATTCAGGAGTCTGGATAATAGACCCCGGAAGTGTGTTCTCGGCCTTCCGAAGCTACTAGGCCGGCACACAGGTGAGAAAATTGCACATTGTCCGGGAATTGGAAGTTGGGGGCAAGCTGAGCTACTTTACCTTGGATAACGCCTCGAATAACAAAAGAAAAGATGGAAGGACTGCTAGCACAGATTTCTTTTCGGCCAGATAACTGGAATCCTTCTATGTACTGCGTAAATTGTAGGTGACGGACTGCCTCCCTGCCCTGTTGTCGTTTGTGAACAGATCAGAAGCTTGCATCAAATCCGCCCATGTGGTGTCTCGTATTCAAGGCATATCGTCTTCGGGGCGACTCACGTTCGCCGTTACCAAATCATGTCTCTGACGCGGTTCAGCGGGATCGATAGAATTGGCTATAGGAACCGTTGTATTGTCAGTGAGGTGTCCAGTCGCATTTTTCAAATCGCATGGCTTCACGGCACCGACCAAGCCCAAGATGCCTCGCTTGTGCCCTGGATAACCACCAGCCCTGGCCCTAGTTCTCGCTGTGCTTGTTTTTTTTGCCTCCTCAAGCTGTTCGTCACTGAGCATGTATGTAGTTGAAAATTTCCACCATGTCTTTTTCGAACTCATTGAGACCTTTGCCGCTGGTCATCGGCATTAGGCCCTATAAATGGTACAATGAGCCGGTACTCCTACAACTTTGTTTTGCTAATTCCGTCGTCATCTCTGTCGATGCGACTGCCAGCTGTTCAGCTATACGCGTCATTTTGCCGCCAGGTACTATTGTCGGTGGCTACATGTACCATGATACTACTGTACCGGTCGCCTCTAGCGGAGGTGGCCTCCACTTTTGGTGACTGGTGCGACAGGTACAATTTCTTTACGGGCACTACGGTGTACGGCACGCCTACGACACGTACGGAAGTCCTATTGCGCGTTGGTTGAGAGGAGATCGCGCCCGTATTCTCGAAGTTGCTGCAGGTCGGCATTTGGCCGGAGGCCCCTGCATGTTGCTCGCGCAACACCTTGCGGCCATAGTGCACTAGGGCAGTCCCTATCGGTCATTTGCACCCTACTGTAGAGCACCATTCCAGAACCGAACGCCAGGCAGCGGCCATTTTAGGGCAAGGTGTTCGACGGCTGAAGGCGTGCACACGCAGGGGAACCGGCTGCGGGCGACTACGCGCAGTGTCAACATAAGGGCTTGTACACTAAACGGATTGCAGGTATATCTAGAAGCATGCATATCTGACAGTTCGGCCCGTACCCTGAGAACTCCGAGGCGACCAGCCATATATCGGTCGGCGAAATCACATCCATAAAGCGTGAACTATGGGCAAGTCCAACCTCACCTTTTTCGACATGCTTGGTCTCGAAGTGCGAGAAGAAGAAGCGTCAGGTAAACATAATTCTGCGGCACCGTGCCGTTCACCACCACTGAACAAATCCAGACAGCGACTGGCAAAGCAACGACAGCGTTGGCATAGAAGTCGACAGCGAAGGGAACTTGCGCGATTTCGTGTGCAAAGACAACGGTGCCGGAGAGCCACTACTCACATCGGGGTCTTTGGCGTCAAACTCCAGCGGCAGCTCCTACCGAGACGAAAAGACCGGCATCGACGACTACGGAGCGCGGAAATATAAATCAGATAAGGGCCCTCGGCGGCAGTCCGTCTCGGACAGGGCAGTCCATTGCAGCACGGCAGTAAACGATACGATGAGCTACTCGTCGTGTCACTGCTGTCGAGAAGAAGGGTCTAAGACTTGGTCCTGAAGCCTGATAGCTAGCTGAAGGTGTAGGGACGAGACAGGATGAAAGTGGGATGACGTGGCAAGCTGACGCGGAGAGAGGGTGCCTATGCATTAGTAAGTCAGCAAGGAAGGAGATGGAAGACTCAAGAAGAGAGTGCGAGGCGCATAAATGGGAGAATGGTACAGTAGAAAGGAAAGAGGAGGAATAAGAACACATGCACCCTAAAAACCATCATGCCCCTTGCCCTGCTCTCTTCGCGAGAGTTATGAGCCCGGGAGAAACAGACGTTTCTGTAACTTCCGGCTGCTGCCAGAAGCACCGATCACCTGATCATTACACCTATCCTCACCCCTCCGTCAGCAAAGATGACAAAGACCGGGACTTCCACCCAACGAACGATCCTACGGGAACCCCAAGATTGGGATAAGTGGATCAAAGAACTAAAAGCTCATACTGACAAGACGATTCACAAGCTGTTATTTGATGAAGACAACAGCCCGCTGGAACCCCCCCATTCGTCCTCCTTATACGGATTTTGCTGCTGATGCTAATGAATTTGCTGAACAAACCCCAGCGCAGCAGAGAGCATATGCAGCCATGTTTAGCCAATATGAGAGTCTTCGCAAGGAGTATCTCTATGAAACCAAGCTGATTACAGCTGCTCGGACTGTCATTACCGAGTCGATTAGCCCAGCAAAGCTAACCTCTCTGCGTGAGGATGAAAGTCTCTACGAATGGATCAAGAAGCTCGAGGACTCAACCGCACCGTCGAGAGGGTTTATGGCTGACCGAATCAGAAGCCAATATACTGCCCACCTGAGGTCCTTTTCGAAGCAGACCGTTTCTTCCTGGTTGGCCAAGTGGGAAGAAATTATTGAACAAGCTGACCAATACTTCCTTGTTGAAGCACTGACCGGACAATGGCTGAGAGACATTGCTCTGCTAATAAGACCTCTTAGTGACGGTACTGCTACTTCGTTCAAGAACGCCAGCAAAGTCCTGGATGAAGACGCCGCTGCAGCTCAGCACAGAGTCTACAAAGAGCTACGCCCGCGATCAGATGTTTCCATTCGTCGTCAAACACCTCACGATCGAAATCAGCCACAAGAACGATGGACCTTCCAGTCAGTTGCCCGGCAGATCCGAGAGTTGGTCGAAGAACAACGCCCAAGTCAGCACCTTCGACCTCTAAAAAAGAGGAGGCGCCTTTCAAACAGACGGAACACGGAAGAAGAGAAAAGCATCTCCCGCATCAGACGAAGAAGAAAATGAAGATCAAGACCGCTGTCCAGCTTGCAAGAGGACCGGCCATGAACTTAAGGGCTGCTGGCTTGTTTTTGAGGACCGCCGACCAAGCTATTCAAGAAAGGCTCCAAAACGGATCGCCGACAAGATCAAAAGAGTCATTGGCGAAAGCCCTGACCTTCAGAAGAAGATTGAAGAAATCAAGGCCGGTCGGAACTAGCAACTACAGCTACGAGGAAGAATAGTTGGTACAGCGAACCCAGCCTTCGTCTTTTCGTCAGGAACAACGGCTGCCTCTTCGGACTACCCTCTACGCCGGTCTTCCCTTCTTGACTCGGGAGCTTCCCTTCACATCTGCAACGATCTCAGCCGATTCCGTTCCTTCAAGAAGGCCAAGAAAGACTATGTTGTCACAGGCGAATCAGAGGTTCGAATCGAAGGATACGGGAAAGTCAACTACAAGATGACTATGCCTGATGGATCCTACCGAAAGCTTAAACTGAAAAATGTTGCCTACTGCCCGAG